ACTGAGTGGGGCAGACAGTGGAATGAAGGGGAAAAATAAACAACCAACAGCAGAAAAATAGCATGGCAGAGATGCGGCAGAGAAGGCTGGCCATAATCACTAACATGGATGGCTACTAATAAAAAGAAACACAGGCAGAGTAGATCAGGAGATAGGGTCCATCAAAATGTTCTACATAAGAAATATATTAACCTGTGAGAAGGTTTATGCATGAAAGTCAAAGATGAGAAAATAATGCTGTATTGTGACAGGGAACCAGAAAAAAGTGGGGGTAGCCCACCCATCGGCTGTAGATTGGTTGGAAAGACACAACACTATTATTATGCAATGGAGAACTACTTAGCTGTAAGGAAGGAAAATCTTGAGGCTTTTGTAGGTAAATGGATACAACTTGAGACCATGCTCAGGAGTAAAAAGGTTCAGAATCACTAAGGTAAATAGGGGGTTGCCTCCCTAATCTAAAAACTAAAGGAGTGAGTGGGATACAAAATGTACAATGCACCCTGGGAAAGTGAAAGAGGAGAAATTGTCTAAATAGGGAAGGCAGAGGACACTGGTAATCTTGTATCATGATTTGAAACCCATATTACTTTCATCGCTCTGTTTAGTTTGGTTATATTCTGTTCTAGTTTTTCTACTTGTACTAGATTTGAGGGCATAGACAGCTATTTCAAAGATAGCAGGATATATTACTGTAACCATTTTTAATTTCCTGTTACCTTAATCTGAAAACCTGTATTGCTTTCATTGCCTTGATTTTACTTGAATCTGTTTTGTTTGATCGCTGTCTTGTCTTTACTGATTTTATTTGAATCTGCTACGTTTGATAGTATCAAGTCTGAGAGTGTAGGCAACTACTTTGAAGACAGTAAGATTCACTATGATACCCATTCTGATTTGACTATTCTCCTCTTTTGAAGTCTTATAATGTCTCCAATAATTTGTTTTTATTAATTTTGTTCTGTACTGCTATATTAAATTTTATTGTACCTGATGACATGGGCAATTCTATTGAAGACAACAAGAGACATCATGGTAACCATTGTAGATCACCTTGTATTGTGGCTTTAAATCAAGTACTATGTCCATCCTTTTGTTTTGAATGACCCCATTTTTTGTTTTTGTTTTTTTGTTTTTGTCCTGGGGATTAAACTCATGACCTTGTGCTTGCCAGGCAGGTGCTTATGCCACTGATCTAAATCCTTAGCCTTTTTTTTCTCATTTCATTTTACTCTTTTCAAAATAAAAATAAAAAATTATAAGAAACAAAACTAGCATTTAAGAACAGAAAGGGAGGAAGCAAAGACAAAAATAATCTAAACTCAGCTGCCAATGAAAGCTGTGAGGCAGGACCAGATAACCCATTTTTGATGTGCATCTGTCGCTATATCTTTTTATACCTAGAATTTTCCATTTCAATTTTACCAGTGTGTGACACGATGCCACTTCTTAGGTTAGTCAGTAGGCACAATGCCGGACCTCCAAGGCAGGTGCTTTGAAGGCAGAGGGGACAGAGGACCTGCCTTGGGCTCCAAGTCCTCTGAGAGCACAGGGAGAAGCTTTCTGCAACGTTTCCACATTTGCTTAAAGCCTGCACCCACTGGGCCAAAACTAGTCCCTTCCAAAGCCCTCAGTCATTAAACTCCTATCTCAGGGAGTGAGAAGTCAGTCAACACACCTAGGCAGACCTTTGTCACGCAGCCTTGTCCTCTATTTTCGTCTCACAGAGAAACTTTCACAAACTGTTGCCATTCTATGGGTCACACAGACTTTTTCCTTGGCCACTGCCTGTTCTCCAAGTCCATCAATGTCCCCTAGAAATAATTTCCTATTCCCCTGTTTTCCTTATCTCCCATACAAAAGGCAGTATAGGAGTACACAGTGTCGATGCTGTGATTGGTCACACTCTTCTGATGTCCCTCCATGCTATGATTTTCCCCTTCCTGCATGTTAGTAAGATTTTTTGCCATTTCTCCCAGTGAATCTGTCAGGTTATTTCAGTGCCCCTTCTGAGGGAGAGGGGCGTCTGCCTCTGCCCCCGCAGTGAAGTCATTTCTTTCTTTCTTTCTTTTTTTTTTTTTGTCTTTTTCTTTTTTATGGGTACCAGGGATCAAACTCGCAACAGCCTGCTTGCAAGGCAGGCGCTTATGCCGCTGAGCTAAATCCCCAGCCCCTAGTGAAGTCATTTCTAAAAGGCTAGACGTGATGGCAAGTCACTCATTGAGAGACTAACCTGGTCCATGCTCTCTGCGTTTGCCTCATGTCCCAGGTTATTGGCCTTCAGGACAGTTTTTTTCTATCATGTTTGCTGCTATGTATTTATATGTTGCTTACATATCTCACTGTACAAGTGTCAAATACTACAAACACTGACAAAGCAGTTGGAGGTCACTGAAATTTTACAGCCTGTGAGGGATACTGCCTATCTACACACGCTAGTGAAGCAGAGAACCTGAAGAAGCTCCTGGGAAAAACAGGACAGGAGTGGGGTTACAGGGAAAGGGCACTCAAGACAAACATTCTATAACCCAAAACTTTGTCTAGGAACAGCTCTGAGAGCAAGAAATGGAGAATTTCTTCTTTTTTCCATATTCTCTCTGGATTCAACCTTCTTAACCTTATCTTTTCCCCTCAATGCAGAATTCGGTAAATCACTAGTCTTACAAAATTACATTATGGGCTAAACAGGCTTTTGTAGGTCAGGCTGATACTGTAAGACATAAAGTAAGCGGGTAAAATACGATGAACTTGAGAAGTGGGATTCTCAAAGCAGAACATGAGGCCTTTGACAACTGGATGTGGATAATATAAAAGTGAGCTTTTAAAAAATTTTTGTATTTTGAGAGGGGTCCAGCCATGTGGCCCAGGGGGGTGAACTCCTTAGCTTGGATGCTCCTCCCACGTTAGCCTCTTAAATAACTCTTTTCCAAGGTGGTGCTAATCCAGTTAAATTTACAGCTCTTAACTGTTGTTAGGCAAAAGTAAAGCTGGAGATTTGGCTGTTGTGAGAATGTGGTGTTTTCAGCTGCTTTTGGGGGGCAGGAGAGGAAGCAAAAGGGCTATGGGTGCACCGCTTCTCTCTGCGGTAGATCGGGGAAGACCTTACAACTGAATTGATGTCACAGAAGAAAAAAAATGACAAGTTAAATTAGACTAATGACCCTGCGTTAGATTTTAAGGAGATAAAATATGCCTTTTTCTCACATCAATGTAAAATCATTTGTGGTTTTCTAGTAAACAAAAACATTTATAGTACCTTACAACTTACCTAATTAGCATCTTTCAAATCTAGGTACAGATAATAACTCAGCAGGGCTTTTCACTGAGCACAGCTGTCCTCTGTGACTTGTTTCTATTACGCTGAAGTGTAAGTAGTGACTGTGATACCAGAGCAAATGACTATCCTGATAGTTACAATGCCTAGTCTTGCTAGCTTTTTATTTAAAAAAAAAAAAAAAAGTAAGATCTGGTCAGTATCATCTTTGACATTTTATTGGGTTTGAAAAAATGTCAAGTACAAAGCCAAACTTCTGTCTTTCCAGTTTGAGTGTCTCCAGGGAGAACAGTTGGAGAGGAGGACTTGGTTTAAACAAACAAACAAACAAAAATCCCCGGGAAGCCAATGGTTCTCCCAGGGGAGGCACTGGTGAGGGGTGGAGGGAGCTGCGCCTCGGGAAGGCAGGCTGCCAGGCCCGGAGGAGAAGCCTGGGAAGCAGGGCTCTGCATGTCCCTCCTCCTCTCCCCAGCCCAGTCTGCTCCCCTTCTTTCAGGTCCCCCTGCCCAGCTCTGATCCTAACCTATCTCCATAGTTACATGAGAAGTCTGCTGGAGCCAAACTGGCCCTCAGAAAAATGCAATTAAAAGAAATTCTAAAGGACCATTAACTTCAGTAATAACTCAAGAGTCAGAATCAAAATACAGATATATTGAAATGGTCTTGAACTGGGGTGCAGTGAGGTACTTAGGCAGCTTTTGCTAAACATCTGCACACACACATTTGCTTGACTCTAAATTTAAAAGCAGTATAGCCTGCTCAAGATATAAATGAGCTTTCAAAAATTATTTCAATCAACAGAAGTATTGTGTTGGTATTCTAGCACTTAAAAGTAACACAGGATATTGAAAAAACTAAAATTGATATTATGATTATTAATGTAAATAGCTGTTTTTCAGTGGCCAGTATATATTTAATAAAACCTAAAGTTTGTACATCTAATATGAAAGCTATGCCAGACTATTATATTTCAGATTAAGTAAGTCTGTGTTTAACGCTAAGCACGCATTAAAATATACTCCTAGTACTACTATCCTTTCATTTAAAAAAAAAAAAGAAAGATTATTTCACTGTCACCAGTGTGCGGCTGGGCTCAGGAATATGTATTTTTAAGTTTCCTTAGTGATCCTAATACTTGCTTCTGGTCAAGAGTTACTGTTTTAGAGAGTGTTACATATTATTACTCATCTCTCAGTGTTCTCCACTTAGTCACAGTGAAACTTAGTATCTCATATGCGAAGCTGCTTTGCTTACAAATCCATTGGTAATGTCATCATCACCTGGGGTTTGTTTTTATAAGTTTCAAAGTAGCAATTGAAAAACCATTTAAACTTTCCTTTTACACTATCTCTTAATCTTATCAGAATTAGTCTCTCAACAGGTGATTGTAACCAGTTATTCAAAACCAAGTGGGAATTTAAAGGTAATAGATTTAGGAGTGGGCTGGGAAAGAAGTTTTCTTTAAACTGCAGAGTCACCCATTCATAGCATAAGGAATAGCAGGATAAAAAGGGGAAGCTGCTTGGAGGTCAGATTCCTCCTGCAATAATTTCTCATGGTATGGCTTTATTAGTTTATTTCCATTGATGAGAACTCACTGTGTATTCTCATATCCAGATGGAAAGAAAAACATTACTTCAATATTGATTTTCAGGTCATGAACCATTTTTATGGTTAAATTCAATTTAAATCCCTTCTACATATTATAAAAAGTTTATTGACATACCTTGGGTCAAGAAGACTCCTCAAAAATTTGAAAAGCAATACCTCATTCTGAAAGAAGAAACAACACAAATATTAAAACAAATTTTGCACATTATACTATAGTAATGAACCATTCTAGTCAATCCCTTTAAAATGTGCAGTTACGACTTTTTCCATGAAGCTTCTCTAGAGAGCTAAAGAATTCCAAAGAGTCACCTGTAAGTCCTTTAGGCCCTCTCAATAGTTCTAATCACTGTCACACACTCAGTTTTGAATGGAGGAGGAATACACCTTTTTAGCTTTTAAAAAGGGCTGGAATGAGACAAATCCCTGTGGGGTTCCCAACATAAGAACCGTGGAGAGGCCCTGGCGGGTGCTTTGAACCACTCTCCTCAAATTATTAATTCAGTAAGCGGCTCTTGTTTTCCTGTGAAATGAGGTTCAGTGATGTGAATTCTGAGTTCTGGCTGCAATGCCTCATCTCTCCTGGTTACAATCACCTGCTGGGCGACAATTACTCCAGGGAGGGTTTAAGGCCCAAGTGAACAGTGAACAGCCACCACCAAAACAAACCATTATCTCCACAATATGATCAACTACAGAAATGATGATAATCAAATTGTAATGTTAGCAATCAGTATGTCAAAAACTTGGGTTTTGCCTGTGACACTAATGAGCCGTGTGACTGTGCACTTCTTCTCCTAGCACTCATTCCCCGACGTGGCAGAAACTCCCAGCAACATATTCGCTGCCTTCTGCACAGGGCAGTGGTGAGCGTTAAATGAGACCAACCCCTACTACATAAATACAGATAATGTTTCTAGTTCTCGGGAAATCTAAGCAAAAATTTATATTGTTCAGTTTTTTTTTTTTTTTTTGACACATTCAAACTTCATCGGTAAAAGCAGAGTGAAAAGGTTTAATGTCATTTTAAGAACATGATTTTAAATATATATTCGTTATGTTTAAAAAGACTGATACATGGTATTTATTAGTCTTTATCAGCCTTTGATTTCCTATCTTTTCCCTATTTGTTTTATGTGACTTTCTCCTGGTTACAATATCACTCCAGCTTATTTTTTCCTCAAGAATTGTGAAAACAATTAATCAGTCACACAGATTGCCATTAAAAGTAAAGGTACTTTGTAAGATCTGTGTGGAATTCTTACACAATTAATAAAGCTCTGCAATAAGAACACTCAAAAGACTACAATCAAATTGTCACTTTTTTCTTATCCATGATACTTTAGCTTGTACACAGTTTTCTGAAAAATGACACTATATCTACTTACTAGGCTTTGTGGTCTCAGTATTCTTACAGACTACAGGAAAAAGAAATCCTTCCATTGATAATCTTATACTTAACAAACTAAGGAACAATGACACCAGCACAGCACGTGGGGTTCACCAACTGTGGGTAAGGGGATGGTGTGGGCAGAGGGCCCTCCCCCCAGCCCCATCAGACAGGGGCGCCCTCATCCTCGCCCTCCTCAGTACCCCCAGGGCTGAATCACCACCCCAGCCTAACCTGTAACTGTTGCTGGCTTATCTGCCTTTTTCTTTGGGGGCAGGCATTACATTTATGTTTTTGTGTTCTCAGCACTTCATGTTTCTGGACTCAGAGTACAAGTATTTATTGAATCAATAGCTAAGTCTTTATTCTGACCTAATGCTGGACAACCAAGCCTGGTATCTGGGAATAATTTTTAAATTTTTCTATCATATTCAACTCATTTTCAAGTTCTATGTGTTTTATTTCATAAAAACATCTGGAATCTGCCTCTCCACTGACACCGGCTTTCTCCTGGTCCTCACATCTTTTGCCCAGACTTCTTGTCTTCTAAATGGTCTCTCTGCTCTTTTTGTTCTCCTTGCCAGCCTATTCTACACATTGCTAGCCAAGATTCATTTTCTGTAAAAGGGATCTAATAAAATCATCCTTTGCTTATACAAGTTAGCAATTCTCCCACACATGGAAGGTGAGTACATTACCTATAATTGCATATAATTACATATACTATCAGACTGCAAGCTACGTTTGCCAGCCTGTATCATTCTGACCTGTTCCCACACATCCCTTCTATCCTAATTCAAGGCTGTGTCCACACGCTTCACACAGACCTGGCCATTTTCTGAATGTACTGCTGCTCTGTGCCTCTTCCTCTTCACATACTCACAGCACTCTATGTAGAAAACCCTTTTCAGCTCTCAGGAAAACTGAGACCAATAATTCTAGACCTAGTTCAGTGAGAATTCTTGTCTGATTTCCTCATAGTCTGTCACTTTTCTTTCATTTCTACAGTTCTTTTTACATATTTCTGGTGCAGCTCTTGCAACGTGGTACTACAGTTACATAAATGACCTGTTCCACAGGAAAATTTAAAGGGAAGGTTGAATTCTTATTTGTGTCCTCAGGGCCTACAACACTTTGGTAATGCATGGGGACACTATAAGCTCTTGAATGAATTTCAAATCTTCGCCTCTCAGGTCACCCGGCTCCCATTCAGCTCTCTGATTTTCATTTTGCAAACTGTTCCCTACCATTATTAGTACAATTTGAGGACTCTAGTTTATGTTTTATGTCGCTGTTGTTGTTCTGGCCCCATATTGGCAGTGAGCAAACCCACTAGTAATACTGCCATGTAAGTGACAAGACGAACGCTAGATCCATTAAAGACTAACTTCCAACTGAGCTTCTTAATATTCAGCATGCATGCAGCTGTATTCTAGTTGAGACTGTTCAAGAAAATTTCTAGAAAATCAACACCAATTCTACCTTGAGGATCACAAAGCTTCAAGTAAGTAACATGAATCTTAAAGAAAATACGGTTGTGGCTCCCACAGAAAAAGAAAATGGATGGAAGACAGAGTTTTCTGTGGAATGTGATTTCTAGAGTAAGTGTGTGTTACAGTTCTAAAGGTGTTCCTCTTGTGTTAATGTTATACCCACAGATGATCTCCCTCATTTTGAGATCCAGAGATCATGGCATAGCTGCTTTACACACACACACACACACACACACACACACACACACACACTGCAGAAATGACTAAAGTGGAACATCATTTTAAGAAATTACTACAATCAAAAATTCACAGGTGGAGGTTTAACAATTGTCTCTCAACTGGATGTTTTTTCATAATGTACTCCTGCAATATTTACCTGAAGTTTTTTAATGACTGTTTCAATCTGTTCAGAAAAGTGTGTAGCAACCAGCTCTGCAGCTTTACAAGGCTTCAGGGATACAAGTTCCTGGAGTTAAAGGAAAAGATAAAGCCATTTAAGATGACATATTTAAACAGAATATCCATAGATAGGAAGTATGGTTACCTACTTTCACATTGTCACAAGTGTCCACACTGTATTTCAGAAGACCTTGACATAGGGCTTCCATTTAAAGTGTATAATGAGAAAAATTGGAAATGTTTCATACAATAAAACAGAAATTGACCTTTAAATAGGGTAATTTTGAATTCTTAGAAAATGAAAGCACTATGAAACTTCGCGAGTTCTTTGTCAATGAATTTCACTCTTGAGCTTTAAAGTAGTAACTGAAAGAAATGGGAGAAAGTACAGTTGCAATTCCTCTGGCTGAGAATTCTAAACATTTACTTCTGGTGCCTGGTGGATTTGGAAACCTTAAAGTATCTTAAGAAATCAACTTGAGGCGCTAAATCTTAAAGGAGACTAAAAATCAGCACTGTAAATTAACCACTATTAATAAGACCTGTTTCTGCCAAATCTAAGATTCCTAATCTCTCCTATCCTGGAAATTTCCTTGATGCCACCGGCTGCCCTTTTTTTCCTGAAACTCTGTCCTTCCTTGGATTCCAGTCTGCCGTTCCAGGTGGAAGTTGACAGGCAGGAACGCTGCTCAACCACAGCCACAATTCACAGCCAAATGCAAAGACTAACTGTAGACCAGCCTCGCATGCTAGCTTGTAAGACCTGAACAAGTTACGTCACTGAAATCTTCAAGATACATTTAATAATTGCTATCATGTAGTATTTGTAAATTAGCTCACACAATTATGATATACACTAATGAACTACATCTTAAAAGAAGGTAAACATCTATTTCACAAACAAAAGGCATATTACTACTAATCTGGAAATTAGAAACTAATTAATTTATCACAAGAATTTGAAAACTTAGGCAAAATATATAAATTCTAAAAAAGTATAATTTAATAAGCTGACTTAAGAAACAGCCTAAATCAATTTTCAACAATAAAAAGACAAGTAGGAGTTGGGATTTAGCTCAGCAGCTCAAGCACTTGTCTCCAAGTGCCAGGTTGTGAGTTTAAACCCTGGTACCAAAAAAACAAAACCAAAAACCTGGTAGGCTGGGGATGTGCTTCAGTGATAAGAATGCCTGCTTACCAGAAGCACCTGGCTTTGAGCTCCAGCACTGGGGAAGAAAACGACCAAATAAAAAGGCTGGGTATAGTATCACACACTTGTTCCAGCTACTCTGGAGGCTGAGGCAAGAGTTGCTCAAGCATAAGAACTCAAGGCCAGGCTGAGCAACATAGCAGGATACTGTCTCAGGAAAAAAAAAGAAAATTAAATGAATAGTCAAAAATCTTCCCATATGGGAAACAAATGGCCATATGGCCTCACTACTGATTTCTAGTGACTATACTGGTACCTCAGAGTTCACAAATGCAAAAGCCTCCAATGAACACATCACAAAAGAGAAAAATGAAATGGTCAATAAACATGAAAAAGCTGTCCATGTCATTAGTAATTAAGGACATATAAATGAGTTACCATTACACATGGTAATATGTTACCATTATACATCCAAGATTGAAGAGTTTTAAAGTCTAGCAAGGACAAAAAGTCAATGGGAATGTTCTAACACTGGCATCCACTGAAGCTGAACATGTGAATCCCAATTACCTACCAATTATCTATCCTAGAGCAGAGATTACTGGTCATCATGCACCGTAATTAGCTGGAGGACTTGTTAAAACACATTTTTGGATCCCATCCCCAGAGTTCCTGCTTCAGAAGGTTTGGAGATTAAAACTGCATTTTTACCAAGTTCTCAGCCTAAAGCTGGGCACCAGACTGAGAACCACTGGGCTAGAGAGATGCACGTGGCTGTGCTCAAGATATAGGTACAGCATATCATACAGATGTGCATGATCATGCACAGATTTAATAGTCCCAAACCAGAAATAACTGAAATGTCCACTCAACAGTAGAATGGATAAACTCTTATGCTTTATGTCTAGATGTCCTCCTGAAGTCTCAGGGCCCATCGGGAGGGTTTGTGAAAGGTGACTGAATCATAGGGCATGGTACTCATGATGAGTTCATAGCTAACTGGGAAAGAAAACCTGAGCGGAGAAGTGGGTCCTTAGGGATGTGGCCTGAAAGGCTCTATCTTCCTTGCTCTTTCCTTATCTCTGTTTCCCACTGGCCACACCATGAGCTTGCATGCTGCTCTGCCATGCTGCTCTGGACTGAAACCATTACAAACTGTGAACCAAAAATAAAGCTTTCCTCCTTAACTCATGGGTGTTGGGTATCATGTTTCAGTGATGAGAAAAATAACTGAGACATAGATTGTGATGTATTTATAAAATGGAATATTATACATAAACATAAACTGCAGCTCTCTACAACAAAAAGTACAAACCTTTCAAACAAAACATGGAGCAAAAATAAAACAGAAAATACAGAGCGTAATTTGAGTTCAAAACCAGGCAAAATGAAAACATATTTGGGAATACATGGAGAAGCAGTAAAAGTATACAGAAAGGCAGAAAATTATCACGAAAACGGGGATACAATAGGAATATAGAGGGAGGGTAAGGTAAGCGGTAGGGGACTTATTAGGAAAAGATATATGGGAAGAGTCTAGGACAGAAGACGTATGTTTCTAGAGCTGACTTTAGAATGTTTTCTAGTTTTTAAAAATTAAACTGTACATTTGTTTTATGCACTTTTCCAAATTTCTTATTTAAAAATAAAATATTTTTTAAAATTCAATGAAATATGTTCTGCCCATATTGGTGAAACCATCTAAACCGGAAATTCTTTACTAGGAATCCACAGGGTCTAACCTAAAAATGGATTTCAGAGGTCTTGGTATCCCTGAAACTAATAAAAATCACGTGCCTAAGCACGTGTGCAGGTACAGGTCCAAATCTTTCATTAGATTCTCAAAAAGGGTCTAGAATTTCAAAAGTACTAAGAACCACTAAGTTTACATTGTATATTGTCAAAAAACTATTATAACTTTTCCCATGTGCTACTATTTATTATTGACATTACTGGAAACAGACGTTCTTTGATTTAAAAAAATCTCCATCTACTTGTAAACATGGCCTTATGAGAGAGATATTAAAAGGTTTGAGGTGAACCAATGTGAGAAAAAAGAGTCAGCAGAGATAACTGTTCTGTAGCAAAAATACTCCTTGCTTCTCTAGCACGAGTTTTTGCTGAATAATTTGTTTGCTCATTGATTAATTCATCATATTTCACATTATGCAGAGAGACCCAGTTTCATTTTTGGGTGTCTGGAGTCTACATGCTCAAACCACTGCATAATGCCAATGAATAAAAATGAAGAATGAGCCAGAATGTAACTGTGGAGAGCTGAAGCACATGATAAAAAAGGAAACAAAATGAATACTGGAAGGAAAACAGTTAAAACTCAAAACTGGAGGGAGATATTGTTGGGTTCTTTCCCCAAGACCCACTGAGCTTGTCTGGAAGATGATAGCACAAAGTTCACACCCCATGCTCTCAGTGCTACAGAGGGGAGGGCGGCAGGCACGTCTCGCTGCCTGTATCAGCTTTCACACTGAAGCTCCCCTAAGATGCGTCTACGTGCATGATCTAAGTATGAAAGGGCTTTAATCCTCAAGCAAACCAGCATTAACAAAAATAATAATATGGTACCTGCCACTGCTTAGTTAGCAGAAAGTTAACTCGGAAGAATCTATTTAAACAGGGAGGTTTAGAACGTTTTGTTGAATCAGTACCTCAATGTGATCCATTGCTTTGTGCCACACGGACTGCTTCTCCTCGGCACTGTGGCCAGGGATGGACAGGATGTTATGAATGTAATTAAAGACTTCTTCCTGCAAAGTGCGAGGCAACATAACTTACTCACCTACTTACTCGAGCAACGTTTAGTCACTACCTACTATCTGTGCCACTCTTGGTACGCGTCTGTTATTTGAAGACGGAAAATCATTTAGATAGTTAACTGGTGGGAAACAGATACTGAAGAGAAAGAGTAAATATTTAAAATCTAGGGTAGAATCTCAATAGTTACAAATCTGTTCCAATAATCTTGGTCTCAGTTTACTAACTTTCAATGACCTAGTAAGTAGTATCATTTAGCTTTTAGTGGTTTTGTCCTACATTCTCAATTTCATCATGACTATCCTTCCCCTTGCCTGGTACATTCTGTCCACACTGATTTTCATTTTCTCTGTACACTCTCTATTCAGTTCCCTGAACATGTCGCCCGCCCCACTCAGGACCTTCATATCCAGCTCCCAATCCGGAAGTGCTTTTCCTTTGGCTCATTGTTCCACTCACTCCTCAAATCCCATATGTGTCTCTTTCTCTGAGATGCATTCTCAAGCTCCTCCGCATAAGTTAGTTCCTCATTATCCTCTGAAGTTGCGCCCAGTTTCTCACATTTACTATAGCACCCCAGCACTTCCTACAATCTACAATTATGTATTTTGTTTTTGCTTACTATGAATCACTATTACTAAACTTAAATTCCAAAACTGTAAGAACTACATCTGTTTTAGTTATCAATATGGAATTGGCTGTACTATAGGAGCTAAATAAAAACCTAAATAAAGGAAGAAAACTTTGGATCAGCAAACACACGACTAAATATTTCTATTGAATAGCTATTTCTACCTGATAAGGGAAGGGAACTTTAAAAAAACAGGTAAAGTGCTTCTTAACTTGCCTCTCTCAGTGGGTCACGCAAGTAGCAATCAATAATTTTGTCATACTGGTGTTCCCGTTCATACATAAATTCACAAATTTGATAGCTAGAATGTAAAAGGAAAACATCAGTGTACCAAACAGGCATTCAGTTATTAGCTTACTGGGTTAAGAAGTTTATTCAGTCATAACGGTTAATGTTTAATGAATAATGTGATTTCTAAATAATGTTGTACAGGTTAATTATTCCTAATCTCGATGCTCAAAGGCTTTCTGGATATCAGCACATTTCAGATTTTGAATTTTCAGATTACGGATACTCAACCAGTAAGGTATGTGTCAATATTTCAAATTCTAAAAATCTCTAACATCTGAAACACTTCTGTTTTCAGTCTTCTCAGATAAAGAACACTCAGCTTGTATTAAGTATTTAAAGGAGATCAGTATCTGCCATCCCCTCCAAATAGGTTTAGTACTGCTGAATATTATGCTTAGAAGAAATTTCAATGCTGGGTACAAAAAAAGATAAAGGAATGATGTGTCACATAAAAAATCAATAGGGAGGTATTAATTCATTATCTGCATATTTGAAGTTTTTCTGTGCAGAATGAAGTATGACAAAATATTCAACACAGCAGTGTTAACAGTCTGTATCTCATTTGTACGTCCAATTCTGCATTGTTTCTACTGAATGTAACTCTTCAAAATACCATGGAAATATTAAGTTTTAAAAATCTAAAATAACAAGACATCATAAGACTTTCATATTAAAACAAATGTTACCATTTCATTAATTTTTAGAATTCAACTGAAAGGCAAAAACACATAGGTTTTTCTTGCTTTTACTTATATAACAATAAAAAACAGCAATGCACAATCTATTGAGCTTCAAGTTAGAGAAATACAATTTAATAGTTTTATGCAAAACTAACACAACTTCACAGGAACTTACAACTCGGCCTTTTCTGCCATACGAATGAGCCGGCTTTCTTCAAACTGAACTATGCCACCAGCCTGCAGCAATTCTAAAAGGACCTGAACATCAGAATAAATGAGTAAAAACACTTTGGAATTTATTTTTATTTATCAGCTCTGTAGAGGTCTATCAACCATGTGCACCATTACTTTTGTTTTTATACTTTTACCTGCTGACATTTTGACTTGGCGTTCATATATGCAAGGAGTCAAACTGCTGTTACAATAGTGACTGTATCTAAGTCACGAAAGAGAGATCACTTTGCTTTTCAAACATGGAAGGCATGCCACAGTATTTTCAAATACAGGCCTGTTAGAATACTGAATGCACCCACCAAAATTAAGCTAAAAATGTCTACACGTATTTTTCAACAAATGAGTTTCTGTTTGATACTTGATGTCTTATGGTTCTTTAAGATCCACTGTCCATAGATAGTATCTATGTTTATATACTAATTTTAAAAATAACATTGTATTTTCTCATAGTAGCACTATTCCAAATATCCAAAAGGCAGAAACAATCCAAATGTTATCATGGAATGAATGGATAAGCAACATATGGTGTATGCACACAAGGGAGCTTTATTCAGCCTTTAAAACAGAAGAAAATTCTGATAAATGCTGAAACATGAATGACCCTTAACGATATTATGCTTAGTGAAATAAGTCAAACTCAAAAAGACAAACACCATGACTGCACTTACAGGACGTACGTAGAAAAAGAAAACACTGAGAGGCAGAAAGCAGTAGGTAGGTGACAAGGGCGGGGGCTAAGGGAGTGAGGAGTTACTTCTCACAGCGCGTGCAGTTTGGGAAGGCGAAAAGTTCTGGGGACAGATGGCGGTGACGACGGTCATACAGCAACGTGAACAGGGACCTAACGCCACTGGGCTGTACGCTAAAATGGCACATTTTATGTCGTGTATAGCTTATAACAATAGAAACAAAATCACTGGGGGGTGGTTCACATAATTTTTACTACACTAAGTAGCTGCATTAAAAAAATGTAGCCAGGGGCTGGGGATTTAGCTCAGCAGCATAAGCACCTGCCTTGCAAGCAGGCAGTCGTGAATTCGATCTCCGGTACTGATAAAAACGAAAAAGACAAAAAAAAAAAAAAAAAAAAAAAAAAAGAAAGAAAGAAAGAAAGAAAGAAAGAAAAAAAATGTAGCCAGGATGTGTGCTAGATTCATAATTTTTTAAATAACCCCAAAAAGATATGAAAGAAGCATTACACATTTAGAGCAGTATGAGTTCCTGCCTGTACTTAAAGTCAAGATCCAGAGCAATAGTACCCTTCTCAGAAGCCTAAGAAATTATTTAACAGAGTATTTTTCTAATATTGTAAATCTTATTATTTTCAAGTTAAATAAAATCTATTCAAATAGCATATTTCAGAACCTAAAGTTAATGTTTTGAGCACTATAGTGTACTTTATATAAAAACTATGTAGTGAACCAAATCTGCTTTGTCAACTTGGGAAAAATAATAGAAATGCCATTGCTGGAGCCAATGTAACCAACCCACATCGCCAGCTGTTAGATTCGTAGGAAGTTTGAAAACCAGTTTTTAAACACAGTGATTATTAAAAATTCAATTATATTAATAATAAATTAAATCTAAAACAAAGGTAATTAGTATTCAAAACTCACCACTTCCTGTTTTAATACACTTTACCACTACACATGCTATTGAGTTTATTATTTCCAGTGTGATGTAACCGTCTGAACAGTAGAAATACATGCAGGCATATTACTGTTCATCTTCTCAAGTGATACAGATTGGAGGTTAAGCCAATCAGCTATCGTGGGAGAGTTACTCACAACATAGAGACTGGCAAACACATTCACCAGCAAAATTCAAAAAAATGCCACATTTTTAAGGATTGTTGAAGAAAAAAGTGGAGGATGACAAAGACCCTCGGTCCTTTATAGAGAAAGTTCACCAATCCCTGGCTAAGAAAGTGATGGGGTAGAATATTAATACAATTAACAATGTGTGCCTATAGCATTATACAGAAGAGCTCAAAAATTGAGGAATTACTTTCCGAGTATTTAAATATTGCCTGATTCAGCAAAGAAATTATTTCATTGACTGAAGAGTAATGTTCTGACAAATTTTCTCTGTACTTTGATCTTACTCATTTACACAGATGAATATATCAGCTAATATTCATATCAGAGCTATACTTAGGGCACCAGCTGCTGAACACTTATCAGAATACTGGAATATAATAAAATTATTGCACAAATTTTGGCATATAATAATTGGTGCTGGAATAGACGTGAAGAAGATGAATTCTGATCATATTTGTGACAAACAACTTAATTCATCTTTTTTAAAATGGGGAAGGGGAATAAAAACCAGATAATCTCAAGGGGATACACAGAAATATGTAATATAGTAAGACTAAGCCAACAGGGTGGCGCGTGGCTGTGATTCCAGACTTGAGGAGGATCACAGCAAGTGCGGGGGCAGCTCCTTAGAGTTTGGCATGGTCATTTCCCCCTCACCTTCAGTGAGGTCTAGCTCACGAACACACACTTAGTGAGGTCTAGCTCATGAACAGAAGTTCCTTCTGACTTAGTCTGACCTCTTGCCCAGTCTGTAGCAAGAATATAGTTACTGGTACCTGCTGTCTTTCAGAGTGTCGGGAGTCATCATCAGGGCTACACAGGAACTCAAGCACCTGGCCAAAGAAAAAGTAATCTTCATGTGACATCAGCTCATGTGCAGACACTGTCTCTTTTATACCACCAGTTTATTCACACTCAGCCACAAAAACGCCCCACATGTATGCTACTTTCTCAACTGAGTGGTCTGGTGTACGAAACATTAGGCTCAAGCACACTGACAACTCCATACGTGCTATATATATAAATATTCTTCTTGGTTTAGAAACATTACAGGAGGGTGGTGCCATCACGGACAGAGCAAGCAGACTGTGGTCGGAATCCTAACCACATTAATGCACAGTAAAACATCAGTGCCAACAACGACACTTATTTGTGATATGGGATGAGTTATTTAATCTCTTCAGGATTCATTTTTAAAATAAGTGCAACAGTACCAGTTTCAGACCTGTTAGAAGCAGCATGGATGAACTTTGGAGCAGGCCTCGGCACCGTGAAGCACTCAGCAAAGGCTAGTTATTACTTACTTTCTCCAAACAGAATGCACTTTCTTTGCCATCATCAATATATAGGGGATATTTGGGATATAGGGGATAGTGGGATTAACAGATGACTATAGAGTCAAGCTCATTTGTAAGTAAACTCACATTTTCTAAAACTAATTTTTTCTGCAGATGATCACCACATAATTTTGCTATTAGTGAGATGTGGTGATTCTTCAATTAGAACATTCCTGAGCAGAGAATTCTAGGCAACTTAGAGCAAGAGGGTAACAGAGATAAGAGCATGTCTATAAGCCACTCTTTACTATCTGTCGCTCCGTAGGAGCAGCTGGTTAGGCAAACTTGTGCTACAGAACACATCATAAAACACACTCAATTTGGATCCAAAACCTCAACAGGCCTCTCCAAGATATGACATTTACCCAACAGTTTGTCATATTAAGAAACAGGGTCCTAAATTTTTTTATCAGCAGTAAACAGAGGGAAAACAATTCTGATTCTCACTGTTGAAGACACTTACCTGATCAAAGAGTGTTCGGTTCACAAACAAAGTGTTGTCAGGCTTTGCAAGCTGCCGAGCAAGGAAAGTAAAGAGACACCCTACTTGTGAGGGAGTAAAATCTGAATTCTCCACCATAACCTGGGGAGCAAAAGAGACCATTTATTCATTATGTCATCTGATTTGGTGCAAAAGTTAGAAGACAAGAAGGCTCATTATTGAAAACTCATGAAAAGATTCTTTTATTGATTTGCAAACACGGAGTTAGTATCTTTTAGAGAAGAAATGAAACTTCTTGCATACTCTGAAAGGAAAGCAATTTGGTGATTTTTGGCATAATTCTAAACAATGTGGATGAGAACTAATTATTAAGAGAGGGCATATAAAATTTCAAAGAAATATTGAATATGTTTCCCTTTGGAATTCTTAAAGAATCCTACTGAAATTAATTTTAAATAACCCTACCAAAAGCTGTCTGTCAAGAAGGGAAGAAGAAAGCAACCTCAGAGTTTAAAAGAAAAGCACCCAGAAAAGAAGTCGGCCCCAGGACGCCTAACAGCGAATGGCTTCTGCCTTGCTGACTGGCAGTCCCTGGAGCAGGTAGCTCTGTGAACAGGCTTTTGACAGTTAAGAGCACACACAGGGACCCACCCACACCTATTCCTGTTTTAACCCAGCTCCTACTTTCTGCATTCCCACTCTGTATAAGGTGCTGCGGGACAGGAATTTTTTAAGGGAATCATTAACTAGACAGTGAGACAAGTAGAGGCATCTGAAATAACAGGCATGACGTGTTTGTGCTCTTCTAATGGCACAATTAGAAAAAGTGGTCATTTAACTGGTTCCAAAGGGAATTTAAAAAGAGAGGGGAACCTCTGACAGGGGAGACGTCCTCAGCGATGAGTGTGAGAAAAAGAATGGACACAGGAAGACACAAGTTTAAGAGGAGAATGCTAAGTCCCGCTAGATGTGGCAGTATGCAGGATGAGGAAGAAACTACTAGGGAGATCAAAAGAGAAAGTTGAGCCTCAAAGGTCACCTGAAGGAATCTGAATTTATTGTGTAGAAACTGAGAAGTCATTAAAGGTAGCTTCAACCAGGAGAGTTGATCATGATTAGTACTGTGTGCAGGAAAATGCCCACGTTGGCAGTGTACAGGACAAACAGCAGAAGGAAGAGAAGGCGGACAGACCAACAAGCAAGTGCCCGGAAGGGTCCTGCAGAGAGAGGAAGGGGTGCGGAGCCACAACAGGGGTGCGGGAAAAGCAAGGGGAACGGGTACAAAGCACTGCAGCAAGAGGAGACGAGTGCTCCTCCACACAGAAACACGTCACCAAAGGAGCAATGAGAAGGTGACAGACTGTGAGCGTGATGGGCAGTGCCAATGATGCCAGGAACACAGAGAACGCAGAAGTCTGCGAGGGAAGATCTTTATTGTTTGGGCTCACTGAATTCATGAAGGCAGCTCCACTCCCAGCTGAGATAGCTATTAAAATGTCTCAAGTTCCCTCCTTCTGCCCTGCATTCAGAGGTGGGCTTGAGTCAAGGGAACGAGGTCACTGGCACTGCCCTCACGAGACATTACCGCTGGCTGGAGTAGCAAGTAAAGGGTGGGCCAACCCCTGAATCTCTCAGGGATCTCCCTCTCACATACACTCCCACAATGATGCCATTGCTACTATGTGCACCTGACAGGGCCCGCTAAAGCTGAACACATGGGGTGGCCCAATTTTCAACTTTCAACCTCTAAAACTATCAGCTCAACTGACCTCTTCTCTTATTAAAGTGCTCAGCTTCAGTTATTTTCTTATAGTAACAGGAGATGGACTAGTATGTGCCACAGCATCTATTCTTCCTCCTTTTTAGCTAGTAATGGTTATCCAGAATACAGACTGTATTTCTCAGCTTCTTTCAGCAGCTTAAGGCAAAGTTCTAGATAATAGGATAAGCAGAGTTGCAGTATATTTAACTTCTAAAAAGTTTCTTCAAAGAGAGAAATCATTTCCTTCTTCATCTCTTTCTGTATTCAGACTCATCAGAATGCAAAGATGATCTGGGATCAAAAGACAGAAATCATATACTAAATAAGACGGAAGGAAATCTATCTCTGCTAAGTTTGTAATGTCCCTCCTGTCTATCTCCAGGTTCATATGAAAAAAACACTTTCCCATCACAATTTATTGTCATATTGAGTTTTGTCTCACAGCAGAATTTAATTCCAACTTACCCAGTATGAGGTCACAGAACAACATTAGATCAAAAGAAGGCAAGATAAGGAGTAGGGAGGCCACATAAGAAGGGATTTAGGTAATATACGTAAACAGTCTCCACGCTAACCATCCAGGTCACACTGGCATTATCTGAGAATGTAGCCATCTCATTCTCATGTTCAACACTGCCTATCTCACAAGGCTAATCAACGGCTCAAATGAGAAAATGTACACACTGTTATGTGCTTTGGAAGTTATAGAGAACTATTATAATTAGATGTAATATAATTATGCTAAGTACAACTAGAGATCACTGCAATTTGAATCTCTTGTCCAAAATAACCTAGAAGTCATGAAAATGAAGAAATACCCGTTTCACAGCCAGATGAACAAAATGAAAACTCTAAGCTTTCAACTAAAAGAGGAGAAAGTAGCTACTCAAAGTTAGACAGATGGGAAGGACAAGAACCTGTCTCTGCAGCCATGCATTAGCAAGAGCATAGACCTCAAAATAGCACCACTGAATCTAGTTAGATTCAGAGAAAGATGATCATCTCTGTATCCTTCAACTTATTCTGAGTGTCACCCGTCAACTGAGTGCCATAGTAGAATATGGCATTACCATAGCAACACAGCAATGATGGAAAGAGACAGTGATGATTCTTCACATTAATTACTTTCTCAAAGCACTCTACAGTTCGTCTATCATTACACTCATACAGAAATCACCACAATACCCCAGTATCCAGTCTAAAGCTGAGATATATCAAATTTTTTCATTGATGAATGATTAGCATTTTGTTCAGCTCTTAAGGACCAAGACACTATAATAAAATTTTAAGAAGTGACTGCAACAGTCTATGGCCCTACCACACTGCAAGTATCCAATCTCATCAGAAATGACTGCAACAAACTTATTAAACAATTTTATTTTAGAACTTGAGATGAAACAATTTGTTACCTTAACATAAATATCAGTATAAAGACACATAATCTTGGCTTACTTTCAACAAAATATCCACAATTCGCTGTTGGTATTCCACAGCTTGCTTATCATTTTTAAAATCTTCAAACGTCTGAAAAGGAGAAAGAAATTTTTTAAAGTAATTATTATTTGCAAATTTTAGGAGGAAATACATTATTGAATTCTTGTGGATAAAATCCAACTAAATTCCCAAATAAGATAACCATTCTCAAGGCAGGGGATATAGCTCTGCGGCACAGAGCCTGTTTGGCCAGCACAAGGTGGTGAGTTCAATTCCCAGTACCAAAAAAGAAAAAAAAGAACTATTCTCATCAAGCTTTTCTTTACATAGTTATAATGATAAGTTACTCTGAGGAAGTCAGGTGGAAAGCCACAGCATTTGATATTTCATGGTATTCTAAGATCTTAACTGAAACCAAACGTGAAGTATATAAACATAGTGGTTATCACACAACCTGAAAGCACTTGAGAAAGGAAGTAAGGCAAATTCTCCACGCAAAGAAAAGAGAAAGAATGCTACTGGCAAGAGGCAGTTTGGGAGCAAAGGTCTGTGGGATACAAGGATAAAATGCCACATACTCAGTCATCATTCAGTCTGTTACCTGGCAATAAATGACATGAGTTTAAGTGTCATGAAAAATAATATTCATAATTCCCATGACGATTAAGAAAAGCTGATGTCCAATGACAGGCATTTAAAAAATTAACATTTACGAAACTTTAATGTTAAAATTCTTAAGCCTACTCATAAGGATTAGGTATCTTACTCTCAAAACAAAGACAGTTCCTTATATTTCACTACTCAGGTAGACCCAAAAGTGTTCTGAATATAATACACATGCAAGGGAAGGCAGCCCTAGATTCTGCCTGGCAGTATGTGACAGTGACAGGTCACCACTGTCACACCAACACCGAGCTCCCCTGGGACTCACGTGTGAAGGAACTGAAATTGGATGTTATCAAGAAGTTGAAATAAACACGTCTGCTATGTAGTAAGGATAATGAAAGACTTGAAAATCTTTCCTATAGTTTCACTTAGCACATTTCATTCTGAGAAATGTTTAACCCAGAAAGGAGTAATTTACTGCTATTTCTTGATCAAGAAAAAAGAAGATATATTCTCTCAATAGATTAAGAGAAAGAAGTTGCACATTCAGGAACTTTTAAGACTACATCATGGTTATGTTTAAACTACAATACTTGTTCTTCAGTGGGCCATGAGTTTCCCCAACTTCTCCAAAGAACCTGTGTTCTTAATAGTATGTCTTTCTCTTCCCTCTTCTGTATGGCATCCAACAGGTGCCTAACAAGACTGCCAAATTGTTAGTTATTTACAAAGAAAAATAAAATATTTTAAACTTTCTTCCCCCAACTTCTGATTTGCTGCCAGCTAGTTGAGAAAAGCTGAAATAGGTTGCCAAGGAGATGGTAGGAACTGGAAGGCTCAACCAGAAGAAATTTTTTTTTTTATGTGAGTTAAATATGGCCTTACTTGAAGACAGGAAGATAGACAGGAAAATTTCTCAGTTCCATCTTCTGACTGAGAACATACTCCTTCCCACCCCCATGCCAGGCAAGATGTCACTCTGTAGATCCTGTGGGGACTTACCTGCTAATGTAAGTGCTATTCAACTAAAACCTAACTCCATGGAGAATTACCAAATGTACTAAAAATGACAGCAATTACAGCAAGTCAGAATTTTCTTAGCCACTTTCCTTTTGGCAGCATGTACTCACTGCTTTGAAACAGACACTGAAAGTTTGTTTCTATAAATATAATTAAGTGGTGACACACTATAGTGTGAATGTTATGATACATATAATGACATATTTTAGTGGTAGTTAACAACTGCCACCAAATGGCACATCATTCCTAGAACACTAACCTTCCACAAGGATGCTTCTAAATGTTCAATGTTTGTTACAAGAGTCATATGTTATGATATCCTGCTGGAGAACTATAGTTTGTGAAATATAAAAGTGAACTCAAAACCTAAGTTCAGGGTCATCTGAGCATAAAAACTTCTTTTTGTAGTTCTTTTAAAATTGTAGGGTTTTTGAATGAAACTGAGTAAGTTAAATCCTAATCTAGGGAACAGTAAACATTCTTCATAAAGGGTAGGTTTTGAGGGCTATATGTTGTCTCTATCATACATTCTTTTTCTTCATTTTTCACAACCCTGTGTGTGTTTGTTTGTTTTGAGACAGGGTCTCACTATGCAGCTCAGGATAACCTTGCGCTCACTTTGTAGCCCAGGTTGGTTTTGAATTCACAGCAATCCTTCTGCCTCAGCCTCCTAAGTGCTGGGATTACAAGCATGCACCACCATGTTCAGCTTCTTTCACAACCCTTAAAGATGTCAAAAATATTCTTCAGTCACATAGGCCACAAGTTAAATTTTAGGAGCTGGATTTGGTCCATGGACTATAGTTTAGAGACCCTGTCCTAATCTCTGTAATAAACACTCCTAAAAGAGCCCTCTGAAATACAGAAGCTAAACAAGTCAACCACAATTCAGGATAAGGGAAAAACTAGAACAACAAATACCACAAACTTCAATCTACATGTAAATGGAAAAATAAGGATTCCACATTAGGGCGGGTTCCAAGCACACAGCACTAGAGAACCTGGGACAGGACTGTGTGGAAGAAAGTAGGGCACGAGAAGGTTCCAGAGGTAGCAGAACACCTGTAACAACAAATAGCGCTCACTCCCGAAGGAGAAGGCTCATCTGGGTGAGGAAATGCCTGGCTCAGGCCTGAGACCTGTGATCAGGGCACTGGCTTATCACAAAGGTCCAAAGCAGGGAGCTGGAGAAGTATGGATCCGAGGCAAAGGTAAGCTATGGCCTATGTCATGAAAAGAGGAACCTTAAAGTGGTTAAATGTCCCCTAACGGGCCTGCTGGAAAAGCCTCATTGAGTGGCAGACAGAGAAGCAAGTCAAGCAAGATAATGTCAAACAAGATAAAGTAAAAAAAATTTTAAGAGAGAGGAGACAAAATACTGCCCTCCACAGACATTGTTCATCCAAGAAGTTGCACTGAATTTCTTGTGCCAACATATTTTTATTTGCATATCCATCTAAATAGTGAATCGCTGGATCATATTCATTAAGTAAATCCTTTAATATCGTGGCCTTCCCACCGTTGCTGCCCTAATTTAGGCCACTGTTAGCTTCTGATTAGATTACTACAAACATGTGCTGGCAGATCTTCTTGCCTCCAATCTTACTACATCTCAGCACATTTTCTACATGCTATGATCGAAATGTTTTTGCCTCCTGCTCTGAAATTTATGCCGGAAACATTAACAACCAATGTGAGAGCGTTGTGGAGCCTTTGAGAGGTGCCTAGACCATGAGGCAGATCAGGCTTATAGAAGAGGCCCCAGAGAGACGCCTTGCCACCTTGTTCCCCCGAAGTGAGGGCACAGTGAGAAGGCGCAATCCATCAACTGTGGACTAGGTCCTCAACAGACAAACTGGCTGCGTGTGTGACCCTGGTCGTCCCGCCTCCGGAGAATAAATCTCTGCTGTTTGTAAGTCACCCCATCTATGGTATTTGGTTATAGCTACCCAATGTGAGAGTCACAGGGATCCTTTTAAAGCACAAATCATGATATTCTTTTTCCTAAAAAACCTCACTGGATACCTACTATACTTTACACCATAGTGTAAAGTTCAAATTTTTTACAATGAATTGAAGACTCATTCTTGAATCAGTCACTCTGGATTTGTTTCTCCCTGAGCTTTGTCATATTTAAAACGCAGGCCTATCAATTTTAAAAAACTGCTTGAACGCTCACAGCCCTGTTTCATTTCCAGTCCTTTTTTATGTGTTTTGACCTCTTGCCTAGAGTATCTTCCACTATTCTTTACTTACTTTCTATCACCTCTGGGACTCAGAATGGACATCATTTCATGCAGAAACTTTCCCGGGGGCTGGGGATTTAGCTCAGTGGCAGAAGTGCCTGTCTGGCAAGTACAAGGTCATGAGTTCCATCCCCGGCACCAAAAAAAAAAAAGAGAGAGAAACCTCCCCTGGCCCTTTCTAGGTGCCCCTCTGAGTATTCCCTGGCATCCTGCACGCCTGCTAACGCACATGCTACACTGTGCTCTAATGCCTGGCTCCACCTCCTCCACAAGGCTAGGGTTATATCCCATTAGCCAATGCCGCACCTCTCACTTCGTACAGCATTCCCAACACAGGTACACTAACCACTTAAATATTTGCCAAGCAAATGAAAAACAATCATTTTGTAGGTTTACTATAAATCCCAACATCATAAGGCTAATAATATCCAGCATAACTCCTCACCATTTCAGAGCTGCCACAGCCCCTTAAAATATCAGGTAAAGTTCTGTTTCATGTACCACTCTCTGAAAACCTCCTGTCCTCACACTCCCTAAGTGCCGTTCACCAGGTCCCTGCCGGATGTCTAACATCTCTTAAACCAAGCAGATCTAATTTCCAGTTCTGAGTTTCTCTTCCCTTCTCTCTACGCAATTTAAATTATTGATTCTGAATTCAGAATTTCAAATGAAATCAATTCAATAGTAACACTCTGATGAAGACTTACCTTTTGAAACATAATTTATCATAGTACTCTACTTATAAAAGTAGTCTAGGCTCATAGGGAAATTTCCCCCATCCCACTGAGTTAACATTATTAACAATTTTATTCCTTTTTTTCCTCCAAATAATATATGTAAATGTGTGTTTTACATAGTTTTGTGCCTGATGCTTTCACTACATTCTGTAAGCACTTTCCATCATACCTAGCTTTTTAAAAAACAGTAACTCCAATACTGTGTAACTGGGAGGGTTCATCATGTTGTATATAATTATTCCCCTAGGGACACTCTCACAGGAAAGCTGGCCCGCCCAAGCTCACCCCGACCAAGCATGTGCAGTGGTCTTTCAGCAGGAAGGTTCCCTGTGCCACCTCAGCTCCAGTTATTCCCACTCCTTACTACACTACTCTCAGATCCTTCATTTATATGGTTTGCAGATGACAGAACCAGGTAATCCTGCTATCTTTAACTATTTATGAATACACTTTAGCGAGAGACAGACAGATAGACTGCAGCAGAGAAGGGAGGAAGGGCTATAAAGAACTAGGGAAAAATACAGGCGGTACAACAAAATCCAACACTTGAAAACTTTACTTACTGCTAGGGCATACAAGTTGTACCCACATACAGATTATTTTTCTTTCTAGTAAAATCAAAGTTATCATTCTGGCTCCTTGGAAAACACTTGAAAATCATACTGCATCTTACCAGGGCCAACACATTTAGAAATTCTCTTGTGTCAAAATGTAGCAGAGTCCGAACATAAGGATAGATTTCTTCCTCTGGGGATGCTTCTGCTGAATGCAGGCGAATCAGAAATTCAAAAACCTACAAGTTGAAAAACAACTGTTAACTATTTTCTCATCTTACCAATCATCTTGCCAAAGCAATGCGTTCCTCTGGTTAAGCAGGCTGGATTCAGCTTACACTGACTCTACGTTTTTACTGCTCTAAACGCCCTCAGATGAAATGGCTGACATCAGTGACGCACAGAGGCCTCTCCTCCACAGGCTACCGCTCCCGAGCCAAGGGCAGTCTCACCTGCAGTGCACATGCAAAGGCTATGAAAACAGCACCAACCTGGTTTTTAACCAAGGGAACAAGATCTTCAGGGATGTCACCAAGGGGATAGGCACGGCCTGCCAGACAACAGCTAGAAGAAAAGAGTAAAAACCCACGTAACGATCTGGAGACTTGAAAAGGGCTAAGTTTGAAGTGAGTAACACACTGTTTCTCAAACCTGAGATCCATGTGTGATTTTGAAGCAGGCTCAGCTTTTGTCGTTAGGTCACATTTAAAACCAGATCACTGCTTACTGTGTAATGTGACAGATAACAAAATCATATTGTATATTTAGAAGAGTGAGAAGAAAGCTTTTGAGTGCTTTTTCCATAAAGAAAAAATACATGTTTTAGGAGACAGATACGCTTACCTTGACTTAATATTATACAAGATACACATTCATCAAAACCATCCCATGGTAACCCATTTGTAAGCTTTCATGTATGCATTTAAAACTTTTAAAAAAGATGATGCTTAGTTTGGAAAATGGGAGATGGTATGGTGGTTAGGTAATCCATCCTATGCCTGAGTTAAGGGCTTCCATTTCTGTCTATCTGTACTACAGAGGCAGACAGAAAAGAGGTCTCCAAAGGCCCAATTGCCAAAGCATCTAAACAATCTATAAATTACCTGTTAGGAGACTGATGCTCTCAGAGACTCTTAAAATGAGTGGCTTTAATGATGCATTAGAAATGGGGAATGAGCTTGGCTGGCAAATGTCTGGAAAACATCTGCTTTGGGATGATCCTTTCAGGACAGTCATAATCTGAGGCAAAATCTCCCTACTGGAATGAGAGCATCTTTATAGTTAATGACTTGCCTTGTGGGCTGAATTATTACAAATATCTTCTGAACGTGTCTTTCCTTTTCCCTATTTTTTTTTTTTTTTTTTGAGGGATAGGGTGGATTTTAGCCTCTCTGAACCAATCAAGACACTGGGTACCACTGTATTCTAAAGAGTCTAAAGTCCAGAGGATAAAGCACCAGGTACCACTGTTCCATCCTTCCTCACTGGAAAGTCAATGTGACAAGTAGGAAACAGGTGTTGCAGTTAACGCTGACGCCAGAGAGGCGCTAAAACGATGCTCCAGCAGGGTCTGCTGCCCTCCTCCCCACGCATCACTGGGAAAGTGCCACCAGCACCAGCACCAGCGCCTAGCCTGCTCAGACCATGAGGATGAACCTTGCTTCCAGTTTTCCCTCGGTCACTCATTTCCTCATGATTTCAACAAACCATTGCTCTTAATGCATAAAACAGAAATAACACACATCCTGCCAAGTTTCTGGGAGCAAAGGTAAAACATGCTACATCAGGATTTCTTAATCACAGCCTTACTGATGGTTTGGGCCATACAAATCATTGTTGTAGGGTTATCCTGCCCCTTGGATCAAACTAACACCTTTTCCTAGCCCTAGTTGGCATAACAAAAAAGTCTTTAGACATTGCCAAATACGAAAGCTACTAATATATACATATTTTAGATTACTCTATAGTGTATGTATGTATATATATATATATATGTATATATTTATCCTATATATAAGATATATAGTACGTATACACAGAGAAAGAGAGAAAAAAGCGAGAGAGACAACAGTACCTCTTAAAATGCAGGAAACAATACAAAAGGAACATTGGCACAGATAAATAAAAATCTCTTACCTAATATATACAAGAAGCTTGTTGCCCATAACAACCTGTTCATCTAAAATAGAAGGAAAAATAACATCAGCAGTTCTCTCTCAAAACCTTTTCAGAAATATAACCTTTATATGGAAATAAAAAATAAAGAGTGACATTTTAGGTGAGGTAAATATATCTCCAAATAACAGAAAATTGATATAAGCCTAGCTTAACCTTGATTTCCCTTAGAATTTATTCGTAAGCACAATATCCACATGACTTACTGAAGGATACACACAGGTCTGAAGGTAGAAATCTATGTATTGTCGGCTTCGTCTCTACCTTGAGGCCAGGGGCACGTGTATGGCAGACTGAGCTGGTAAATTACGGTCATGGCTGGTTAACTGACATTGAGGCATAGTTACCTCATCTCTACTATTTATTTATTGGTCTGTTTGTTCATCTGAGAGAGATCTTGCAAGACGTTCAGGCTACCCTTGAATTCACGATCCTCCTGCCTCAGCCTCCTGAGTCGTGGGGATTACAGGCTGTTCTTATTTCTAACATGGACTTTCCCTACTCATAGTGTTGTATGGTTAAGAAGAATGCTGTTCCCACATATTTAAAATAATAATCTCAAATAAGTGATTATTTGGGCTTTTTCTATTCCAACATGCCTAACATGTAAGATTCCACCATCTGATGATATAAGCCCATATCTCTGGATAAAATATATCTGAAAGATAATTAGACCAACTTTTAGGCCACAAGGTGAGGCACAACAGAGAGTAGAGTAAGAACTCCAGGAGGGGGAAGCAGTCAGGGATGTGCGCAATCTGCAGATCACAGGAACCTGCGCTGGTAAGAATGAAGAGCTGCAGTCTGAACGAAGAATGTAAAGCCTGTCACATGAATCCCAGACTGACATAAGCAAATGCACATTTTTATGTTTTCAGTAACCCTTTACAAGTACGTTCCTCTTGAGAGCAGGGGTCTATGTTCTCTCTACATTCTCAGCATCCTGTATAGCATCTGGCACACAAGTAACTGATTAGTAAATGTACACTGAACTTAAATGATACAATTTCTACAACCCTTTGCTTCCTAGTACTACACCTTCTTTTAGACAATTTTCTGTTATAGAAGTTCAACAAACTCCACTGGGATTTTCAACACTACATTCCACATTCATTTCTGGTAAATACACATGTAAAAACTAATTTTCAAGTCTGTTTCAGAAAGACTGGATTCAAAGCTGTGATTGGGTGTGAGAGGTTAAGGCTGCACAAAATGACGCTCTCTGCCTCTACTCTCACAGGACAAAAAAAGGAGCAGAACCTGGGCGTCACACGGACGTATCTGAAGTCACTGAGGAGGGGAGTGAACAGCAGCATGTTACCCAGTGAAGAATCCCAGTGAAGAATTCGGAATTAGTTGGGGAGAGACAGGCAGCCTTATTTTCCCGCTCTGGCTTTTCCGTATGGGTAAAACACTCTGGAGTGCACACACTAGGGCCAACTGGAGAAATCCCTAGATTTTCTGGCCCCTGGGAAAGTAAAGTCAAGAAACCAGCAATGGAAAAGAATGAAAATCCTGAGAAGAAAAGAGCCAGACAGAGGGGAACCCTCTGCCTGTACCTCTCACTCATTCCTAAACCACCGCGCAAGAAAAAGACTCCAAGCAGCTCCACCAAAAGATCAGAACCAAGAACTGGGTCAGTTCCCGAAGATCTGGAGCATGGGGAGAAGCAGACGGGCCCCATCTCACAGAGGACTGGGGACAAGAGGGAGTCATGAGTGTAAACCACCACCGCCGTGGCTCTGAGCCTAAGGTGTGGAGCAGCTTGTGTGGCAAGCACGGCAGGCTGGGGACTCATGTGGAGAAAGCAGCAACTTTCTGGCCAGAGGAACCAAATAACAGAAGCTGGGAAACACAAACAATTATAAGGGAGAGGGACTCTTGTGAAGAAAGGAGCCAGAAGAAAGACACACGAGCCACCTGCCCTGATCACTGATCAACCCCCGGATCACACACTAATCAAAGCAGACCCACTAAAAACAAATGAGCTGAGGAGAGACTGGGGCTGCCACATGGGAAACAGACTGCAATTTAAGTCTAGCCCAGATTACCTGATAAATGAAAAACACCCACTGGAGAAAAATAATAGAATCTTGAATTTCCACAACGTAACACATAACACCAGAATACAATTCAAAGCTGACGATGGTCAGAGGCTCTTTAGGGACCTACGACAAACTCCTTAATCTTTAATCTTTTACTCATTAAAAACACAATTTGTGTTTTCTTCTGAGGTAATGAGGGACTTAAAAGTAGTTGTTGCTAAAACGATGTCCAATAGACAAGAAAAAAGCCTGATTTTCACTTTGTGAAACTCTGGATCAAAACACTTCTCAGCTCTGCATGTAGGCATGTCAGTTATTCAGGAAGGGCCTGTCTAGGGTGGCAGAACTAAATTTATTAGCCTAAACTGACCTAGCTGATCTCGTCTCCCTTCAAGATGAAGGACTCCAAGATGAGAGTAACTAAAGTACCTTTCGAGATCACAGGGACATCTCACTACCAGCTTTTACAGCACTCGGCTCTGGACTGTTCCCCCTTTGCAGGACACACAAAAGTTTTCATTGTCCTAAACTAACAGTCACTGGAAAAGCACAGCCTCCTGTGACTGAAGTTGCCACAAAGATGGTCATTTCATGGGAACGGAATCATCCTAGGCTGTGAGGAGCCAGGACTGAGGTAATAATCAGCTCGACCCCAGCCCAGGGCAGGACCCCATGAGGCTGGTCCCTTCTGGTTCATGGGCAAGTGTGAATCTCTCCATCAAGCTGGAGTCCTGCACCTATCTTCTCTCTCACTTTTCAATTAAATCTTTCGCATACAAATGCATAAACTGTCACTCTAGTTTAATTTCTGTTATCACTAGAGCAAGGACCCATTCTAGTTGGTGACAAAATTCCCCAGCAAATGAACAACAACAACAACAACAAAATGAAACAAAATATCTTCATAAGAAGAAAGAAAACTGATTGAGCCCAATCCTAGGATAAACAACATTTTAGAGTAGATAAAGATTTTAAAAGAACTATTTAAAGATTTTAAAAGAACAAGTATCCTCAAGGAAGTAGACACATTTCAACGCATGAAAATTTCAACAGATAAATAAAGAGTTCCAGCCAAAAAAAAAAAAAAAAATCGAATCAATAAAAAATTACCGGCTAAAGATTATAACTGTTGAGAATAAAAATTCACTGGTTAGATTTAATAGCTGGGTTGATATGTAAGGGGAAAGTGTGCATGAATCTGAAGGTAGGATAATAGAAATCATGTAACATGGAGGGGGGAGCCGAAAACAACCAAAAACAAGGGTTAGGGATTTAGCTCTCTGGGGAGTGTTTGCCTAGCATGTGCAAGGGCCTGAGCTTGGACTCTAGCACCACAAACAAGACAAAACAAAACACAAAACTTAGCAAGACAGACCTGAAAAGGGTTAATTAAGTCTCCAAAACTCTGTTCCTTCATGAAAGCAATGAAAATGCTGGCAAAAACTGTTAAAACCAACTTTTTCAAAACTCTTGAAAAACTAAAGATTTGCCATAAGCTGAGGAATGTGTGTATTCCAGAAAATGCCTGACTCTCCATCAGAGCAGTGGGCTTTGGAGCAGTGTTTATCCACCATTCGCTGCCCACAGCTCCATGACAGCTTTTAAATCCAGAAGCCTCAGCTGGACGTGGTGGTGCACAGCAGGAAGATTGCTGTGAGTTTGAGGCAGCCTGGGCTACACAGTGAGTTCAGGACCAGACAGAACTACAAAGTTAATCCTTGCCTCAGAACAAAACACAACAAAAACCCCGTAAGTCTCTCAACATCAAGACCATGAAAACCAGCAACCTGGCATCCACATGAGGGGAAGAATGGATTTAGAGCTAAAAACTGTTCCATTCTTGGAGCAATGGTCATTGGATACAGCTGGCAGCTCACTTAAAAGCTCCATTCTTGGGGCCAGGGACTGAGCTCAGAGGCACAGGCATCTGCCTGGCAAGTACCAAGTCATGAGTTCGATCCTCAGTACCAAAAACAAAAACAAAACTAACAACAACAAAAAGGTCCATTCTTAGGAAAATTACCTGACAAAACAAAGAGCAAAATACTCAGTGGAGAAAAATAAGAGGACCCAGAATCTCCCTGCCATCCCTGCCCTGACTCAGGAGCCATTCCAGGGGAACAGCACTGTACCAGGTCATTTGCAAGAACAAACAGTGCTACTGTTTAATGAAGAGCTGCTTAAGACATGTCAGCAATTGAGAATAGTAAAAAGCCCTCCAAAACCTTAGGAGAAGAAATCAAAGAATGGGTCTGCAGGGGACTTTGCAAAGCTCTGATACACAGCATTCCTGAATTCCAGATAGACTTGCACATGTTGTGTGCAGGGCCGTGCATATAGCCATGGAAGACCAGAAACAGTCCTGGCCTGTAATCTACGGCTTACACTGAGGCTCTGCCCAAGCAGGAAAACAAGGCTAAGGCAAAATTAGCCTGCCAGAAACTGAAGCTCCAAAGTAAAAGTAGGCAAGAACTGGGCCCAAGCTTCATGCCTCAGCATGTGATCTGTCTGACATGTGCTTCTGTCATGGTGAAGACGCTGGCGATGAAGCCTCACCAGAGCACAGCAGAAGCCGGCACCATGCTCTCAGAAGCCCAGACCTGAAGACTCAGGTGCAGTGGTAATTACTGGGTGGGAAGAGTGCCTACACAAAACCAGCTGCACTGATTCCTGTCATGGCTCAAACTGATGCTTAAACTCCTTCAGAGAAAATAACAATCAGGACTGTGGATGGCACTTCGGGAGGAACTGCAGACAGTGTACCTTAGAGGACAGGGTACCCTTATGGAAGAGCTGACTGACACCGCAAACAATAATCAGAAAAGTGGTATCAGCCCTTGATTATTCTGAATGAATTGAGAAGAGGAAGAGTACCAATGACAGAATCACCACTGTTCATGCTAAATCCGAGAATTTTATTAAAGATGTGAACTCATAGACTATGTCTATCACCCATTGTCCATACCCCCAATTTGTTAACTTAAAAAAATTACTCAGAACAGGTAGGAGATTACCATGCAAGGCTCTTGGCCAAGGAAGAGGAAAGTGAACAGGTCTAAGTGAAGAACATTAAGTCCTGATTTTGCTACTTTTCTTCATTAAATAACTAGAGGAACTGCAGCAAAGAGTTACAGACTAAGTATGCCTAAACTAGCCAATGTTCCTAGAAATTTTTTAAAGAAAACAACTTACAAGTCAAAAAAAAACTTGAACAGTTTGTAAATAGGAAAAGGCTACTTTGCAAAGTTACAGGTGAAACATAATGCAAAAGACCTATGGAAGTAGACAGATGAGGTTGAACTGGAAGAAGCACAGATGTCTCTTCCTGAATGAAATAAAGATCACATTTTTAATGCGAAATAGAATTAAAAATACCAATTGTATAAAGCAATTCTCCAGTAATAACTATATTTGTGACGTAGAAACAGGTCATGTCCATGGTATATTTCTAATGGACGCAGAGTAGCCTCCTGTTGACACAGAACAGAAGAAATCAAAGTAGATAGAAAGGCACTGAGGAAACTGCAGTTCTAAAGCATATTAAAATTACCCAAGATTTGCCCTACTTGTCCTCCATACACTTATTCCCAGGCTTGCGACCAGGCATTCCAGAAATTCAAACTCAGCTTGTCCCCTTCTCATCTTTACTGCCTAGGCAGAAAACTTACACAGGTGGAGTGGCCAAACTCAAATATCCTCAAAATTTAAGAGAGGATTTATAACAAGGATCCCAGGCAGTGATGGCAGGCGAACCTTTTCCTATGACACAAACACCCAGCTGTGGCACGTGTGCCATCACTGACTCAGAGGCTGGGCCTGCAAATGCCAAATGCATAACTGAAAGCAGCTGAAGATTGGTATCTCGGCTTTGGATTTTTTTCTCCTTGATTACTTTAAAACTTTGGGTTAGATTACTGCTCAGCTCCGCACATAGACATGTTAATCACTTACAGAGTGTCTGCATCACAAGATTTATTTGCCCTAACTTTACTACTCCTTCTCATCGCCTTTTGAGACTAATGACATCAACAAAAGAATAACTAATTTTCAGGATTTACAAGGACATTCAGTGGCCTGCTTTGATGTCCAATTCCAAATCCCAGAGCACACCTAGAAATTATCCTGAAACTACAATCACGCTGGACTCAGGAAAAGCCTCTGAGCTATCTCCCCAAGAGGGAACAATTCCCTCATGACGGTTCCTTCCCAACCCCAAATAAGAACAGTCATCTCGTGGGAACCAAGCTGCCCCTCAGTTTGTAAGGATTTTTCCGGAGCTATGAAATCAGAACTGAGCTTATGATCAAGCAGGCCCTGGCCCACTCTAACATACACATGGTCTTCTGTGAGGGGATCAGTGCAAATCTCTTCCTCGGAGGGTGCCCAGAGAGCTGCTCAAGCTCCGGTTCTTTCCACACCCTCCCTTTCTCCTAACCACCTAATAAACCCGCCTGTGCCTCACACTGACGCATCCTGAAATGTTCTCTGTGATGAGCGTCATCAACGAGCCTAATTCTGTGGGCTGAGGTGAGGTCTCCATCTCCACTCCAGAAAACCTACACTGCACCCTGTCCAATAGCACTGGTGAAGAATGTCTTTCATGTTCTGCCTTTCCGACTTTTTAAAGTGTAAATGCTTTTTAGCGTTCCAATATATAATCAAAAAATTTCATGGACAAAATGTTTGCCATAAAATCAAAATCTTCTACATAAAGCTTAAAGTAGTAGAATGCACTCATGAATGTTTGAAGAGTGTTATAAAAATGTAATTAATATTTCTGTTTCAGCTATGTGGCAACTGGATGAATCTCGAATCTACCTTTTGATATGAATTAAAATAACTTTAAAATGTCGCCAGTTTTTATTATGACCATAAAAATTTTTATAAGGAATATTGTCATTGTTTTCAGAAGTGCAAAGACTGCTGGATAACATATTTGTCATTCACTTAAGCGTTAAATATTTAATACATACTTGCTATAAAATATTAAGCAAGAACTGACAGAACTGAAGTAGAAGAAAACTCAACAATAGTATTTGAAGACTTCAATACCACATTTTCAACAATAGATATGGCAATTAGCAGAAGATAAACAGAAAGTAGAAGACCTGAACTCCACATCAACTAGATCCTGAGACATCTTTAGAACATTCCACTAAACAACAGAACACATCCAACACATTATTCTCAGGTGCACATGAGACATTCTCCAGAAGAGACTATACATTAAGTCATAAAAGGAGTCTCAATAAATTAAAAAAGACAGGAAACACACACAAAAAAGTTCTCTGAATAAAGAATAATGAAATTAGAAATCATTTCTAATTCAAAATAGAAACATAGTTCCTTTTATGGTTTGATTGTGGTGATGGTTATATGAAAATATATGATTACTAAAGCCCACACTGCATACATTTAATTGATGGCTTTTATAGCATTTAAGTAATACAAAATGGAGAAAAAATTAAGGCTTAGAAAAGTAATACCTGTGAGCGTTTTTCCTGCATTCAGAGGAGGAGCAATGACCTTGAAAAGTTTCTGCATTGAAATTAACAGAAAAAAACAATCACCATCATTTTAAAAGATAACCAGGAATCATTATTAATTACCTTTCTGGGATGGAATTAGTCACACTTGCAGTTGAGGTTAAATATAAAAACTTACTGTGTACATGAACTATTTAGCAGGATTACTAAGGAAAAAAATCACTGCCAGATTCTTCACTGTAAGAAACCATTTAATAAAAACAGTTACACTAAAGTTTATAATTTCTGATATAAGGTATCTTAAATTCATGAAAGAGCCTTATTCTTTAAAAAAGTAATAAGCAAACAAAGGGATTAACATCTCACCAAAGTGGTTATGTCATCAAAGAAGGTTACTTGAAACTGAAAACACCTAATAACTAGCAGCCACAGACAGAAAGATTATCTAAACATAAAAGTCCCCCAAAATATGCCTGCCATAAATGCTTCCCCCCACCCCACCTGGGCATTTCCTGTTTGGGAGAATAGTGGCCCTTAGCACTATGAAGTACAATTCAGCTGTCCAATAGTATCAAAAAGGCCAAAAGAGCTACTAGGCATATGCCTGCAGTCTCAGCTACTTGAAAGTCTGCCTTAGCCTGGGAGTTTGGGGGCAGTCTGGGCAACATAACAATTCTCATCTCAAATAAAATAGTACCCACAGAATTTCCTGTACTTTCACACTGACGCCCTGATTCTGCCCTCTCCCTCTCGTTTGCCGAACTGTTAATACACAAATTCACTTGGGCTAGTCAGCAGTGACGCTCATTACACAGTGTTCGCATACACACGTGGACAAACCTTGTGTTTTCTCCAATTATTCTGTATATTAAGTCCCTCCCCTCTCCCAACTTCTTATTGTCCTGCACCACCGGGACTTAAGTTGGCAGCAGAAAGCAGCCAAAACTGAACTAAGGAAAGATTTCAGAGACTGTAGCAGTCACCTCAATGTGATGACATTCATTTACTTCGGAAACTCTAAACCCCGAAACCTAGGGTAGCTCCTCCTAACGCACAGCTCCGTAAGTACCAAAACAGCTTAACTTTAAACAAGGAAAAGTAACTTCCTTATAGGCAGAGAACTGGAAAAGAGGATCCACGGGACACACCTAACCTACCACTTCTGAAATCTCCAAATGACTGTTTAATAACAATACCAAGGTCTTGATGACAGCCATTAAACTTAAAACTACTCTGAACACAGAACAAGGCAATCTCAACAGCCCGAAGTTCCGTCTGAGACATGCAAGTATAAATGCACACCAGACTGTGAGTGTTGTACCCTAAGAAAATAGCTTTGTTATATGTGTATTATAGCAAACCTGTATAGGGGCTTACTAAATGTGTTTGTTTTATCCTTTTTCCCTAACTGATATGTTAAGGGACCTAATTGATCTGTTGAGCAACACTCTCCTCTGTAAAGAATTGCAAGAATCTCACCTAATTGATATGTTAACCATTGTTGCTCTCTACAAACTACAGAAGCTGTGTTAAAACAAGCTAACAAGGGTTGTTATCACTGCTAGGAGCCTCTATTCTCCGCTAAAGAGCTAAGGAAAACTAGAATGGCAATTAATTTACATTTGTTTAAAGTAACCTGCTTGTGTGCAGAGAGATTTGCGTGTGAGTTTAACCCTTTACCCTGACCTTGACACATTACCGCCGTTTTCTGTTCTGTATGGCGCCTTATTGCCTCCCTCTCCCCTCACCTATCTATCTAGGCCATAAAGAATTTGGGTTTCTGGTGACCTCCCCCTGACCCGGTGATGATCTGTTGTAAAATGAGCCTGCCCCAATTTTAAGAACTGCTTAGCTTAAACAAATTACCGGGTAATACTATGGCCCAAACCCCAATCGGTGCTTTCCTTTTGTTCTGTATGTATCAAATGAGTTAGATATCAGGTCTTCGTAAAACTTAAGTTCCAGCGTCTCATAACTTGTGACCCCTTCGCACTCACTAGCGAAGACAAGCTGTCCTGAGATAATTAACTGTCCACTTTCTTCTCCAAATATTGCTGCAGACGTGCCACTCTGAGATAATGTCAGTCTGCAGGATGGAAATAATTTTTAAAAAACACCAGAAACTCCCTAGATTGTCAGAGCTAAGTGGACAGCAATACAGTTTCCAGACTCGGGTCAACAAGTTTGATGGCTCTACAGGTTTCTTTGTTTCTCTCCCCCCCGCCCTTTCCTCCAGCCCCTTTTTAAAGTCCTCCCTTCAGCTTCTAGGGGAGGGTCTCCAAATTGGCTCCCGGAGACTGGTCGCCAGGCCTGGAAATAAAGCCTTTGCCACTAAATTTTCGGTCTCTTGCCTCCTTGGATTTTATACCGGGGCTCAAGTTATAACAGTGAGGAATAAAATAACCACACACACACACAAATTTCAAAAGCAACACGAAATTCAGCTGATTGCTGGATATTTGTTAATCTATAACACATCAAATTAGAATCTGCTTTGAGGAAAATTTTCCTAATTGTGGTCTAGTATTATGGCACAGAGAACATTTTTGTATGTGGGGAAGAACTGGACTTTACTGAAGAGGCAGCTGAAAGGTGTTAAGGGAAGTAATGCTTGTCACAGGATCAAAGCCAGGGGAAAAGGATGTGACACTAACTTCAGACCCTCACAAGAAAAGAGGTGCGTGAGTTAGAGATATTCACCCTAACTAACGTTCTTAAAGAAGACTGAAATTTGAGAGAATGACTACTAATTTAAAAATACTGAAGACAGTTTTGAATGGCATTAAATTTGCAGAAGAGTTGACTGGCCGCCTTCAGTGGACGCCTGGCTCTTTTGAGGTCCATTTATCACTATACTAAAGCAGTGGGCTGGGCACTGCTTTACCTGTATTTGCAGCCCTATTATCCATAATTCTGTCCTCAATTTAAAGCAAAGAGCAAATGGATAAAATAAAAGCTTAAATGCTTTTTGGATTTTCTAGGTAAGGAAAAATTATAAAAAATGCTATAAAATTTCAAATTTGGAAAAGCAGCACATTAGCAATTAACAAGTAATGACCTGTAATTTTCATGACTTTCTCTCAGGAGAACATACATGCAAAGCAGCATTACCCAGCACATTTATCACATATAATAATCATATAAAATAAATGTCATATCTTTTGAAAAAGTTACTATGTTATAAAGAATTCATAGGCAAAGAAAAAAGTCTAAAAGCAAGCATTATTTTAAGTTTTACCTATTGTTCTCTGGGATTTAAACACCTACTTGGGCAGTAAGAAAGCGATAGCAGAAAATGATGGCGGTAAAGGCTCCTGGGGCGGAGGGTGCAGCTCAGTGGTTAGCAGATGCTTCGCATGTGTAAAACCCTGAGTTTAATTTCCAGCACCAAAAAACAAAAACAAAAAACTACTACTTATAAGTCCCAAGCCAAAATCAGTACAAGTCTATATAAGGAAGAGTGAGAGAAAGGGGAAGAGAGAGAAAGAGAACATAAAAAGAATTAAGATGTGTTATGTAAATCTACCAACTCCCCACAGTGAATGCAGTCATTATGTACTGTAAACATGTACTAATAAAAATTTTTTAAATGGGTATAAGTCTAACAAATCAAGAAATTTTGAAATGATTGGATGAAAACAAACTATTCAAAGTAAATCGAGAGTAAGCGAAAATATTTAATGGGCAATATTAAACGTATGTTTTAAGTTAGGAAGTATCCTTACCTCCATTGGACTAATAAATTCATTCATGCCTCTGTTGTAGACATAAATCATAGCATCATACAGTCGATTTTCCCAACACATGAGAACTATCTGTAAAAAGGAAAAATCACTTGGTCCATACAATTCAATTAAGTCTCACCGATTATTTTCCTCAAAGCTTTAAGAACGGAGATCTTGAATTGTCTTCCCTAATTTTTCTTCTTCCTTTTCTAGTAATTGAAATTGAACTACTCAAACACTACCTGGGCAAGAGTTATCACAGATTAAATATTTACTTTAATAGTATAACAACTATTTCTAAAACGCTCCAAGTCTAATTTTGTTTCTTCTCTTTCTCTTTTCAATATTACACAGATATTTACAAAACAACTACAATCAGATCATCTTATAGGCACCAGGGACAAAGCAATGGACAAATCCATCCCTAGTCTACACCTTTATGGAACTTATGTCACCAGGGATGCCCACCACAAGAAAGGACAGGCACAAAATGGTGACTTAAGATTTGGGGAAGACAATCAACTCCATACATACTGCATTATTTACAAATGTGATATGCATTATAGAGAAACCTAACCTGGTCTAAGATCAGGCATCCCCATGAGAACATTAAGCCAGGCCTAAAGGATGCATGCAAATGAGCCAGAAGCAGAAGTGGAATGCAGGGGGTCTGCAGACCGAAGGCAGTGAGCATGAGGCACCTACGGTGGAAGGAGGATGGCGGGGAATCAATTTGACAAGATATCTAAGTAAAGGAATAGCTCGCTTTTGCAGGATGAGGTACTCATGTATTCTGCTCCTGTGACAGCAGCATGATACCATCACATGACCAGAGGGCTCCAGATGAGTAGAGGCTGGCATGGCGAATGGTAGGGAGTGGCCAGAGCAATAAGCAGAAAAATGGAAGCGAGGTGTCCAGTGACAATCTTTCCTAGAGGAAGCCTCATGCTGGAACCTTCTCTTCTCTCTCCATGTCACCCCCTCAGCCAGTGCCATCAACAGACATCTCTTCACTAATGACTAACCCACTGCAGCTTCAGCCCCACCTCCCTCCTCTGACCCCTCCGGCCACTTCTGGGATACCTTTGCCTGGGTGTGAAACAACTATCTCCATAAAATGGCAAAGCAGAATCCTGATTTTGTTTCTCAGATTCATAACTGCCTCAGTATTCCTATCCTCTTAAAGCCAAATATACACTACAAATCATCTCTAAATTCTCTCATTCCACACTCCCAACATCCTCCTATCCAATTCATCAGCAAATCAATTTTACCCCCAAAACATCCAAAGTCAGGCCAGCTCTCTCTTTCTCATTGTTATCTCTGGCACTGAGTGGCCCCGCTTACATTCTAATGATTTAATTGTACTTGGAATAAAATAGAACCGTGGACCTTGCCAGCAAGGTCTAGTTCCCGCTCACCAAGCTCCAGATGGGCCTGCCTTTCTTCTCCCACGTCAGCACTCAGTGCAGACCCCTCCCTGCCTCGCGCTGCTGCTGCTTTAATAACCTCTCTTCCAAGATCTCCACATTGCTGATTCCTTCTCATCACTCAGAGTCCATGTTAGCCCCTTGGAAAGGCTTTCTATACTGAGCCAAACTAAAGTAGCTTCCCATTCTTTCTCCATCACACTGTTGTTTGATTTTTAATACAAAACTTTCCTGGAGGGATATTTTCTGGTTTGTTTAGTACTTATCTGTTTACTATCAAATTTTCTGGCTAAAATGTACGGTTTATGCGAGGGCAAGCCTTGTTCCCCTGCTGCAGCTGCAGCATCCTTAATCTGATATTCAAATACTTCCAGAGGGGCTGGGGATTTAGCTCAGTGGCATAAGCGCCTGCCGTGTAAGCGCACGGTCGTGAGTGCGAGCCCCGGTACAAAAAAAAAAAAAAAAACCCTTCCAAACTTAAGGAACAAACACTGTGGAAGGTGTAAGCAAAATGAGGACTGAAAAACAGTGTTCGATGTAGTAAAGAGTTTGTTGCTGACTCTAATGAAAGTGAAGCTAAAAAGTTATCAGGGTGTGGGGAAAAAATGGAAATAGCATCCTGGTCACTGTTTTTAAGAAATCTGGCTCTAAGAGGAGTGAGCTAGGGCGCCACCTGAGGGAAGAAGATGGCTAGATGTAGACAGGTAAGAGAGTGAGGGGCAAAGTTTTTAATTGTTGACTTAACAAGAAAAAGACTACAGCATATTACATGGCATTGGGGGAAAGCAGAAGAAAATTTCTCCTATATATGAAAGGTATATAAAGATAGACTGGTAACATGCTTTCAAACTATTGGACTATTGTCAGAGAGCAAAGACTATGCCAAATTATCCATATAATAGGCATGCATTAAAAAAAAAAAAAAAAGATCTGGCTTTACTTTGTAAATTCATAGGCATTCAAGAACGTCCAGAAAGATGACAGTAACCATTTTTTCCAAGACCCCATTTTATGTGATTCTGCACACTTCAAAAAAAACTTCTGGTCTATATTTCTGTCAGTCATCTATACTGAATTGCAGCAGTAACATGCTCATCATTAGGACTAACATGGAATTAAGTAAACAAATAACAAAACATCTTAAGCCAGAATAGATGCCAACCCTTAATTAAGAACTGAAAATTTACTGTGGGAACCTCAGATACACTGGAGGTATATTACAAAATACTGGCTGGATGTTTATGTTAAGAAATACTGTGCTGTAATTTGCCTCTCCCTTGATTTCTGCATTTCAAAACTCGACTCTGGCTCTTTTAAAAATGGTGTCATTTTTTGAAGGCAAAAATATTCTTTTATTCATGTGAAAGCAATCATTTTTGAAATTTACCTGTAAGATAAAAATGCTGTTAGAGAACAAATTGATAAGGTATCCATCAAGCATTGATTAAGCAATTAATAAATATAAACTCTATACTGAAAGCTCTGTAGAATGGAGAATGCCAAAGAGAGAAAAGACATGATCCCTGGCTTGCAGGCATTTATTATTTATGCTAGCATTCACTTATGTATAGTACTAAGAAATACACTGACAAATACAAGTTCCCAAGACATCTTACCAAAAGTGCTCAGTAAATAACCAGACTATCCAGGAGGCAGCGTGAGGTCTGATCACACAGGTAGATAGTCGATAAAGGCAGAATGTTTATCCTATACATTAGTAGACCATCTAGAAACTTACCTGCTGAATATCTAGGCTGGTGATATCCATATGGACAATGAGGGCTTCCACATTTTCCATCAGCTTTTTATCTTGGAAATGAACAATCAAGTCTTTCATTACTTGGGGTGTGATCCCCAACAATTTATCACTTAAAATATATGGTTCAAGGCACTCCAAAAACACTCCTTTGGCTACTGAATTCTCACTTAATTTATCATACATTTGGCTAAATAAAAGATCCCTGTAACAGAAAGAGAAAAAAGTAATTTTAGGAACATTCTAAAAATGTATTAAATTCAGTTGGTTAAGTAGGTCTCATTTTTTCCCTATTTCAACTTCTGCATGAATTTATTAAAAACAGTAACAATATATCCATAGGGCTTTCTACTGTAAAACCCTTTTTACAGGCAAAGCATCTCAACCTTCTCAATATTTCTTTTATAAATAAGAGAAGTAAGAGAGGTTAGATTGCTTGCTGAAAGACACATAGTGAGCTTACAGAGAGGCTCTGATCCTAGCCTCTGGCCTAAATCCTGAGCTCAGTTTAATCCAGCACTCTGCTTCTTTTTACCAGCAGTATTACTGATGGGAGAGCAGGTGAGGAGGGCAAACAAGATGAAGCCAGGGAAAAAGGATGATTTCTTATTTACCCTGTCCTCCTCCTTCGGATCCACATACTGTATCCCTAGTACCTGCAGTCAGCTTCTTTATCTCACTCTAACTAACCTGCTTCCCCAAGGTATTGGGCAGTGACTATTGACAGGAGAAGGAAGAAACATTTTAATTTTTAATATATATAACTAGAAATAATTTTATTGTAGAAACAATTGTTTTAAAAATTAGTTTAAGTGCCTTACTTCCTATTTCTTCCATAAACAGTCCATAAGTGGTTTTGGTTATACTCAGCATAAATATTCTGAATTGTGTTTTCAGGCAGCATTATATGATAAACTTATTCTAAGTTGGCACTCTTATTATTTGCAAGTTTGCAATTAAAAAATATACCTTTCATTTTATTTATGTGGTACACACAGGCACACGGTTGTAAGGGTCAGGTCACAGTAATTAGCATATCAATTGCCTCACACATCAATCATTTCTTTGTTTCCTCACTACTAGCTATTTCGAAACACAGTATACAATCAGCGGTCAAACTCAGTTGTTCTACTAAAAACTCTGCAACATTAGAAGTTATTCTTCCAACCCAGTTACACTTGTAACCAACCCCTGTGCACTCCCCTTCTCCGCCCACCCTTCCAAGCTCCTGGTAAGCACTACACTTCTCTCTCTACTTCTAAGATCAATTTTTTCTTAGCTTCCACATAGAAGAGAAAATGCACAGCACTTTTTTGTGACTGATATTTCACCTAGCTTTCCAGGCTCCTCCATGTTGCCACAAACTGACACAATTTTACTCTTTTTTTTTTTTTTTTTTTTTTTTTTTTTGTACTGGGGATCAAACTCATGACCTTGGACCTAACAGACAAATGTTTGAGCCACTGCGCTAAATCCCCAGCCCCAGAACTTTACTCTTTACTCTTTTTATGGCTACACAGTGGCGTGTGTGTGTGTGTGTGTGTGTGTGTGTGTGTGTGAGACTCGTTTCCTTTATCCAGTCATCTGCTGATGCATGAAGCAGACTCTGTCTTAGTATGGTGAACAGCGCTGCACTAAATGTGGAAAACACCTATCTTTTCAACACAGATTTCCTTTCCTTTGGACGCAGACCGGATAGTGGAACTGATGGATCAGACAGTAGTTCTAGTTCTAAATTTTGAGTACTTACACTGTTTTCCATTTTGGCCGTGCTAATTTATATTCCTTCCAAGAGAGTATAAGAGTTTCCCTCTCTCTGCAGCAAAAATTACTACCCTGTCTCACTCATAATGCTTCAATAGGATGAGACATCAGGATTTGCTGAACTACTCCTGTGCTGGACCTATCACGTAATTCTGCTATTTTGAGTGATATCACAATGAACACATCTACATGCATAATCTTTCCCATTTCGGAAAGTTTTGAGTTTTTTTCCCCTCCCAATTTAATAAGTATAAACTAAATAGTATTATGATTTTTAAATCTTTGATAAGAAGTAAAATGGAGTATTTCCCACTGTATTCATTTATAAATTATACTGTCTTCTATCAGTCATTTATTCGATCTTTCTGCTTTTTAATATAAAAACTATGTTAAATTCTATTTATCAGTTAAGATCACTGATTTATTTTATCTAAATATACTTCATTTGTATCAAGTCAACTGTGGAAAATGGCAGATGGCTTATCCACATGACAAGTTCCACAAGATCAAGGAAGCTCTTGAAAGGAATGGGACAGGCTTTGTCCCCTCTAAATGTTGGGACAAATGGGAAGTAGTCTGGCTGTAACTAAACTAGAATCACACGCCACCTTTCAGTAAACAGCATTTGCAATATCCTGGGGTAAAATCCATATTTATTATTTTCTCAAATGTAATTTTTCCATCATTTTCCCCTTGGCTTCACATTTATCACAACATTTTTCATATTAGTTTCATTTTAATCAATAGTTCATCACATTATTTATAATTACCAATTACTATCCAAGCAAAAACACCCTGAGATTAATGAAGTTTTATGCTAAGAAAAAGTCAGAGTAACAAAAGTAACACTAATAAACTCACAGAAAATGTCATATTGGCTCGCCTTTGTACTGTGTAATGTACTATTAAGAACGACATGCTAAGAAAGATAATTATATAGTTCAGTTCAGGACAAAAAGTCTTAAGAGAATTAAAGTTAAAAATTCAGTAAATACAGTATAAAAGTTGACAGAAAAGGCACTCCTGTGACAAAAAGCATGGTGTAATGTTGATAGGATTAATGAGAAGACTACACATTTTCTTCTTAACCAATTAGAAGTTATAATACAGAAATAAGAAAAAATAAAACTCAGTAACTCCAACCTACATCTCTACCTCAAAATAAAAATGAATCATCTAAGACATGGTCTTATCATTCCTGGAGGGTGTTTACTAGGGTAGCAAAAGAAAGGGGAGAGAGTAAATTAGATACAGAAATAGTTTTTCGCTCTCATAATTTTCTGTATTTAGGCATTATTCTCTAGGTGTTGACTTTGTTTCTTTTTTCTTGGAATCGGGGATCAAACTCACAACCTTGTCCTTGCCAGGCAGGCGCTTATGCTATTGAGCTAAATCCCTGGCCCTGCCTTTATTTCTCAGAATTGCTGGTTTCATTCTTACTGCCTACCATTTGAAGTTTAGCCTCCTCTAGCTAGTATAACAGAAAAGCCATCATGAGTAATAGAAAGCCATTGAACAGCTTTCTGCAAACTTCCTTTAACTAATTCAGTAAATATAATTTCTGGAGTTTATTGAGTTTATCATTTAAGGTTCAAATAGAGAAAAATGGTTAAATTCACTTTGTGTATTAGCATGTTTATAATTATTAAAAGGTGAAGAGTAGCTTTAATTATGAGGTAATTACAGATTCAGAGACTGTTTAAAGGAAACTGGGGCTGTGCCGATCAGAACACTTGCCAGTCTCTATTAAATATACAGCCAGAATCAAGTGAATCCCACTAAATGTAAGTGAGGTTTAAACAATTCAAAGTGAATTTGGGCTGGGCTTTTACTCATAAAAGTGAAAACAAATTGGGTACAATGGTATACAGCTGTAACCCCAGCACCCTGAGTGGCTAAGGGAAGAGGCTTAACAGTCTGAGCTCAGCATGGGCAATGCAGTGACTAGTGAGACCCTGTCTCAGGGTAAAAATTTAAAATGGGGAAGGCTGGGAGCCGCTCGGCGTGAAGGGTCCACCTCGCAGTACTGAAGCATCCACACCCCACAGAAGTATGCACACACATATACAAGTTCGGTGGACTTTTAAAAAATCATGCTCAAAATTCAAGTTTCAAACTGCGGTCAGTCTATGAAAAGGACCAGACAAGCTGGACGAAGCACCTTCGAGGTCCCGCTTCCCTAGGAGGTCAGAAATACATTATGCCTGCTGGCATTTCTCTCTCAGATCTCCAATAACAAATATTCCATTTGTTTCTGGCCCATCCCAGAAGAAAACAAGTCTCAAAGAGTCAGGAAAAATTTAAAAGAAAGAAGTTGATTCAAACAAACATTCTAATTTGGTGAAAATCCAGGTAAGAGGTCACTTTCTGTAGTAAGAGCTATGATTTAATGTAGAAATGGATGCACTCTCAGCAGTCAGTAGGTTAAGTCAAGCTGAAGAATATTTGCTTCTTCAAATCAAGAACAAAGGCTTATATCTAGAACATTGTTGAGAATAACACAAAATACTTCTGAAAGAAAAAACCTAATTTTTTCCTTTACCCTATATTATCCTTCATTTTACAACTGTTAGGGCCATTTTGAGTTTATGCCATTGTAAGAGCACTCAAATGTTCGACAAAATGACCACAAATCACTGTATGGACCAGCAGTATTTAATTAATTCAGCCATCAAGTCATGAATAGCTACTTTATGGCAGGTATCACGCTAGGTAGAAGTAATCAATTTTATTCAGAGTAGAATATATCTTCTTATTCTGAATAAAATTTAGTCTTTCAGGTCCCTCATTTCATCATATTATAATTATCTCAATTTAGAGATCTGAGTTGACTGCAGATTTGAGTGGAATGCAGTACTTAGTATTAGGGACATTTCTTTATCTCGATTTCCTTATCTGTAAATGAGGACATTTCCTCTCTTAATTGTAAGGATTAAATGAAACAAAATATATATAAAATTGATACATAAACTATTAATGATGTTTTTTAAAAACAAGATAACAATAAAGTGATAGTGAAAAGTGAGATAAAGAAAACACCCGGTTAAGGAAAGATGGGTTATCAAGGCCTTGCCTTCTAAGAGGCTATGATTAGGTTACTGGGTACACTGCCCATCAACTCAGAGTTAGCTGGCTGCTCCAAGCTGCAGTGGTATTTCTGGCCTTGTTACATACAAAAAACTTCTCCCATAGGTGCTTATAAAGACGGCAATACACCGTATTATTATTATAAAGACATATTATTATTATAAAGACAGAAATACACTGTAACATTCTCTCCTTTTTTTTTTTTTTTTTTTTTTTTTTTTTGAGACAGGGTCTCTATGCAGTTCAGGCAGGCCTTGAGCTCACTTTGTAGCCCAGGCTGGCCTCGAACTCGCAACGATCCTCCTGTCTCAGCCTCTTGAGTGCTGGGATTACAGGCATGAGCCACCATGCCCAGCTAACATTCTCAACAACATCCCTACCATAAGCACAATATATTTCATTAATCATATATAACATGATACTTAAAATGCTGGAATAAATTTCAGTCCCAAGTAAGCTGAAATGTTACTAACTACGACTCATTCAAAGGTCTGACACAGCAAATAACTACCATCCTGACAGAGACTTAAAGTTCTAATTATTATTTTGTGTGAAAAGTTGAATTAGCACATGTTCCTTAATTTATATAGCTACTACTAAATCAACAAAGGCTAACAGAGTTTATTTACACTGATGTCTTTTAAATAAAATGAATTGAGCCCTTTAGATGCTGTGAACTACTGTTTTAATGAGAGTTCATATGCTTTGAAAAAAGAGAATAAATACAGTACACAAATCACATCCTTTTGACTTTTAAGATCCCTAAGTGGTGGTGCTCTTCTGCTGACTCTGTTCTTTGCTCCCATTAGCATGCCACATGCATACATCAATGATACACCCACAAATACCTCTCAGAAAGGTTAATTATATAAATGAACTGAAAAACGTTAAAGAATGAAATTTTTCTAACTTAAAAATAAACCTACCCAGGCAAATTTATAGCATTCGTGGCAATGAACTGTGCATAAAGAAGATGCCACCTGAGTTCAAAATAATTGAACTTGACAGGCAATGCATACTTACTTTCTCTGCAGTAGAAGGCAGTAATCAACGATGACAGGCACCGTGTCCTGCAGAGGAAGCATAAAGACAGCATCAATCCCATGCCCCCATCTAAGGCCCACTGATAACAGATGAGGTCTGATTAAGATGCAGCCTATTAAGATGATAAAACTTGGGACCACTATGTGGCACCATGCCAAATCTTAAAAAATTCAGTGGTTCTATTTCTGGAAATTTATCTTAAATTTATCTTAATTTATCTTAAATATATTTAAGAAAAAAAGTAATGCAGTAAGGTGTTTACCACAGCTCTGTAACAGAAGAAGCAGGAGATGGAGGGGAGGGGAAAGTAGAGAAGGGTAAACAAGATATTCACTGAATTTCAGTACCCATATTGGAAAAAATGAGTAAATTTTGCTAAATATGTATATGAAATTATAGAGTTTACAACATTAAAGCAAACACTAAAAAGATGGAATTTATCTAAAAACTTTGTAAAGAAAGAAAAAAGAAAACATAGCAAATTGTAATGGAAAATAGTTGGTCCTATTGGTGGCTCAGGTGACTAAGATTGCCACAATTCTCCAAACCAGTTATCTTCAGGTTGATTTAACTTCTTAGTTTCATAATATTTTGATTACTTTAAACTCATTATGCATGGACTCATATAATGTAAATGGAAACCTATAATTTTGGCCTTTTTCAAAGGAAATACTTTGAGAAAGAAAAGGCAGTTTATTATAACTGCTGTCAAGCATCAGGTTTCAATAGTAGTACATGTTTCATTTTCTGCTGGTTATAGGGGATTAGTTTCCTTTTAAAAATCCTAAAAAGCCTAGATTCTAGGCCAAAAAAAAAAAAAATCCTAGTAGAAGGAGAGCAGAGAAATGGGGAGGGAGGGGGAGATGATATTGCATGCTAATATCTACTAGAAAAAAGGTCAAACTAAGGTCCCCTCTTATCTGACAGAGAAATGTGAAGAAGGCCTGCGATCCTGAAAGGATTATAAGAGCTATCCAGGGCCCATGCTCCCTTATCACCAACATTACTCCTGACTAGATTTATAACTGTACTTAGATTTCAAAATATGGAGTCAAAATCATAGACTTAAAAAGGTTCAAGGCTGTATGAAGTCTCACCCCGAACGAGAACAGCGGGCTAAGTGACGGGGAGGGGAAGGAGGACCCCTGAGGAATGCCGAGGGAAATCTATTAAACATCCTTTAAACTATAGCTGAACGCCTGAAAATAAGGACAACGCTCGGGGTCTAAAAGTAAAAAGAGGACCAAAAAACCAAAGCAGTAAGTCCCCAAGTTGTCACTGACACTATCCTGTAGGTTTGCTAGTTACAGAAGAGTTCGGGTTTTAATGCCAGAAAGACGTTGAAGCCTCCCCAACCCCCATGACACAGGGAGCTGAAGCAGACTGGGGGCCTTGAAAAGCTGCAGCTGCAGTTCCCCCAGCACGGGAAGAGCACCGGCAGGGTTGTCTGTGGCAGGCAGACTGTCTCTATCAAGACCCTCCCCTAGCTGGATGCAGGATTTAAACTCAACACTATCACCTTAGTACGGGAACAGTCTAGCCAAAAAATTATCCATAAAGGTGACCCTATAACGAATACTCCTGACAAATTCAAAAACTCCTTTGAGACAGTCCTGAAATCAGACAAAATTAAGTACTACCGATATTTCTGAGTATTGAAGATGTGCACAAAATGCAAAATTTGAAATGATAAACCACAATGAATGCAATCAGGAACAACACACACAGCAGCAGAGCTCTCCAAAGCACCAAATAATATGGTTAACTGTTAGAAACCATATTTAATATTATGAAAGATATAGCTAAGAAATGAAGTGTCTATATCATGTAGATAGACCACAAGGTTCCATGGAGAGCAAACATCAGTTTATACATTTGTTCAGCTCACTGTGGTGAGTTCACGGGTCTGAAAAAGCAAGAGCAAAGACAGAAGGCTGTCACCATCGGCAAAGAAAGAAGCAGGGACTAACTGATGACAGGGATGGCACCCACACCTAAACACAAGGTTCCTTCATGCTTCACATACACCTCACACGCCACCTGAAGGTGCTTTTTTACAGGATTTTGAGTGTACTTGCATTCTGTCTGCAACACAGTATGTGAAGTCATACATAGAATTTTCCACTTGTGGTGCTACACCAACATTCAAAAGTTTTTTTTATTTTGGGACATGTTATACTTGAGACTTGGGAACCAGGGATACACTCAAACCTGTAGTAATTTGAAGTTTAAACCTGTGGTTAAATCTGGCTTAAACCTGTGGTAATTTGAAGTATCTGGCTTAAACACACAGATTTCTAACTTAGCACAGAAAACGATGCATTAGAGTAAAACTGTCCAAGGATGAAAGAAAGAAAGAAAGAAAGAAAGAAAGAAAGAAAGAAAGAAAGAAAGAAAAAAAGAGAAGAGAAGAGAAGAGAAGAGAAGAGAAAAGAAGAGAAGAGAAGAGAAAAAAAAGAAAAGAGTGAGCAGTCAATAATGGCCTAAATTCTGGAGAGGCCTGATTATGAGATGGTCAGAGGATAGAAGCAAAATCCAGTTCCAGTTCAGACAGCCATGGAGGTTTTAAAATAAGAGGAACACACATTCACATCTTTTGATGGGATATAAAGAATTTTCAAAGAAAAAAAATGGTCATCACTTTAAAAACAGTGCTGAGAATGAATGAAATCTGAAAAATGTTTACTGGATTCAGCAATTGGGATACCGCTGGTATCTTAAGTAAAAAGATGTTTTAACTATTTAATTAGACAGTAAATACAGTGGTGGGTAGGACCCAGCCTGCAGAGAATTTAGTACTGAGCAAAGTACTGGGGTGGGGAGCAGAGAGAAAGGAAAGGGAACGAGGAAAGGAAGGAGGTGGCGAAGCAGAGGATTTGGAGAAAGCAAGAGGGGAAATGCCAGTGTATGCATAACTGGAGTCCCTAAACAAGAAAATTAAAACGAGGAAATGACGAACAGTTCAATATATACTGCATGAAGAAATACAAAGGAGAAAATGACATAAAATGCTTACACTGAGACTCAATGCTATAAATTTGCTACATTCCAAAAAGAAAGAGCCAGGAAAACACGATTTGTGATTTGAGAGAGGAAAAATGCCGAGGCCAGCCTCTGATTTCCCCACAGTGATACTCAATGCCAGAAGACGATGGAGAAATACTCCCAAGATCCTTAATGAAAGTCAAAGTATTTTTCAATAGAAAGGTTGGAGACCAACAATTTGAAGACATAATAACTCAAGGAATACTGTTCTCATGAACCCTTATCAAAAAAGTGCTTGAGCAACCATGAAATGACTGGGAAAATTATAGTAAGAAAGGGTTGAGCTTTTGACCTCCAAACCTAAGAAGGGGAACTATTTCTTTAATCTCTGTTTTAATTCAGAATCCGTAACTGGCCAGTAAGCTGCTTCTCTTGTTAGACATTTGTGTGTATTTAAGACTTAATAAAGAAGGCAGTGTGGATATGCAAGTAAAAAGCTGAAGTCACAGAAAATCCACATTTCAGCCTGTTACTGAGTGAGGAGCAGCCTGCTTCCCTGCACTGGGACTACGAGACATCTGCCGTGTGAAGCTGTAACCTCTGGCTTCCCTATCTCATAGGGATGATCTGAAAAGAAATGGGGCAACAGATGCTGCAGATTCCTTTGCTTTGCAGAGCAACGGCATTAATTCTCTCAATTTATATTTGAAACAGGCATTCAGGTGATAAAAACTTGATTTTACAGACTTCCATGAGCTGTCAGAGGCAGGCGGTGCTCGCTCTCTCTCCTATTTCCCTCACCTCCAGCCATTCAGGAGAAGCAAGAGTCACACAAGGGAAACGTCTAACACTTCAGTGTGTTTGGTTTTTCAGTCACTCTCCACATGTCCTTTTAATACAACAACATATGCCTGCAGCTGTTATTATAATGGCCCTAAACGATCAACTCTCAGGCAAGCATTAAATGTAGCCCAAAGGAGAGCCTAATAAAAATTAATAAAAAACTTCTTTAAGATCTTCTAAGATATTATCTTTGAAATCCTTTTAGCTTGATTCACATTAACATGCCTTATATTTATTTGTATCTCAACCCTGTTTCATAAATAAATATATATGGATACAGTATAAGAAAATAACCTAAAATACTGCTTCCATCATTAAGTGACCAGCTTCTGAGTTTGAGAACACCATAAATCAAATGAATCAGTTCAAATGAATCATGTTTACCATGGTTATCCTGAAATTAATTCAAGTATATTTTCACTTTTGAATGTATTTAATTGTCTTCCAAAACCTAATAATTACTTTGTCCTCTGTATTTCAAAGTGACTAACAACTCTGATATTACCAAAGAATAGGGTGATTATCCAAGGTTATTAAAGAATATTGAGGAAAGAAACATAGTTTAGTTTGTACAAAGTCAACTGAGATCCTAAGATAGACGGCCTGAATCTATGATATTGGGGAAGTCAACCTCTGCATGTGTTCACTTACTGTAACATACAGATAAATAATTAAAGTCAGCTTTTAAGTATATTCAGGAAGAACATCTACAGGAAAATCAACTAGGGGGCAACTGTAATGCACCAAGAGAGACGGTGTTACATGGGCTAGGACAGCAGCAAAATTCAAGGCAGGATGTAAATGGTTGGAGGAAGAGTCTAGGAGCAGACGTGAACAAAATGGAATAAGTGAAAGACAAGAGTCCCCCAACGTGCTTTAGGTATTGATGCAGTCATTCACTGAAAGAGGAATGATCTGTGAAGGAAACATTCCTGAGTTTTTAGCACCTATAAAACATCCAAACAGTATAAATGGGCAACTAACTACAGACCTCCAAAACTCAGAAAAATCACCCTGGCAGGAGATACTGCTCAGCCATCACTAACAGAGAGAATGTAAAGTAATGATTCTTAAACTTTAATGTGCTTAGAAGTCATTTGGGGGGCTGGATACAAATCTTGGCTATCAATCTCAGAGTTTGATTCAGTAGTTATTTCAGGGAAATAACTCAAGAAAAAGTATTTTTAATAATATCTTCAACCAATTTTGAAGCAAATGGTACCCAGGAATCTTGGGAAATGATACAAAAATAGAACATAAGAACACTTTAAAGAATTTGAATGCTTATTGGTTAAGAAGAAGAGAAAAAAGAAGACAGAAAGCAAACAAGTAGCCAGAGGGATAAGAGAAAATACTGGAAAGTATGACACCAGCCCTGCCAAACAGACAAGCTGTTCCAAGCAGTCAGTAATGAGCTGGAAAGCTGCCACAGGCCTGTGATGCTAGGGGGAAGCTGGGGATGTAACTCAGTGTGCAGGTCCTGCGTTCAATTCACAGCAACTAAAAAAAAAAAAGATGTTAGTTTGTGGAAGGCTACTGAGGATCAGTAAGATTTAGGAATGAAAGGGTCTGCAGAATTTACAGACAGGGCAGAAATGGAGACATCCCTGTAGCTATTTGGCTCTAAAATATCCCTGCAGCTATTCGAAACAAGAAACATCAGACATCAGGGACAGAGTTAGGAGAAGACAGGATCTGTTTGCTGCATCTGACTTTAAGGTGGAGAACCTTGACCTAGACATACATAAATGCAGTGACGCAAAAGCAGAAGAATCAGTGAGATGTGTGAGACAGAACTTTGAACTCCTGTGATTCTATCAGTTATACAATAACAGGTTCAAATCTTTCCTCAAATAGAACCCAAAACATCACAAAATTTTCTGCCATTAAACAGGATAAAATATTGATCAACATTTGGAGAAAGGTGGATGTGAACAGCATTACGTATTTTGCCCCTAAGGGAAGGTGAACCTCACCTAAAGATTAAAATTGAGGCAGCAGGCGTGACTGCCACCTGCTGGCAAAACACAGATTCTCAGTTTTCTGACAGATGGAAACCACCCCTAATAGAAATTTCAGCTAACTGAATCGGAGGCCACCTGTGTACTGTAATAGTTTCTTGATACTGACATACAATCTCAGATTGTCTCACTCAGCAAAGAAAGTCTTTAAATCACACCCATCAGCAGACGGCCTCCCTTTATTTGAACACATTCAATAACAGGAGGTCCTAAGTCCAAGAGCTGTTACATCATCAGGTCATTTTAAGCTGAACGGCACTCTCTCCTAATTTCTACCCACTTTTCCTAGCTTCACCTCTACAGCAGTAGGTAAATTCCATACAGTAGGCAGGTTACTTTTGCCTTCAATGAAACAACCAAGTATTACAACTGTTCTAAATTCTTCACAGTTTTAGTTGTGGGGTATGGGTTTGTTGATAATTCACAAAACACCTTTCCAAGAGGTTCCATCCCCGAGAGGTAGCCCAGTGGTATTATAGCTGTCTTTTGTCTCAGCCTTAAGACCCACGTGGCTCTGGCTGAATTTATGGACAGCTAAAATCCTATCCAGCAAGATCTTCTGAATCCAGTAATATTCACATGATTTAATTATTTGAATCTAATGTAAGTCTTGGCGTTTATCCCTATTAAATTTCACCCTGTAATAATCATGATTGTATGTTTTTGTTGAGGTCAACTTGAACTTGATTCTTGGTGTTATCTAACAGGCGGGTTACTAATTCTTCATGCAAATCAATATAAAAATTTGGATATGAGGGTTGGGGATTTAGCTCAGCAGTAGTGCAGCTCCTGTCTGGCAAGTGCAAGGCCCTGAGTTCAATTCCTGATACCAGAAAAGAAAAAAGAAGAAACAAAAGGAAAGAGTACTAAGATTAAACTACCAACAAAATCCTTTGGGTAGAGATGTTTATTTAGCTGTAAATTAACTGAAATTTACTATTTACTAATCTATTTCAGTAAATAGGAAAATGGAACAATTAGACAAATACTTTAATGAAATCAAGATGATATGTCAGGCATTCTATGAATATGCTATCCTCATTTTCCAAAAAGGCAACTATATGTGTTTAACATGATCGTTTCAAGGTAAACTAATGGAAAATGTTCACAAGCCATACAGAGTTATCAGCAAGCAGTTTGCTAAACCAAATCTTTAAAACAAAATTTAAGAGCCAAACTACATAACTATACTATGGCTATGTTATGATTAAATATTTATGATCAGGCACTTAAAACAGCAGATCTGTGGTTATGTAAGCATTTTACCCATTTTAACAGGTCGAAGAGTATCTTTCTCTGAAGAAAACTGTTCTCCTGAATGAAATAAACTGTCTCTCCACCTAGACATCTGCACTGGATCAAGCTACCTTACTGAAAGCTGACTCCAAGTCCCCATCAGATGACTAACAGTGACTCAGACCAGACCTGGGCTTCCGATCCCACTGGGTTATGAACAATCACCACGAAACTGTGTGTGAAACACACACCAAGCTCCAGCTTTTCTCTTGAATATACTCACGAGAACGTCTTCATTTTAAACCCTTCTTGGTGCTCGTGAAAAAGATGAGCAGTAAGCACTGCTGCTCAGTGGCACAGTGCGACACTCAGATGTGGCTCTCAAAGTTAGGTTTCAAATCCTCGCTCTATCATGGACTAGCTAAGTGACCCGCACCAAGTGATTTAACCTCTCTGAGCCTCGATGTCATTTATGATTGTGAGAAACACCACTTCCCGTCCTTCAGAGATGTAAGAGTTAAATGAGTTAATATGCACAAACGCTGGTTTGCATGTGGTTCAAGAGTGTCCCCCAAAGGTTTGAATACAGCAGCTTGGTCTCCGTACAGGATATGGTTCTCAGACAGTTTCATACCCTTTCTTTCTGCCATATATTTTCCTCTTAGGTTGTTTATCTTTACAATTTTTCTGGGCTTACTTCTCCTCCACTGAAAAATTTAATTGCTTCATTTCAAAACACCAAACACCATCCTCCTCTGACACCATCCAACTCTTAACTGCCATGTCTATCCTTGTGTTCCAAACTTCTGAGCATCAAATGGAAGTATGAATAGGCAGGACCTTCACAGTTTTCACCTAAATATTTCTGTTAATATGTAAGAAATACTTTGACTGGAGTGAAAACTGACCGTGTGCATTACCTTCACTATTGCCCAGGGCCTAAATTTGACTGCCAGCACAAAAAAAGAAAGCAAGAGAGAACAGACGATGTGACATAGACCATTTATGACTGTAAAGTCTACCACCTAGTTCTTCCAAAAATTTGCTCACCCTTGTTTAGACACTCAACTATTTGCTAAAAGGGGAGGTAAGGAAGAGGAGCTACAAGGACAGAGAAAGAAAAATAGATTTGCAACAAACATAATTGGAAACTAAAAACAGAAAACTAGAAGTAGAAAAACTTGTGCAATAAATTTACATATCTTTACATATCTTGGCTTTTATTTACATTAAATTCTAAGATAAACTGATGGCCTTTTGTTAGCATAATTCATAGATCCCTTTTTTTCACTGATCTATATTTGAGTCCTAGGTGCTCCAGAGAGAACTGCACTTACACCTTAGCAGTGTCCTCCCCTGGCTACTCTCACTGACGTGTTAGTCAGCTGCAAGGCGTCAGCCACGGTGAGCTGTTAGTTCACCACCTGTCCCCTCATACACACTCCCTTTCCTTCCACATCACTAAGAGACAGTCCCCAATTTACTCACGTGTTCCCATTGGACTACATAACCACTGCTTCAAAACCCACCATTTCACCAAGCCTTGAAAGTTTTGAATACAAAAAAAAAAAAAAAAAAAAGAAAGGAAGAAAGAAAATAGCTGTCTTATCCAAAAGTATACCTGAAAATGCTGCTCCATCACTTGGATTTTCCCCTGTTCTGGGCACTTTCTCAGAGCACGATCTGCATAATGGAACAGGATTTCTACCATCTGGAAGGAAAATAGCCTTGCACTGAAGTCAAAACATGTCACTAAAGTTTTTCAGTATGTAATATTTGTGTCCCTCCTAAATAACACAAGATCGGGCTTTGTTATTGGATTAATAATACTATTAGAACTTTTAGTAGCTTTATTTCCCACCTTGTTTTTAATCCTGGTCTAATTTCTTTTCACCTCCGAGCTAATATTAATTTGCTTATCTTTGCTAAGAAATATCTCCACATTCTAGGTCTCAATAATACCTAAATTGCTCAGGAAACGAGAATTGAAGTCAAATTTTTCAGTTGTCCTTTGGTGAAGTCTTTCCCTAGTGAGCCTGCATAAGCAAATGACTCATGAACCCAGATCCCCAGGGTCTCTTCCTTCTTTCTGTTGTCTTTGAGCTATTTTGCGCTTTTATTACGAAAAACTGACAGTGGGCGATAAAATCAAAAAGCATTGAAGTTGATATCCGAGAATTATAATCTGACCTATTTTTATATATTGTCTCCATAATTGTAGCTGATTATTCAGTCATGTCTAAAGAAATTAGCAAATGCAAAGCAATCTGCACTGCACCCTAATGAAGACCCCATTAAAATACTTACCCGATCTGCAACAACTGCCTTTCTCTTACTGACGTCCCCTGATAATCCTGCAGAGAAACCAAGTCCAACATAAAACAGAAGTTACTGCACATCCTCAGGAGAGAACCTGTGTTCTGCCCTTCTCTTTACAACCTGTGCTAACAGATATAATTAGAACTTCCCTTAGTATCAAAAGTGTTGGCAAACAGGAATACTTGGTATCTGTCAAACCAGGTAGCGTATCAATATACTTTTGTTTTCATGGCAAATTTTCTTATGAAAGAATTTTTTTTACCTACCCACTACTGCTTTTGCTTTTCCTTCATGGAAAGACCACGCAAGGGCTAAGGCTTCCGTGAGGCAATCTTGTTTCAAGAGATGATCCACTCTCTAAAATGAATAACGAAAGGAGTCAGACCTCTTTGATCAATCATCAGTCTCCATCTACTTTCTTTCCATAATTCACTGCTTGGGAGCTAAAATTATTTCGATAGCACTGAAACATTATTTTAACACTGAATCTTTTCTGCAGGCTTATCAGAAGATGCCAGTTACTATTATATTTCTAAGAAAAATAATTTCATAAGCTAGTACATTAATTTCTTAAGTACAGTGATTCTATAGGCTACTATGGAGAGCCAAGGGCCTAAATACGAAGAGGGGAAACAGCAGCAATGTCATTATAGCAGAAATGGTAGTTCCTTATCACAGTAACAGTCCCACCTCCTCAGTAATAAAGTCCAAGTTTATTTGAGACAGCAATATGCCAGCTAAAGGAAATTCTCAGACTCCCCTTGACTTGGGGCAATGTAATAAAACTATGGTCAGCGACAAGTGCAGTGTCCTCTGCTACCATCTGTGATGTCGCCTTAGGAGGTCAGGGCCTGCCTTCATTTTCCCTTCCTTCCTTCCTTCCTTCCTGGATTGTAAAAGCTGTAGCAGCTCACTGGACTGTAAATTACCTTGAGACTAGAATTCAAACACAAAGTTGGTGGAACAGGCTGACATATTCAAGACCAGGAAGCTCCACCCAGTCCAGGATTGTTTACTTCTGGTTTACTTTCAGATGAGAAAGAAATCTTGTTTAAGGCCTTGCTATGAATTTCCTGATGTATGTAGCCAAGCCTCACACTAACTCATGTAATCATTTTTAGGAAAGTAAGTACCTAATGGTTATAATGCTTTTTATGTTAATTTTTTCAAGAGTGGAAATTCAAATACTCAGCAAAGTCAAAACAAAAATGTTTTACTTTGTGCTTTAACTTAGGGTTTTCTCATATAAGAGAAACCATGTGACATATAAGTTTGTTTGTCTGATTTGCTTCGCTTCATATTATTGCATGAAACAGAGATAAATCTTTTGCAAATGGGAAGGGGGCCAAGAAATGGAGGGCTGGGGAGACAAGAAGTGGGAAGTGGATGTACAAGAAACCAAGATACGCTGGGTATGTGTACCAGCTCCACAATAGAAGCTAGCACTATGCACTGCAAACGCACTAATATACTAATTTTTTAAATAAATGTTACCATCCCATTAACTCCATGGCTCTAACACAAAAAATTACTTTGATCTCACCTCTCTCCAGCTTCTCAGCATCATTACATAGACTGACTGAAAAATAAAAGAGAAGGAAATTAAAATGCTCATTTTTAACAGATTTGTTTGAAGACATGATTGTCTCACATCTGATTTTAGATTTTATTTTTCACACTATAATTTAGAAGCTTATCTTACAATTTACTAAAGTCTACGTGTTCACACAGAAGAGTAAATCAAACAAACATTGAAAGTCAAAGGAGTTAACACCACAGACATGGAAAAAGAAAAGCCAAGCTCTCATCTCCCTTTCAACTGATTTGACAATATTTTGGTAGACTTTCTTTTCTTTTTTAAAATTGATTTGATAATATTTTTCTTTCTTTTTTTTTTTCCTTTTTCGTTTTTATCGGTACCAGGGATCGAACTCACGACTGCCTGCTTCCAAGGCAGGCGCTTATGCCACTGAGCTTAAATCCCCAGCCCCTCTTTCTTTTTTTTAAAACAGTGCTAGGGATCAAACCCAGGGATTCATGCATGGTCGAAATTTTTAATAATGAAAAGTTGTTTCTCCATCTAAATTGAAAATAAGTAAAAGCTCAGGGACAAATTGATACATAGAAAGTTCCTATCCCAATGATTTCGATTCTAAGTTGAATGCCTCAAAGCATTTTAATGTAGACTAAACCACTTAAACTAAATGCCAGGCCAATTGTATGATAAATACATATAATTAGGTATCCTCCTTGTCATTAATACAAATGTTGAGGAAGGTTATGAAACTATATCCCCTGTGCTTGCTTCGGTAGCACATATACTAAAATTGGAACAATACAGAGAAGATTAGCATGACCCTGTGCAAGGATGACATGCAAATTCGTGAATCATTCCATATTTTTGCATATATGTTTAAGTGTATAGGATTGATAACCATATTCCTAAGTTTTTGTTGAATAGTTGAACAGAACTGGTTGCAGTCTCACTGTTTGAATCCCTACTTTATATGCTCCACTTTAGCATCCTGAATAACTATGTGTAACTATGTGTAAGAGGACAATTTGTAATCATTAACTAGTGATTTCTTACTGTTTATTTTTTTCTTTGAAAGTATGTATTATTTCTATCCCTTTTCTGTTTAGTCTTTCTTTAAATTAAAAAAAAGACACTACAGTACCCAGTGCTGATCATGGAGTGTCATGATGTGAAATCTAGCAATACTATTATTCTTTGTTCAGAATGATTTTAACCTGCTTTAATTTGTTTAATCTAAACATAAGTGAAGATATGGATAACTGCATGTATGTTTAAGTGTATACGACTGACAACCATATTACTAAGTTTTTGTTGGACAGTTGAACAGAACTGTTTGCAGTCTTGCTGTTTGAATTCCCACTTTCTATGTTCCATTTTTGTATCTTGAACAACTATTAGTAAAACGATAATGTAAACATCAACTAGTGATTTCTTACTGCTAATTTTTTTCCTCTGAACATATGTATTATTTCTTCCTACTTTCTGTTTTGTTTAGTCTTTCTTTAAATAAAATTTTTTTAAAAATTAAAAAAGAAAGTATATCCCTGAATCAAGAAAACAAGCACTGACACACCCATCATCTCAGTACTCTGGAGGGCTGAGGCAGGAGGATCCCAAATTTAAACCCAACCTGGGCAATTCAGAAAGACCCACATCAAAATAAAAAGTAAAAAGGTTGAGGGCTGCAGCTCATGCTAAACGTCCTATCTGCTAAAAGTGGAGGGAAGAAATCAACTCACTAAAAATTGTGATTACATAATATTAAGTTTTGGGCTACTGCGTGTACATTTGACAACACACTGTCCCTCTTTACCACAACTGCCTCCAGCTCCCGGTTCACACAAATGCCAAGTGAGAGAGTGAAAGGGCTTACTTTTGTCCCCAGATAAAAGATCTGACCACCACAGCTACTGATGGACTGGTAACAAGCCTTCTCTCCAACCAAAGCCTGAAAAAAAGTTAACCAGGTCAAACATAACATTCATTATGCTTTAAAGAATGTTGGCTACAGCAATAACATTTTAGGTCAACATGGTTTCTCCCCACAAGTCAGAGGTAAAAAAATGCCAAGCAGCCACCTATCTGACAGTGGAAATGCTACAGAAAAGACAAGAGTTCAAGAAGCAAGTCTCTGGTTACATAAGAGCTCTTTTGTTTTTCAGAATAACTGTGGGGAACATGCCAATGTTTAAATCTGAAGGAAAACCGTGGCAACCTGCACTTCACACAGTGACAGTCACTGCTGCTGGCAAGAAATGGGGCTGACTGAAAAACAGCACCTCCAAGTTCTCTGAAATAAATATCAACATAAACCCCAAAAGCAAACAGGAAGACAGCACCGTATCAGCAAGCCCAGCACACAGAATAGACTTTGGCTGATAAAACTGGGACCCAGACTTTGGCTCTGCCACTATCTGGCTACGATATTAAACAGATTTGAAACTTCTGACGTTGTTTTCCCATCTCTGAAAAACTCTGGATCATTTTTGTGAGGCTTAAATGGGTTAATATTTATATATCTGTCAAAATGTAAGTGGTCAATAACTGAAACCTATGACATTTTGTAACACTTTTATTACGGGAATTGAAAAACGTATACAACAGTAGAAAGAATAATCAATATCTGAATATATATCCACCAATGCTTCATGAATGATCAACTCATCACCAATATTGTCTCATCTATATTTCTGCCACTCCCCTACAGATTTCCAGATTCTGCAAATTACTTTTATAAAAATTCAGTATACATTTTTAATGAGTCTTTTTAACATAATTACAACTCCATAATATACTTGGAAACATTAATATAGTTCAATATCAAATATTCAGTCAGTGTTTGGACTTCAAATTGTGTAATGGCAACTGCTGAGATTTTTGTTTCTATTTTTGCCAATAAAATATAAATCTAGGATCAACATCACATATTGGACCTGGTTGTTAACGGTTATCAGATTATCTCTTGATCTGTAGGTTTTGCCTCTATTCTACCAATCCTTTATTTCCTTGGAGGTTGCTTTGTTGGTAGCTGAAACAGTTACACCTTCCTACCGCTTGGATTCTGCTGGCTATCCTCACAGACCTGTTGAACACCTTCCTCCATCCTCTACATTTTCTCCAGGAGGCTTAATCACATTGACGGTGTTTGGTATGTTTGGTTGGTTGGTTGGTTTAGTTTGATGGCAGTACAGCTTTTAAATATGATGTTAGCTGTAGGATTTTTGTAGTTTCCCTAGATTATGAGTTTGAAAAGTTCCCTCTAAGTCCTAGCTTGCTAAGTTTTTAAACCAGAAAGGATGTTGAATTTTGTCAAATGCTCTTTTCTGTATTAATGGAAAAAATTTTGGAGTTTTTCTTTTTTAGCCTACTAATATGGTAAATAACATTGATTTTTAAATGTTACCTTGGAAACAGAGGCAAAACCTACAGATTAAGAAATCTGATAACCCTAACAACCAGGTCCAAGGTCACTTGATCTTGATTTATTTTTTTTCATTGTTAGCTTCTATTTGGTAGTTATTCTGGTATGGATTTTCACTCATGAGATTATTAGTCTGTTTGTAGTGTTCTTAAGTTTTTATTTTGTTTTGTTTTGTCTTTTGAGTTAGGGTTTCACTGTGCAGCTCAGGCTGGCCTTGAGCTCACTTTGTTGCCCAGGCTGGTCTCAAATCTAGGATGATCCTCCTGCCTCAACCTCCCCAGTGCTGGCATTACAGATGTGCGCCACCACACCTAGCAAATTTTTGCTTTTATTATAGTTTACCTAGCCTTAGAAAATGACTTGAGTACCCTTTTTATTTTCTAGAAGACTTTTGTGTAGAACTAGTATTGTTCCTCACATTTGTATCTTTTTAACATCTTCCATGCCTCTCTCTTTAAATTTTTGGACCTACAGACCACCACTTTAATAACTATTATGCCCTTGTCTGCTAATTCTAACATCTGTGCTAGGTCTGAGTTAGCGTTTTTATCCTTCTTATAGATTGTATTTTTCTTCTTATTTCCATGTCTAATAATGTCTGACTAGAAGACAGAGATTGTGAATTTTACATTTTGGGTTCTGGAAATTTCTATTTCATATTATTCTTCTTACACTTCATTCTGGGAGGGAGTTACTTTTCCTTGGAAACAGTTTCTTTTCTGATCTTGCTTCCAGGGCTCCTTAGTGGGGACCAGAAGAGTACTGACTCAGTCCCAACTCCCCACTACCAAGGCAAGACTCTCTGCACCCTCCTCCATCCCTGTGAAGCAGGACGCTGTGCCTTCCAAAGCCTGGTAGGATGCGAGCTCTGCTTAGCCCTGGGGGAGCACTGGACAGAGTTCCCTCAAAACCTTTCCAGTGGTTCTTTCTCTGCCCTTGGCTAGGTTCCTTATAGCATTTGCTAACTAGTAGTCTGCTCGCTTCTCAGAGAGGACACTAACAGTGTTGTCTCCAGTTCTCTGTCCTACAAACTCGGCCCGCCTTTGCCTTCCTGCAGTCTCACTTCTGTTCCCCACCCGTGGAGTCCCCCGGGTACACGGCCTGAGCCCCAGCCCACAGTCTTTCAGGGCGCTCAGTCACTGTGCTCAGATCATCCGTTCCCTAGTCTGTCAGATTCCTGTCTATTATGACAGATGTCTTAAAAACTACCACATCTACTTGCCCCCTATTATTAGCTTTATCATTATTACTGGTTATTTCAGGCAGAAGATTAAGTCCAATCCCCATTACTTCCTCTTGGCTAAGAGTATAAAATCAAAGTCTAGTGGTATTTTTAATAACTAATCAAACTCCTAAAAATACCTGAGTACGGGATAATAATTATTATTACTTGAATAAATTCTATTGCACTACCATCTTCCATTCTGGATTTTCTTGGCTTTTAGATTACAAGACTGGAAGGCCTTGTCATAAGTATTTTATGTTCTAAAGTTATAATTATGAGAGAAGTTTAAGCAATGCCTACATACCATGCTGCAGACACTCATTACGTGTGATCATCATTACTACTTAAGAAATTAGCCAGAAGTCTCACAATAATCTAATTTTCATGTTTAAAGATTCGTGATTTAGGAAACAGGAGAACATTCAGTGACTTAACTGTAAACTGCCTGTACTAATTGTGTAAGGTCATTATTGTAGCTTCCCATAATAGGATAATATTATGGTTGGTGGTAACTTTTGTTTGTGTCCTCCTCCTGCCGTGGGGTCCTGTATGTTATCTACCACCTGCACCTAAAGAATCTTCTGTCTTTTTCTCAAAGATATCTTTGCCTTTCAATCTCTGCAGCTTTCACAGCTGGTCAAACCTTTAGCTTATTACCCAAATATTTCCAAAGCCTCCATGTTAGGCAGACAGTCATTAGTAGGCCTGAGGAGTCAGGGAGAGATAGTATGCTTTGCCAGTTATAGTAAGGAAAAAAAATCAAAGTCTCTAGTACATTTATAATCGCTTCTTAGGTCTCAGCCTTAAGGCAAACATAGAGCTCAACGACATTCTAAGGTTATACCCTGCACATTTCTGCAAGTAAGATACCTGGCCACCTGGCTGGCTATTTTCATACCACGATACACAGCTTTCCTGGGTGCCATGGCCTACACCCAATGATATCAGAAACCATAGCATTCTTTAAAGACCCTCCTTCCTTGGACTGTGACCTAATTCTTACATTACTAAGCCCCACTGAGAGGACACTGGCCACCTAAAAGGGACAAGGAAGACATTTTTGAGATAATGATGATGTTCCAACACTTCTCTGAGAGAAATGCCAATAAGCATCACAGCAGGAAAAGGCATCCAAACTCGCCCTCAGGGCGGATGCCCTCCAGGACAGCCTCGCTTCTTGGTCAAGGGGTAACCCTCTGTCTACTTCATAGTCAGACCCACATACACTTCTACACAGTTATCTATGTGTTCTGACTGACTCCTTCACCAAGGGCACCGAAAACTGAGGGCCGTGGAGCTGATGAGCTGACCCCTCACTGTCTCAGGACCCGGCTTTCTGCTTCCATCCAAGGCTACCTGTCTCCTCTAATTATTTATCCCTTCATCTACAGCGCTCATTGCCACCAGGTTAAACTTCTGAAAAACTTTATTTTTATAAATTCTTTCTCACAAAATTCCAATTTCTTTTTTTCAGTTTAACACTTAGAACTCTGGTATGAAGTGAAACTATCAAATTTCTGAGGGTAACGGGCTTACCGTTTTGGTTCACATTCCTGAATGCCTACAAATGCACCCACATCCACATCAACCCAGCAGTTTTTAAAGAAATACCTCAGGAAACAGGAAGCAAGTTCTCAAATGTCCTGTTCCAGGAAGAACGTATCAAAGGGACTATCCTTACCAGGGCCTGGCTAACGTTGCCCCCAGTGGCCAGGGACTTGAAATGGCTGCTGTTATAAACCAGCTGAACTTCTGAGATCTCCACCGTTTCCAACTCCTCTTGCGTCTGGCGGTCAATCACATGCAACTTCTCCACACTATCTAAGAGCACCACTGTGCGTGAGTTTATCCACTGCAATTCAAGCACAGGACAAAATCAAAATGAGGTCCAGCTCACATAATCAATTGGGACAAAAGGAAAACTTGGCTACTCAGTTACACTGCATTGAAAACCGATCCATTTAATGACTTGTGTGGCAACACAATCACACCATGAACTACTCAGGGACAGCCCAGAGAAAATATGGTACTGACTTCTAACAATGTTAAAAAGACACTCTGAGAGCTGGGCATGGTGACTCATGCCTATAATCCCAGCACTTGGGAGGCTGAGGTGGGAGGATCGTTTCGCGTTTGAGACCAGCCTGGGCTACGAAGTGAGCTCAAGGCCAGCGTGAACTGCATAGCAAGGCGCCGTCTCAAAAAAAATGATACTCTGAACCAGCACTCTGGAGGCTGAGGTAGAAGGATCACTGTGAGTTCGAGACCAGCTGGGGCTACACAATGAGTTCAGGGTCAACCTGAACTACACGACAAGATTAGGCCTCAAAGAATCCCCAAAATTAATCAATCAATTTTAAAATGACACTTTGATAGTGTAAGTGACTAAGAGCTATGTCAGAAAGATTATAGGATACATGGGTTTTTGTAAGTTTTTTTTAAAGGTGTATTGGCACAAACAACTTCAGCACAGAGACAAACTCCTCATATTTATACCAGTAAAAACAAAAAACCAAATGAAATTTCATAAACCTAGTTGGTCAAGGGCTGATTGTTAGCACTGAAGTGATACACATTTTAATTAACAGAAGGTATGTGAAAAATACATTTCCTCCCAAATCTCCCTAAAAATTACTCCAAGTGCTTCCTTGCACTTTCTCTGAGATTCGTGTTAACGGATTTGTATAACCTACTCCATGTTACCAGAGAGTATTTGTATAAAGCCACAACAAAGAAAGCCAAGTTAGAAACATTAATTTTCCAACATATGCAAAAGTTACACTCTGTACTGTGGCCACTGTAAGGCTCCCCCTTCAAACTCTCTCTCAAAAAGGGGGAGTTTGATATGCAAATATTTTACAAGGAACTCTCTTATAAGGTGTTCTCTTAATTATTTTGAAAAACAAAATTCTGTGAATTCCCACAGAATATTATACCAGGCTTTAAAACAACTGTGTGCCACACAGCTGTAATCCCAGCACTCAGGAGGCAGAGGCAGGAGGATCACTACAAGTTCAAGGCCAGCCTTGGTCACATAGTGAGACCCTGCCTCAAAATAAATACATACATACATACGTACACACACACACAGAGTGAATGCTTCACATACTAAGTTCAGCTAACGAAGATGAAGCTGAAACTAGACATCTTCTGGAGAGATTAAATGATACGAATTGAGGCCCCAGAACTATGCAAGCCCTTTGCAAAAGGCAGATGCACTATGCACCATTTTCTCAGAATATAATTTATGGTACCATGGAATGGTCAAAAACAACTGCCTAGCAATTTTCTCTCTGCACAGTTTATAGATTGTGGCAGTGTTTCTGTGATCCATACGGACACAATCAGCACGCCTGGCTTCCTGAGTCCACTGTTTCCACAACGGTAGCCACATGGTTCTCTAAGGAAACTTCAGTTTCTGACACAGACTGCAAGGAAGAGACAAGTTCTCTCTCCCAGAAGACTGATGAGGCTCAAATGAGATGTGAATGTGTAAATTCCAAGACAGACAGGAAATTATTCTTGCTAATGAACACAGGATCATAGCAGAAGATATGATTAGCAGGTATACTTCCAGTAAAATATCTCAAATATGTTTTTCTATCCAAATACTCAAAGGTGACTATGCAAAGTCCAGACTCTGATATTTCAGTGTTTCTTAGCTGGAATAATCCCCAAATGAAGATGGTAAAAGCTCCTTATGCCACAGTGATAGATGGACCTAAGTATTTCTGGCATCAGACTGACACTGAAAAACTTCAGTGTTTAGAAATTAAGAGTACAGGGGCTGGGGATTTAGCTCAGTGGTGTAAGTGCCTGCCTTGCAAGTGTGCAGTTGTGAGTTCGATCCCTGGTACCGATTAAAACGAAAAAGACGAAAAAAAAAAAAAAAAAAAAGAAAGAAATTGGAGTACAAAATGCTGGAAAGCAGACAACAGATTGAAGCTGCACTATCTGATGTTCTCATACTGGAAGTCCTTGTATGATAAGATATAAAAACAGTGGGCATCACTATAAACCATATACCACTAATATTCTTATTTGTTTGCTTGTTTTGAGACAGGATCTTGCTATGTTCAGAACGGCTTTGAACTCACTATGTAGCCCAGGATGGTCTTGAACACATGGTGATCCTCCTGCCTCAGCCTCCCAAGTGCTGGAATCACAGGCATGTGCTACCATGCCGAGCTCTAAAACAGTCTTGAACGGTCCTTCTGAGTTCCTGTTGGTTCCCATGCAAGCCTTTCTATGTTGCCTTTCAGGGTTTAATATTTCAGAAGGTATATGACCTCAACAGGGAAATGATCATTTTTATGAAATAATAACAATTTATTGGAAATAACAATATTAGAAATCAAAAGGGATGTTTATGACATCCTTTAAGCAACTGCTGGTTTGAGAACCAAAGGTAAAAATATTCATGAGAAAATGGAGAAATATTTTAAGATTAGTATCGCTGAGAGCCATCTGCTTTATGAAAAAGATGAGTCAAAGACCAAGGGGCCCTTGGGACCTCCAATTCTGACATTGGACTTAAAAAATGAATAATAAGCCTGCACAAGATAAAACAGTATATGTGGAACCACAAACAGGTTAGCTCTGGGAAAGAGCTGAGAAAGATTTAAACATCCCTAAAATCCAGGAAGTGAATTCTATGACCTTGGAACTGGTAATATCTTTGAAGCTCTTGAAAAACCCATGTGAGGGTAGACTTGATTCTGCGGTACTAGCAGGTACTAAAGAGTGCCATTTGGTTGACCAAGCACAATTTAATGATGAATTCCTAGTTAGACTATTGCCACATGCCAGTGAAACAACAGAGATCTTAGTATTCTATGTCTTCAGGGTTCCACCTTCCCCTAATGAAGAACCAAAAGAATTCCTGAACTAGAATCCACTGAGTTACAGTGTTTTCTAGTCAGAGATAAAGAAAAAAGAGGACTTAGGTCTGCAGCAACCAATTTAGCTACTGTCCTGTGGCACTGAAGCCACCCTGGGACCATTTACAATGCAGCTGCCTCATAACGGTGAAGCCAAGAACGTCCTTAACCCAGGTCTCGCGAGGACACCATTTGTAATGGTCAGTGAGAAACCCCAAGAGCCTGGAAATTGTGAGAACATGAGAAAGGCAGGACGGGAGGACCCTCTGGATGGCCAGGGCTGCCAGGATCTGCACAGGGAGAACCGTGACCCCAAAGGGCACACAAATATGTCTATCTGAAAACTTCACAGGATATAAAAACAGTGCAGCCATTTCATCACTGTTATCTTTGTTTTTTGAAGAAGAATCCAGTGATGGAAGGGAACACAATTATGCTTCACCACAGAATGGTTTGGCTCAGCTGTTGAATATCTACATTTTGAAAGGATTTACTGTTGGGTCCAAAAGTGTTGTGTGGTCAAATCTAAGAAATACACGGTCTAAACATGAGGTTTTTGGAAGCAGTTGAAGAAAACACAAGGTTCTGAGCCTCCCAAATGGTATGGAGGAGAAAGTGAACTCTGAGGATGTCTGGAACTGCATAGCCAAGTCGCTGAGACTTCATTCCAAACGGTGGGAAAAGATCTTTATTTCCTGTCACCAGATAATACTGCTTCTAAAGAAGAGGGGTCTGGAGGTGACCTCAGTTTCTCTCAGGACCCAAAGATGTTGACAAGTGACATGTCATCCAGGCCAAGAGTACTGGAAAAAGCCAGAAGCATGTCACTACAGGAAGTTGTCACTTTCAAAAACTAGTATGTCTCGAAAATAAAATAGATCTATATACTATGATTGCTCTATTTATGGATTTGGAATCTTTCCTCTGCTTTAATAATTTTTATGCTTCTGATCAGTTGGGAGGATTTATTATGTTAAACCATTTGTTAACACATTTCAAAAGGAAAAGTATTGGTATCTTTTCAATATAATGTTTATATTAAAATAGAAAAACATAGGCTCACAAGTCCATTACATGATGCTACTTAGGACAATGGCTTTCTTAGCATTAAAAGTCTCCTTTAGGACTTTTAATCTGATGAAGTTTTGGCTTGACTACCCAGTTAAACATTTCACTATTGTTCTGTTTGAATTAGTAGCTTTGCTAATATGACATGAAATTAGAATGAAGTTTATCCTTAAAGGAAAAAAAATAATTGAGTAATTATTCCTGAGATTAGGTCCTCAAAATCATAAGTGTTGATGCTATTGTAAATAAATCTTTATAAAGGTAATTTATAAAACATACAGTTAATGGTAGCATCACAAATATGCTGGCCAAAGGACAGATGAAAACACCAACTTCTCTACTGGTAAGACAATGGCTCCTGGTTATGGAGAAACTTTTCCAGTGACACATTTCTATACAGACTTAAAAAATACTGTGTGGGCCAGGGATGTAGCTAAGTGGTTGAGTTCCTGCCTTGCATGCCAAGGCCCTGGGCTGGCTCTCCAGCACCACCAAAAACAACAACAAAAAACAAAAGTATTGTATTTCAAATATCTTAAACAGAAGTGATGATGATTACTGGAAAACTACCAGATGATTCAAAAATTACTTCATGAAACATGTATGGAAAAACTGTCATAGGTTAAGTATTCCTTGTCTGTAATATTTGGGACTTGAAGTGTTTTGTATTCTGCATACACACATACACACACACAAACACACACACACATACACATACATATAATGAGATACCATGGAAAAAGACTCAATTTAACTAAAATTCATTTCTGTCTCATATACATAGTCTGAAGGTAATTTTATTCAGTATTTGTAACTCATCTGACCAGAGTCCATCTCATGAAGTTGAGTGTGGAATTTCCTGCTTACAGCATGTTGGTGCAAAAGAAGTTTTGGATTCGAGAATTTCAGTTTTCAGATATTCAGATTTTTCTCATCCTAAGTAATCATTCTGAATAAGAGACACTTAACCTGTGATTTTTTTTCCCAGACATGTTTTATAAAATAATTTTTTACTAATTCTTAAAAGATGTTCAACCTATGTTTCTAAATCATTAATCTGTAAGTCAGTGTAAAAATGTAATATGGGATGGACATGATAGTACAGGCAAGCAGTCCAGAACTCACGAGATTAAAGTGCAGGGTCCACCTGAGACCAGGTGCTCGAGAACAGTCTATGCAATACAGTGAGACCTCTTCTCAAAAAAAAAAAAAAAAAAAAAAAAAGTACTTTTCAATTTAATAACATAATTTTTTAGGATATAGTTATTTTATTTAAAATATTTAATAATCATAGTTCATGGAAGAAACCCTGGTAGCTCTAATGCACCATGGATGCAGAAAAACTACATGAAATAAATGGGAACATTTAATCTGAACAATACTCACAGTGAAGTTGATGAGATCATAGTACAGGTGAAGATACTTTTGCTTAGTAACATGTATTGCTCCAGATTCATCTCTCTTAACCTGAAGATGAAATGAAAACAACCAAAGCACCAGTTATTAAAGCGCTTTAAAAAATATGTATTATATCCCACCTAGGTAAAGTATGATTCCCTGTTCAGTGTAGACAAACCAAAACTACAGATAATTACAGAAACTATTTCACAAGTGAAAAGAAATCATTTTCTCCATGATCTGCACCAAAACCCAAAGCATGTCTGGCTAGTGGTGTACTTGTCTCTATTGGCAAACGCCATACATTTCTGTCATAACTCAAAACAACCTAACTTGATCACATCAGTAATCGTATTTAGCTAGCGCATATAATGGGACTAGTGACACGGTATAAGCCTAAAAACAGGAAGGAGGAGGAGAAGAAAAAAGAAGGAAAGGAGAAAAAGGAAGAGGAGGAAGAGGTGGAGAAGCAGCAGCAGCTATAGTGACAAAACAAGACATTCCTGAACTATGATTTATTATAGCTCACATAAGCCATAATTTTCCAAAAGAATCTCTAGTGTTAGTATTTTATTTGTGTGTACCTACACACTACATAATGTCCAATCATCCCTGTAATTTACTTTCTCCACTTCTGCCTCAAGGTAATAGAATGCTGAAGAAAAAGATAAAGCAGGAGATACACCTGGCTTCCTGAAACGACCAGGCTCCATTCGGCTGTGTCTCCTTGCATGTTGCCCTCAGCTCACGCTGGCCGTCTGTAAGTCTCAATTCCACTCTGCCATTTAATCCCATCACTTGCACTAACCTCACTGGATACCTTAATAAAAAATTGAGACCGCTTCATGTGAGGCCCTTCAGAGCATGCTGTATTTACTAAATTACCTGCTTTACCATAAAGGATGTTCTGGTAAAATGAATGTAAGATCTAGAGCCATGTGTTTAAGTGTAAGTGCCACTATTACAGCTGTGTGACCAAGAGCAATCACTCATTCTTTCTTAGTTTCCACGTCTGTAAAATGAAAACAAGTCTGTACCAAGTGGTTTTATATGCTGCATATGTCGAAAGTGTTTCATAAACTCAGAAGATCAATGCCAACATTACCTATTCCCCTAAGATTTTCTAAAATCCTCAAAGAAAATCACTTTGCCTATATAAACTCTAATTCCTCCTCCCTCCATCACTGTTTAATGTTGCTTCTCCTCTGCTGGCTTATTTAGTCCTTCCTCTTGAATGGCCTTTTTCCTTTTGCTACGATGTTTCTGAAATCCCTATCTTCAAAATAAACACAAAAAACAAACAACCCCCCCCCAAAGCCTTTCCTTAATTTCCTTCTTATAGACACTGTTAACTATATGTCTTCATCTTTTAACCAAACACTATGATTGTGTAATCTGTGTATCTGAAGAACTATTTCTTTAATAAAGCTCTACAATCTAACATCTCCTAGCCCACTGATAAGCAGTCGCTTAAAAAGGTTCTGCAGAACTACTTCTTGCTACACATGGCTACCTTCTCTTCAGTCTTCCTCTTTCTTGATCCTTGTCTACTATGGATATGACCCGGGAACTGACACTGTACTGAAGGCTTCCTTCTGTCTTCTGTGTGAGGCCACACCGCCCCATTTACCCTCCTACCTGGACATGCCTACAGGACATGGACCTGTTTCCTCTTCTTTTTCCTGTCCCTCCTACGAGTGCCCACCAAGGTCATGTGCTGGTTTATATAAGTGTCCCCCACAGGTCTATGCATTAAAGGATTAACCGTCACTACTGAAAGGTAATGAAATCTTCAAGAAATGGGGCTCAGCTAGGCAAAGTGGTACACCCCTAAAATCCCAACACTCTGGGAGACTGAGGCAGAAAGACCACAAGTTTTGAGTCCAGGCAACTTAGCAATTTCATTAGACTCCACCTCAAAAATAAAAAATAAATCAAAGAGTGGGGATGTAGGTCAGTGCAAAGGCTCTGGGTTCAAATCCAATATGGATGGGGGTGAGGGGTGAGGTGTTCAAGGAAGGAAGTTAGAACAGTGCGAGGAGGAGCATGCCCTTGAAAGGGACACTGGGACCCTCTCTCTTTTTTTGCTTCACTTCCCAGTCACCCTGAGGGAGCACCTTTTGGTCTACACATGTCACCACCATGATGGGCTGCCTCATCAAGGCCCAAAAGCCATGTGGCCAAATGGCCATGGACTGAAACTCCCAAAACTGTGAGCCAAAATCAACCTACCCTCTCTTAAATCAATCAATTACCTCGGTGGTTTTGTTACAGTTAACAGAACACTGGCCCACACAGCATGTGTGCTTTAGCTTTTGATTTCCTGAGCTTCAACTGTTTTCAATATCATGAAATTCTCATTCGTACTTCACTTACAGAACACCCCTGATAAAACACTCGAGAGTCTCAGCTTCAATTCTAACTCAACACACTCAATGCAATCTTTCCTTTCTTCTCTCTTCTCTTTTCTCTCTGCACAGGAACCCTCCTTTTTATTTTCTACCCAGATGATTTCCCTTTTAATATTTTTTTAAATTGGTACCGGGAATCAAACTCACGACCACCTGCTTGCAAGGCAGGCACTTATGCCACTGAGCTAAATTCCCAGCCCTCCTTTTAATATTTTTTATTCTAAAATGCAAAGATACATTTTATTCATGCCCTTCACTCCAAGATCTCTTAACTCACTACAACCAGCTACCTTTGTTTAAGCACCTCACACCTGCTTTATTGAGAATAAAACCTTCAATTTCCCTCCTTTCCATCTTTCTGTTACTTCTACATTAATCTTCCTAAAGTATCCTAAAGGCATTTAATCATACCTTTACCACTTTAATTACTTAAGAATCTGTGACAGTTTCCCATTACCAATTTAGGCCAAATCTTATGGCAATGGTTGACATGCTGTATCTGTAAGGGACACATTTTATCTATTAATATTTTAGGCTCTGCAGACCATACACTGTCATCTCAACTCTACCACTGCAGTGAGAAAGTAATCAAATATATAAACCAATGGAAAAAATTATATTCTACTAAAAATTTATTTACAAAAACAAGTGGCTAGTCAAATGTGTCTGATGGTTCAGTTTGCTAACATCTATTCTGGATCTACCCCATATATTCAATTTTATGTTCTACCATAGATTTCTCCCTGTCATTAAGTCTATAAATATTTATTAAGCATGTACTATATAGAGGTGGTGTCCTAGTGGCTAGAAATAGTCAGTATAATTGGTCTCCAAATTTATGGAGCTTTCAGTCAAGTAAGAAAGAAAAACATCAAACAAGTAATTTTTAAAGTACTGAATACTATTTTTTAAAAAGGAATATATAATAGGAAGCAGTAACAGTTCAGAGGGTCACAGAAGGCAGTGCTGACCCTGAGCTAAGATTCAGTGCAGAAGATCAGAGCTTTCCTGACAGAGACAACAGCATACACAAAGCACTAAGGCCAGGCTACTTGGGAAGCTGCTGCGGCATCCCGCCCAGGAACAATGCAGTTTAGCACAGGCACTGCCAAGCCAGCGCAGCATGCGCAGTTCAGGCTGTGGAAGCAGCAGCAGGAAAACAAAAAGGAAGAGTGTTGAGAGATTGTGGGGGTTGAATCAACAGGACTTGGTGACACAACACAACCGAAGGGAGAAAGAGGACTGAAAGGAAGCCTAGGTTTCAGGCTACAGAGACAAAGTGAGCTGCAGTGAAACATGCGCAAAGCCCTGAGATCAATTCCCAGCACCACCGACTCACAAAGTGTGCTCAGCTAGAAACCCGAGACCACACCAGTGTGTTCTGGGTTCTAACCTGAAGTAGTCTTCTTTCCTCTGAATCCTTAGCAAGTCCCCCAGGGCCTCTCTAGAGCATTGTGCACCTTTGCTCTCTAATTCACACCAACTTTTAATTCTCATCAAATGAGTAAATATTTAAGCTGTTCACACTAGTAGTAACAAGTATGCTGGTTTTATTTTTCAAACAGTAAGATAATCTATGTAAAAGAAGAAATGCTTTATACTTCCTTCATTTGCTCCTAGTGCAGAGTGCAGAGAACACAGTAGGTATTTAATAATTGTTCCCTAGTAAATATACAAACACATATGTAGAGGGCATTAATATGCCCACATTCATGTTTATACACATGAATAAAATATTAATTATTAGTCCAAAGAAGATGGATTTAAGAAATCATGAAAAGTTATGGAGGTGAGAATGATTAGCTTAAAGCCTTAAATAAAATTAAACATTCTGTCTCCAAAGGCTTATGATAGTAAAATAGATTTGACACAATATTCAATTACTGATAAGCCAGAAAAAGAGATGTTATAATACAAAACTTTCTAACAGACCCACCATCATACTAGAACTTACCAGTAGAAAATGAACAATATCTCCTCTGCAGAAAGCAAGCATGGGGTTCACATAATTATGTACTGCCACAAAGTGCCAGGCTAGCAGTGGAACACTGGAAGGATCCATCTAAAAAAGAAGAAAATGCACAAAGCCCTGAGTTCAATCCCTAGTACCACAGGTGGAAAAACAGGGAAAGAAAGAAAGAAACAAGGAAGGAAGAAAAAATTCTTATCATCCTAACAGAAGAACAAAGCAAAATCTCTGTTCAGAAATACCTTACAAATGGTGCTCCTTGATAAGTCTTTTTCAGTGTCTCCTAAAAATTCCCACAAAGCAAGGACTGACTGGGAAATGTCGAAGAGAACTTTCTCGGTTGATGGAACATTTTCTATCTTGATAAGGGTTTGGGCTACAAAACTGTAAGCATCTACCAAAGTTCAGCAAATGCACACTCAAGATTCATGCAGATCTGTACATAAATTTTACAACAAAAAAAGCTCTAAACAAATATTAAACTGCAGATGACAATATGCATGCTAAACACTTCGGGGAAAAAGTATTCATTTCCGCACCTTTTTCTAATACACAAAAATCTAAAATATGTAGTCTGAAGGGTAGATGAATAGATGTACATACATGTACTAAAAAAGTACCATAAAATGGTAGTAGTAGAATTTAGATGGCAGGTATGCAAATATTTAATGAAAACATCTTTTCACTTCATTTTAAAATGCTTATAATAAAATGTTGGAAAAAATACTAATAAAACATATGAAAAGATGTGACTACATCACCACAATAGAAACTTCAACTAGCCAGTGACGCTAAACTGGAAAATGTTAGTGGAAATCTAAGCCAGCCTTGCCACTTAATGGAAAGAAATGCTTTTCATTGTGCCCAGAGATTCACAGGGTACCAGTAAGAAAACAAAAATGATCTTTCTGGCTTCTGGAATGGCCCCAGTTATGTACCGCCCCTCTCCATGCCATCCCATCAATACCTTTCCTCAGCACAGAATAGAAGATCACAGCTCTCTAAAAATAACTAAGCAGAACAGAAAGGGAACCTGGGGTCTGAATAATGCAGTCTCGTCAGTATCTATCATCTTGAATACTGAAGTCCATAATGCTTAGGTCCCTTAATAAAACTGAGTAGTATTTATATACAACCTATGCACATCCTTCTGTACACTTAAAACAGCTATAGATTATTTATAATACCTAATACAATATAAATAAACATAAGCAGTTATACTACAATGGCTAGCATGATAACAAGAAAGTCTGTACATGTTCAGTATAGATGCAATTGGTTTTTTCTGATGTTTTGCTCTGTTTTGTTTGTATTAGGGACTGAATCCAAGACCTTCACACTGGGCTACATCCCCAGTGCTTTTTTATTTTTTATTTTGAGACAGTCTAAGTCACTAAGTTGCTGAGGATAGGCATGAACTTACCATCTTTCTGCTTTTTTTGGAACATTTTTCATGTATAATTGGTTGAATCCGCGAAAGCAAAAACTACAGATAGACAGGGCCAAGTGAACATTCTGAGAAGTACCAACCCCTAAGACAAGGCATCAGAGGCAGATGCTAAGGAAAGCATACACAGTAGCAGTATCTGTTGGATATTACAGTGGGGTGTACTTGATCAGTGTTCAGTGTCACTGTAGCAGACAGTGAGTCTGATCTGCCTCAGCATGGCCATCACACAAAAACAAGCATCCTTCAAACACTGAAAATCAAGCTTGGGACTCAGTAATGCATCATCTTATCCTTCAAATATAACAAAAGAATATTCCTGCCCTTAAAAGAGCATAAACAAGGCTAGGAAAATGCTGCATGATATTAGGTATGACCACAAAGCACCAAGATGTAGTATAGAGAGATTGTCAAATTGAGGTTAAAAACAACAGCTGGACACACACTTAAAGCAGTATAGGCAGGAAGTATAGATCTCAGGATTCCTGGTCATCAGCTTATCCTGCTTTGCTCAATTTAAGGTAATTCTAGACAGTCATCAGCACAGTACAGCACTAACTCCTGTTCTTCCTAGATTTTTGACAACTGCTTACAATTTGCCCCTTATAAGTCACTTTCCCCAACCTCCTAACATGTCCTTCCTTCATCTGCTAACAAGATGGAGACGCATACTTACACGTCCATAAGGAAAAGTCATCCACACCTTCAAGGATGGTTTCAATCCAATGACCAGTATCTTTAGGGGAAAAAATATTATTTTCAATATTTATCTTGTAATTTTCAAACCATCTGTGGTCAAAGCCTCAAAAAGCTACAAGTGTCATCTTTTAAATATGTCTACCTTTGTTAAGGATGCCATGGCCAATAATGAAAACTGCGTGATGGGATGATCTTTCAGCTCAGGCTTGGAATGCAGAGGCTCAATACAGCAAACTTCTCCCTTGGAACCACTGAACAGACATCTAGATTCGCAAGTTCTCACTCCCATCACTCTCCTGAAAATGTAACCAAAACATTCAGAATCATTTAGCAATGATTTAAGGCCCTGACCTCTCTAGCTTGACTCTTGTCCCTAACTACCCAAACTCCACACTACAGCGGCATGAGATCTCTACTGCGCACATCAGATCTGCCGTGCTTCTGTTAAACACACTCTACTGTCTGAAAACACCACTGTGCATAAAATAAAATCCAAACTCTTATAATCTACACTGTGAAGTGCTGCCTTCACCGTTTCCCCACTGCTGTCCTTTCTGACACACCCCAGCAGCCAAGCTCATGTCCATTTTAGCCTCTGTATTCAGTACTCCTTGGCTGGGACATTTCTTCCATAGCGCTACATTTCTTGGCCAGCTCTTCACTGAGGTCTTTCTTCAGATGTTACCTCCTGAGTTATCCTAAGTGTGCTCCACGACATTGACCTTAGTTCCTTCATGGCACACATACCTACTTAAATTATTTCACTTACATGTTTATTTCCTGTCTCCCTACCCTCACCAGTGAGAATGGAACTTCTTTCAGAATAAGGACCATGCCTAATTCGTAGCTGTAACTCTTGTATCTACATACAAGCCTCCTCACAGGGCATGCTCAGTAAACATCAGCTGAATACATTAGTATATGTTTGCAGCAATTACTCTGAGCTCAGTATGTAAAAGTTACAAAAAATACAAGAAATAAAGATAGGCACTGAACTTGAAAGAATTTATAGAAACATAATACACATTGAATAGTATGTTTGCCATTTAAAAAAAAAAAACTCAGGTTCATATATGTTCCTCCATGTAGTTAGAAAGTCTTTGCACTTATTTAAGAGTTATCAAGGCAATTCTAAGGCAATAAAAACCATTTTACACCTGGCCATTATGGTTACAATCAACTTGGCCTGGGGCCTAAATCAAAATTAGTGAGCTACTCCAAAACAGCAGTTCTTAAGCTTAACAGCATGTAAGAACTGTCTGGGGAGAATATTTCTAGAAGTCTGACTCAGACCTACTGAGATAAAATCAGGGGGAACCAAGCCTGTAACTCCACATGGTCTGTAAGCCTCCCAGGTAACTGTAATACACAACCATAATCTATTTTCAATTACATCAACTTTCCAGACCTCTTCATGTTCAATTTTAAATCATTAAACCAGAGTAAGTCTTTTCATTTGTCAACAAATGTCCATTAGTCTCTTACTTAAATGTCAATTCAAAAACAGAGCCTCCGCTGTCATTGCAAATTGCAAGAGTTGGATCATCTGTAAACTAAACAGAGACAGAATTTATTTTTTTGTAGATTTTTAAACAACCAGTCAAGTGTTAAGCTGCCTACAACATACATATTTAGCATGTGAAATAACCTAAACTACATTTAACCCACACTCCAACACACAAAATTATCCTTATTTAGGATAAAAATGGCTCTTTGAAAAAATGGGGCTTTCAAAAAGTAAAACTACCTTTCATCAGAATAAAATAAAAATACCAACTATAGTTGTTAAAAGCCCTGAAGTTCTCTACTTGGGTTCTTACATTAAGATTTTCTAACTTGCTATTAAGCAAACAGGATCATTTGCGTACACTTGGAGTTGTCTGGTTTTCAAGATTAAGGAAACAGTAAAATCACTTGGGAACACTGGAAAATAAACCTGCCTGAATACATTTTCTGAATAACTTAAGAGTTAATACACAAATCTGAAACGTCTTTGTAACTTTTTATATAACTCTTCCTGAAATATGTTATGTCCTTGATCTTCTTCCACAGGTTATATTTCAGTTATTATTACTTAACTTGAAAAACTCAAAATAGTAAGTATCTACAATGACACATATAAGGTAGGGTAAATGTTACAGTACACAAAATGAAACAAGGTATTTCATATCATTTACAATGACTAGTTTCCCACAGCCAAAGCTTTTTATTCAACTGAACTGAATGTATTGCAAAACATTCTTTTTCCTTGATCCTAGAAGAGCCATTGCTTATGCACATTCATGTGATGGTTCACTGCAGTGCAGGAAAAACAGAACTCATTTTTCTGTTAATTTTCTACTTATTGTATATATGTTTTAAAAGACACTTAAAATTAGTACTATACATTTATATAACTGTGCACGCACACATACACACTCACACACAAAATATGCAAGCCCAAACCATTACTGATGAGATGTAGGTACAATATTGCGAAAATGAGTAAGGGGAGGGGGACAGAAAGAATTCAGATGTATGAGGTACATGTGCTGGCTCCCCATGACAAATGTATTCATTCATTACATAATGCAAACGTGTACCAATAAGGAAAAGAGATTCAATAGAAGCTTTTAAAAAATACTGAAGTACAAGTGGCCCCATCAATCCAAGACTTCAGAAATCTCCAATCACACCTGTCTGCTCCCTAAGTCTGTGTCTGTACACACTGTATTCATCACTGCTCCCAAATGACACTATGCTTTGAATCTCAGGTACACCTTTCTATTTTCTCTCTGGTTATCTTTTGTTTTATTATTTCTCACAATAATTTCATCTTTTTGCAAATGCATTGGTCATTTATAAACACCACTAACTAGTTAGTCCTTCAATCAAGGAATAACTTGAGCAGTTACTATGGGTAAAACACAAAAATAAATTATAAGATTCTAATTTCAAAAATCTTAATTAACAGAGATGAGACAGATAATAAACAACTATAATGTATTGGAATTTGGCACATACTCTACTAGAAGAGGTCAAGACAGATTACCATCAGGTAGTGAAGGAGGAGTTCTCTCTACTTTTACTTGTCTTGGTTGTTTTCATTGTTACTAAATGATTCAGTGCTGCTTTGTCACAGAAGACTTTTTTGTAACTAACCTAGATGCAGCCATATAAACTCCAGATGCTTGCAGACTTTAAAAAGCATGTGCATGGATAAGACAGCTCTGCACAGCTAAGCAACAAAATATGTACTTGATTAAATCTAGAAGATCTGATTTTAGACTTCGCCAGTTATAGTCCTTTTATGCTTCTAAACATGGGCTTGCCAACACGTAAGAACCAAGGTTCACATGTATTTATATGTGAGGTCTATTACCTAAGCTGATTTTTTTTTTCAGACCTGAAAGGAGAAAACCAAGACAAGAATCTTAAGGCTTTCTCTTTAGAGGCCTAAAAGAAAATAAATCAATACATTCATTTCTAACACTACCCAAACTCTGGTTCTTACACAGTTGGTACCTTGTATATCAGGCAATTCCCAAAAAGGGTGACTGACCACATACCCTCAGCAATAAAACCTTGGCAGACTAACTAGATTTAAAAAGACTTTAAAATCTCCATACAAGTTTTCAGCAGGGTGCTGCCTGTCTTTGCTGCCAACCACGAGTCTAGGATCACATTGACTTGCCGTTTTTGCTGCTATGTATATTAGTGTTTCAAATAATCTGAAGCTGAATATTTCTGTATTCCCATCTCTGGTTTTAACCTGGGAAAATATCTTGTTGGGCTATCAAATAATATTCACCTTCATATTAAACACATTTTGGAAGTAATATAAGTAAACTTAAAATGAATACAAAGCCATAATTATAAAGGCTATTAACAGAAGAAAAAGAAGTAGGTACCTTGATATGCAATATCGCTGTTCCTGGAGGATGAGCATCTGTTATTGATCTGAGAAGTTTTCCACTGGCCAAATCCCACATGGTGATCTATAAGACAACTAAGTGCTTTAAAAACAAATTTATTGCTCTTTTTTGGACATAAGTATCCTGCCTTCTGGCTGAAATAATCTATTCCTCATCTATAAACATTACAGGCAAAGAACTATAAAGTTAAAACATACCTAAAGATAGTAGCTCCATTAAAGCCTGGAGCCTTTTTCTCTCTTCATCTGTCCCTTATCCTGCCCAAACCACTTTCCCTTCAGATTTTTAAGTGCTATTCTTATATTGAGAGGTAAGACTTCTCTAGTAAGTCAATCTGTTTAGCACTGGTAAAAAGGATAGGGAAGGCTTACGGCCAAACCAGCTAGTGACACACCAGACCAGGAGAAAAGCCCTAACCTATTACCAATTTAGAAGTAGAAGAAAAAAAAAACGGCAAAATAGTTGTCAAGGAACACAACAGTTAAGAATCCAGAAAGCAAGCCAGGTGTGACAATGCACACCTGTAATCCCAGCACTCAGGAGGTTGAGGGAGGAGGATCGTTGTGAGTTTGAGACCAGCCTGGGTTACAAAGTGAGCTCAAGGCCAGCCTGAACTGCAGAGAGACCCTGTCTCAAAAAGACAAAAAAAAATACAAGAATCCAGAAAGCAAAATACAGTATATCTACAGAGCAGCCACACTTATGTACTATTACTGCCAGGAGATAGATTTTATATATCACTGTTTGGTTTATAAAATCTATTAAAATAGACATATGACTTGTAAAATTATAAAAATTTAAACTCTAGTTCAGTTAACAACAATTATTTGAAAATGTGAACAACATGAGAGTAGGTCTGAGTAACCTCAGGTACCTCTACAGATATCATTCGTTTTCAAAACTTGTTTTTAGCATGATCTCCTGAATGAAAGAAAGTCTGTGCCTCACCTGTCCTTTAGCAAAGCCACAGAGCAGTCTTGAGCAGTCATTGTTGATGCTGAGGGCAGAGATGGCTCCATACTGAGCCCCAACACTAGTGCTCCCCAGGCAGAGTCGCAATGCTTGATTCTGATCTAAGGAAAACAGTTTGCAAATCAAGTGAAAAAAATGGAAGACAGTAGATAGATAAACATATTACAGGAGTGTTTTCTAAGACTTGAGAAATGGTAAGAATCAAAAGAAGCAGATAATAAAGTTACATTCATCTTTCATTTTTATACTTAAAAATATATTCAGCATCTACTAGAAGCTGTGCATTAATTAGACACCAAGAATACAGAAACAGTAGGACCTACAGAAAAGGATACTACGAAACTTGCTACTAGCACATAGCGAGAAAAAAGCAAGGCTGAGGATGTATCTCCGTGGTAAGAGCATTGCTTATCATGATCAAGGCTCTGAGTTCAATTGCCAGCACTGCAAAAATATAATCGCTAAGACACTATCTTTTCTTGGACAAACCAACTCTCTATAAGCTGCCTCATTCTAAAATTGTATTTATTACCATTTTCAAAATGCAAGGTTACAGGAAATAGCGGTGTCATTTAAAAGGGCTTTAAAACCCTTAAAAATCAAAATTTAAATGTTAATTTTGAAAGTAACTGAAATTTACATTTTTATTATCTGCAAAGAAAAGGTTTACTGAGCAAATTAACAGTGCAAGTAAAATTACAGAGTGAACATTTAAACTACTCCAGAAAATTATTTCAAGCATAACATTTGATATGCTAAAAGCAAGTAATTCAAATTTCTATTAGATTAAGTTCTTCAGGGCAAAGATCTTGCCTTAATCATCTCTGATTTTCCTAGGAGGCACTAGTTTATTAAGTTTTATTATCTAATAATTAAAAGAAATTGCTCTAGGGCTTCAAGGCAAAACTTATTTTGTGTACACTTATGACTGTACCCACTTGAAAACAATGAAATTAAAAAATATTTAATGTAAGCAGTATTACAAAATGTAACTCTTTAGTAAAAAACAAAAACAAATGAAAAACATACAATTCTTCTATAATCTAGAGTCCACCTGACTCCCCCAGCACCTGTGTGTCTCCATTTAACTATCTTCATGCTACAGTTGTTTTGAGACGTGTTTTAAATGAATTCACAGTCCCAGAATTCTTAGCGTGGTGCCTTTACTCAGGAATCCAACTATCATCGGAATGAATAACTTTCACATTTACAAACCTACCTTCTATAAGAAATCCAGCTATCAGAAAGGACCCAAAGACATTCATTCTCAGGTCAGAGGATAATGAGAGGTAAGTCTGTCCATTCAAAGCGAATACTATAAAAGCATTTTATTTTTTGTGCTCATAAACTGGCTCTAAAAGCAACCCACCTTGAGCAGAAAACCTCAAGTAACTATGCTGTATCTGGTATACAGAAGTACTCCATTTTCAAAAGTCTTCTAAGGTAAACATTCAAAAAAGAATAAACAAACATGGAAGGACTGACATATTTAAAAATTCATTATCTTTATTTCACATCTAGAATTATAAAATTATAAATTTTTTCCATATAACCACATTGGCCTCCCTCTAATTTTCTTCTTTTCCCCAATTTAAGCAAAAACATCCCTTTATTCTACAATTTACCTGAATCTAAAATGACATCATGTTTCATTTAGCTCTCCTGAAATTACCTCTCTATAATACCTTTCATAAGCCTTATAATGTCCTGGCCACCTTATATAGTTGATGGCTTATGTGCAAAACCTTAATCTGCAAACTCATGATATGACGGTTGCTTTTCATATTTACCACTGCTCTGAATCACATTACAAGTAATGGGCTGATAGTAAGAAGACAAAAGTAGACGGTAATATGAAATCTCACTCAAGCCCCACAAAGCAGCTCTTCAGGTCTTGGGTGCCTGCCCTGCAGGCAGAGAGTAGTGTCCCACCAGCACAGTGCTGAAATCCTTCGCAGTTCTGCTTGAGAGCCAAAATCTGCAGAGTACAGATCTACCACTACACTCATTGATGCTTTCTGATTTAACAAAGTTCATGCTTTAAAATTAGATAATAGAAGTATTCTTGCTTATAAGGTAGGAAAAATACGAGTGGGAGAACTGAGAAGTGTGATCAAATAAAGAATAAGCCTACCATTGAAGAGAGAACAGAAAAGAATGGCAGTGGGAAAAAAGAGGGAAGGAAAAGGACATGGTTAAACACCCGAAAACGAGTGTTTCCTAACTACAGTTCCCACATACGAAAAACTAGGTAAAATAGGAAACTAAATTAGCAACTTACCTCGCTCTTGAAATAGGCAATAAATGTATATTCTATAGATATGTATCAATGAAAACATTCTCAATTTTTTTTCTTGATTTTTACAATATATTTGTTGCCTTTATAGTCTCCCTGCATAAAGTCATATGGCTATGAAATTTAATGCCACCTCTACTCCTAGAGGGTTACAGGCAATGCAACTACATGTCTGGGTGATTTCAGAAAAGCCATTTAATTTCTCTAAACTCCCCCATCTTCTGTATAATGTAGAAAACATACATTACCTCACTGTGTTGCTAAGAGGAATAAATCAGTAAAGTAAGATAATACACAAAATAATCATTCAAAATCCCTAGCATATTAAGTTTCCAAGACAAACTCATTTATAGATTAGATTTACACATAATTTTTTAAAGCAGCAAATGATGGTGGACAGGTGACAGTACAAAAATGTAATTGGGGGCTGGGGCTTAGCTCAACAGCATAAACACCTGTCTGGTAAGCGTGAGGTCATGAGTTCAATCCCTGGTACCAAAAAAAAAAAAAAAAAAAAAAAAAAAAAAACCTACAGAAAAAGTAATCTACTCTGAATCCACAAAGATATTTTTCAATTCTATCTTTATATATTAAATCTTTAAAGTATGTTAACAGATTTTCTATTACATAATTATTTAGACTAAATTCAGAAAATGTAGAATTTCTATGGAAAAAACATAGCATGCTTATCTTACTAGAGTAACAAACATTCTCTAGTGCAGATAATTGTGGACAATTCTAGAGGAAAGTATTTGGCTAAAACAACATACGACTTCTTTAAAACACTTAAATCTTACTGCATGGAAAGAACATAAGGACCTGGACACAAGCAGGAAAGGTGGGATCGAGAGCTCTATCCAGGCTGTCATTTATAAACGCACATCAAATTATATAGATTGACACTGTCCACTCAGTATTAAAAAAACGAGTGGGTCCCTATGAAGCAGGTAACGCTGTGAGAAATAGGAAATAAGACTACTGTTTTCCCCTTAAGCTTCACTGAGTTCACATAATGCTTAAACAACAAAATGCCTATGGAAAATTCGAAAGCATTAAAAGGGACAAATGCAAGGAATTATTACTAGTGACAGTAATACAGCCTACAAAGCAAGGGAACTTGAAAACAGATACCACGAAAAGCTTACCTCCTTGACACTGCAATGAATTGTATTTCTTTTGTTAGTACAGGCTGAGTACCCTTCATCGGCAAGGCTCCAAAACTCAAAACTTTTTGAGTATCGTATTGACACTCAAAAAGGCTTCTATTATGGAGCATTTGGATTTTGGACCAGGGATGCTCCTCCACCTGTGAAGTCTACATGAACATTCCAAAATCCAAACTCTCCGAAATCAGAAATGTTTTGGTCCCTAGTGCTGTGTGTGGAGAGAAGATATCCTACCTAAGTAACTTTTCACCTAAGTATATTACAAAGTGTACATGGCTCAGGGTAGATCTCAGGATATTCTGGGCATAAGAGTAATGTGCTGAGTAGCAGAGAGATGTCACAAATAATGGATAAAGTTTATAATCACCCTAAAACATTCAAGAATTTCTAGCTCCATATACCAAAACCAAGCCAGAGCTCTATTTTTTCATTCCTAGCCTGTTTTAATCAGTTCTGAAGACAATCATGCAAGGAAACACCTCTATCCCACCAGGAATCAAATTTAACTATATGTAAACTCTAACTTGCCAGTATTCAACATTCTTCAACACTATTCTTCTCTTATCCTTTATTACATTAAAATAGTTTTTAGGACCAAAGAAGAAAAAGAAAGGAGATCTCGTTAGGACACATTTTCCACCAATGATCATGAAACAGCCAGAGCATTTTTACCTGAGCTGCATCTGACCAAGCCACAGCACTGAAGTTCTCACCGCCTCCACAGTCCACTGACTGAAGACCAGAGCACCCGATGCCCTCGGTTAATCAGTCACTGTACAGGGGACCAATGCTTACCAACAGTCAGAGTGCTCATCCCTGTGTCTGCCCATGCCCCTGGAATGTTACTGTATTTTCTCATTAGATAGTGGAACAGAACGGGCTGTGGTTTCCACGAACACTAACAAGATGTTTCACAAAATGCGGTAAAAGTCAGTTACTTTACAAAACTGTTATGAAGCAGGGTGCTAAGAAAGTAACAGTGAAGGACTAAAGGAAAGTTCTGTTAAAATTCTAGAATTCTTCACTCACAGACTGATCCACAGGTGCCTACATTTTATATGATCCATTATTAATAAAGTTCATGCCAAAAGATACTGCAGACCTCCTACTGGGAAACACAAATTCAATGAAAAGGCTTGGATTGTACCAAGTGATTGAAAAAACATATGTTTTCAGTTAAAATAAAGCATTAAAGGTACATATAGTTTTTCACAAGTCTCTGCTTTAATTTTTCAATTAGCTATTTATGTTTCTTTCATACAAGAGCACTGACTATAATTGGCAGTCTCTTTCAACACTGAAAAAGTCAAATGTAAAAGAACCACTCATGCAAACCAAATTTACTATACCTTTTCCTTTTGAATCCATGAAGAAAAGATCAAAAGAGAGAAAAAAAGCAAGAAATCAGTTCAAAAGTTCAGAGAGAATGCAGATAAAATTTCAAGGGTATAAGTGACAAACTTTAGTTTGTGGTAATGATACTAAATTTGGTTAAGTGATATCTATTAACTCATGTCTAGCATTTATGTTTATATTCAGATATTGGTTCTGGGAAAAAAGCTTGATATTCAAATTATGATATTCAAATTATAACATTGTAAATAAATCCATGTCTCAGTTACATGGAGATTAAAAACAATTTAGAAAAGATAATTACCAAAGTACACTAACAACAAAAAATAAAAAAGGAAGTAGATCATAGGTTAGACAAACATTTTCATTAAGATTTGGACTTTTGAGACTAGAAAGTGAGAACCAAGATACACAAAACATGCTATAAAATTCCATAAGAACAGTCACTGTAAGTTAAGCTTAGAGGACTGCTATTTTAGTGATACAGACCTTTACTTTAAAGAAAATCTAGCACTGACGCACATGTAGTTCTTCCTGTTATACTTTCTTCCATGTAAGATCAGATCTAACTCAGACCTCCAGTCTAGACACTTCGCAGTGTCTGCCATTTGTTCCTGTGCTCGCAAGCATATTTTAATCCATTTGTTAAAAAGCACTGTCTAAACATCTGCTTTCTACAAACAATAATGAGTAAAATTTATTAGCTACACTCTTAAAGCCTAAAGCACAACCAGAATACCAAGATTCTGTCCCAAATGTTCACTTTGGCATACTTTCTTTTCCATGAAACCATAAAAGATTACTATTTCATTGTATCTATAAGAAAGCTGCTGGGAGATCTAAAAAAACAGGCACCAGGCCCAAGGAAATGGAGACAGTATCAAAAGATAATGCGTTATTCTCTTCCGTTAGTTTTTAAAGTATTCATTTAAGTTTGTTTGCAGTGAGCTCTGCATGGGTTTGATTATAAGCAGTCACATATTCTTACAACTGCTCGGTAAGGAAGGGAGGTTACAGCAGAGCTGAGGGAAACCAAGTACTGGTGAGTGGGAACAGAAAGACCAAGATGCATTCTGCTGAGATAAATATGCATTACATTCTGTCCTCTTTCACCTTAGTTCTATTCTTTTCTTCCTATCTTGGAGTCTGCCTCCTTTGTTCTCAGAACAGGGACATTACTTGGAAGACTGAAAGTGCTCTAGTTTAGGTTTCAGTGGTCTTGGCTCTAAACTTGGTTCTGTGCATGTCACTTAATCTCTCTGCTCTTCAATCTCTCCCGTGTAAAATAAAAGACAACAAAGAGACTCTGTAAGTTCATTTCCCAAGTCTATCAACCCAACAAAATAAGCATTTTTGTACCTGATAGGAAACCAACCAGGCAAAACGTTTCCAAAAGGCAATTAAATAATACACATCAAATCTTTAATGTTCATGTCCTGGCCCAAGAACTTCCACTTTTAGGAATCTGCCCTGAGGAACTACTCATATACACAAAAAAGCAGAAACAAAGATATTCATCACATTCCTGTTGGAGACAACTTAGCGAATTTTCTTTGTAGTGGCACATGCCTGCAATCGCAGTACTCTAGGAGGCTGAGGAAAGTTCGAGTTCAGCCTAGTAACTTAGGAATTTAGTAACACTCTGTCTCAAAAAAGGGGGTGGCGGGGTGGGGACTGGTGATGTTACTCAGTGTGAGAGCCCTGGGTTCAATCCCTAGTGAGTGGTGAGAGAAACAGAGACAGAACAAACATAAATTCCTAAGTGTGGAGTAAATTTTGATGAATCTATTTAAAAGAACAGTATATATCATTAAAATGACATTACAAACACATAATAAAAAGCAGTTAACAAGTTATCATGTTCTCATTTGAGGATGTTCACACATATGTGTACATGCATAGAAAAAGAGACCACAAAGGACCCAGGTATACTACAGTCTAAGCGCACTCTCTTCAGGAGGCTGAGCTCAAGGACAAGGACAGTTTATGAAACTTAGTGAAATCCTGCCTCAAAATAAAATTGAAAAAGTGTTGCGAATGTAGCCAAGCCCAGTATTAGTGCTTCCTTAGCATGCACAAGGCCTTCAACCTTCAGTACTGGGGAAAAAAAGAAAGGAAAAAAACAAAAACAAAGATGAGATTACACAGAACTGTTAGGGGTTGTTTCTGGAAAGTAGAGTTAGGAATTTTATAATTTTTTATCTTCGACTTTTTGTTCATCTATATTTTCTAGTTTTTCTATTATATATCAATTATATAGTAATAAAAATAGTATTATTTTAAAAATAAATTCTAAAGTTCTTTCAAAGAAATCATATTTTTGCTTCTGGTCTTCTGTTCCCCAAGCAATCAATCAATCACCTTTGAAGTGACTGGATATTACAATTTCATGTTAAGTAAAGCTTTTGCCATAATAGCAAATTTATAAATACAAAGTTAAATTGTTCAAAAACAATGGACAATGTTATCCACTCATACAGTAAATAAAGATGCAAGGCTCCATAGAGATCAAATTATGGTTCAAATTAGAGTCAGAGACAACTGAAACCTAAACTAGTGCATTTTCATTCTTCCAAATTTATGTTATTAAAGTACTCTCATACAGTCCCTAGCAAACATTTCTTACAAATATAGTATTATCAGGTTATCTAATGGTTTTTAAATGAAAAAAAAAAAAAAACCAGAAGAAAACGTTCTGCTCACATACTGAATTCAAAAGCAAAGGACTAATGAAACTATTTAGTCTCAGAGAGGAAAAAGTGTTCATGTTATCATCTCAACCAAGAAAACAATGTAATTATGGGCTAAAATTTTTTTCAATTTAAAAGGGATACAATGGAATGCTTATTGTCAGTAAGAGTCCTAGAAAATTACTCAGAATCTGAAGAATCCTATTCTCTGAAGATCTTTTATAAAACCAATTACTGAACTATCATTCAGAATTTAAAAATAAATACCAACAACTGGAAATAGACAAAATGATAAACCATTCTGTAGAGGTCTACAGAAAGTCAATAAATGTGATATAACCCACAAGCAAGAAAGACTTGCTATGAGTAGCAAAATGGAGCTGTGAGTCAACTAATTTTTAAAGCTATCTATATATAAACAGAGTCTCTCTATGTTGTCCAGGCTGGCCTTGAACTTGTGATCTTCCTCCCCAGCCTCTTGATCAGCTGGGACTACAAGGATGTAGCACCATACCCAGTGATTTTTCACTACAAAATATTTGCTGCTTCTTTATACATTTTTCTGGTTTTATTTAAGAAAATAAAGTCTACTTTGTAAAATATGATTAAAGGGCATTATAAAATTCAAAAGGATTCTTACTATTTATAAGTAGGAAAGTACTTAGAAAATTTACCAAATATTAAAGCCAATCCATGAGATGTACCCACTGCTATCAGACTGGAGACCGCCTGAAACCAAAAGGGAAAATTACATTTGAAGATATTACATTGAAGATCTTGAAATAATCAGTTAAATTTGTTGGCCTGCCTTCCTCTAGGCACCAGACGACATACCAACTATTATAAACAAGAATCTCAACTAGGAGGCAAAACGGGAAATGAAACTCAGGACATTTTATTTCTGAGAATCCCTCTAAATTTACTCTAAGGGAAACACTATCAAAATATCATATGTTCAACATTATAGGCAAAAAACATGCCACTTAACTTTCTCTAAAGCAATTTTAAAAAAAAAACCCAGATAAAGTATGAGGTACTTATTTGCCATTGGAGGGCTTCCTGTGAGATGGGGGAAAGAATATACCAGAAGTCTTGCCCAGTTACTCACAGGAGCCAAAAGGTACCAGAAATGTTCAAAACTCAGCCATTTCCTCACCAAACAACTAATAAGAAAGCCACAGGAGGCAACTGGAGGGAGATGAGAAAAGAGAGCACTAGTGCGCTTTCAATATCTCCCAGTTCTCTCCAGATTGACTATTTGGCAGGCTTGGCAGTGGAGTCTAGAATTGTTAAATGTACATTTACCACAAAGGGATTACACTGAATGCTGTTCTCCACTCCCATAATAGAAGGGAGACCAGATCACAGAAAGATCTGGAGGAGAACTACCTACAAACAAACCTGGGAACACTAAAGGTGATTCCACTCTCTGCATCTCAGACAAAAGCCTTAGGAGTGACAAGAAATTAGAATGAAAACATTCAACACTATTCCTGAAAGTAAAATGACTTACGAATTTGCAACCATACTAGTTTATATAACAATTTTCAACATTATAAGACTATAAAAAACTCAATCAAATAAAAAGCTTACATTTAAAAAAAAGCTTACATTCAAAGGTTTAAGCATACTTACAATTGCTGTAGGCAAGCCAGCATCAACTTTGTCCTAAAAGGAATTTAAAAAACAAAGCATGTATTTGTAAAGATGACCTCATTTTCAAACAGCAAATGGTACAAGGCTGTCTCTTTAAATATACTTTGATCCAAGCTGATTCAGATAAGAGGTGGAATTTCCATTTTTGCTATCGACTAAGAAAACCTACAAAAGCTGTATATATATCATCAAATAAAAGAGCATGAGAATGGATCACTTTCTTTTAGTAGTTATTACAGATGCTTTAAGAAGGGTGCTGTTATAAGTGGAAATGTAAAGGAAAAAGAGAGAAGAAAGACATTTCCATAATGTAATTCACTGTTAAGTACTACAGGAGCAACATGGTAGGCGTCAATGAAGATTTAAGCAAAAGGAAACTCTGCTGCCTCTGAGTGGAAGCTTCCCAGCCTGCACATTACCTATTAACCCCGCACATAAAGGGGAAAGAAGTAAAACATTAAGTTTTACTCCTCAGTAAACTTGGGAAAGTCACCTAACTTTCCTGGGTGTGGGTGTTCTCATTTGTTCAAAGAAACTGCCCTCCTTACCTCAGCTGTCCTGAGGATCAAATTAAATATAAAACAATTGTATGAAGATGAGCATCTATCTGATACTTAAACATTCTGATACTTAAACAGCTGTAAAGAATAGCGGCTTGCAGTAATACAGCACTGTAGTAACAAAGAGTGTTCACACACATAATTCATACTATTTGATTCTTCAATGTGGAAAGATAGAAAGGCAAAGAAGTTAACTGACTTCCTCAAGGCTACTCAGTAAGAGCTAGAACTGTGTCCAAACTCCATGTTTCCCAGGCCAGGATATCACTTCTACATCCGTTCTGTCTGTCCCTGCCAATGTGGACAAATGTTTATTATACTCTCAGAATCCGTTTCCTCGATGTGGAGCTCCCTGGGTACCAACCCAAAGGCGTACAGAAATAGCACACAGAACCATCGCCACGGCTGCCGTGTGCAACGCTCCAGAGGAGACGCATTCAGCATCACAGGTGAGCAGTGTGCGTGTGCCCGCACGTGTGAGTAACGCGTGCTAACACAATGCTTCACAATTAAGATGCATGCAATAAATATTTGATAAATGGCTGATTTATATCCTGGACATGGAAAATGAGGAATGAGATAGCAGATGAAAAACATAAACTGTATTCAAAATGGAACCTGAATAATGAAATCAAGTCACCTGACTAACTTCAAAAGCTGAAAAGCCCAGATGTGGGAATCATCTTAGAGACTGAGGAATTTTAGTACTGGTGCTGCAACATCTGAGGATAGTGGTTCTCAAAAGCCAGACTACATTACAATCACCTGGGATGCCTGTTAAACTGCAGAGTCCCACACCACCCTGCTAGATTCCAGGTCAGCAGATCTGAGATGGTCCTTCAGAACCCACATTTTAACAGGCGCCTCAGGAGACTGTTTCGTATTTGATGCATTTCTGAAAAAGCCCTGCACCTAAGGTGTTTGTAACACCTTAAAGTTATTCATTAAAATGATAAAAACTCTTAAAAGGTTAATTTGACACGTCATATAACCTTGAGAAAAAATTCCAAAATTAAACAATGAGGTTCACAACTCCAAAACCTTCACCTCTCCTATGTGTTTTTCATGCTGAGACTCCACACCTGTGATGAACAAGGCCCCAAGAAGTCTTGATAACATAACTACCCATCAGGCTGAAGGCATTATTCAGGAGAAACACCCAAAACTGTAACTAGCTTTACATGTTAATAAACCAACCATCACAGAAAAAGCATGCAGCTTAAATTGGGCTGGTAATCCAAAATTAGGAAGGCACCATGTGATGACTCTCACAGGAAAAGCAGTTTTCATTTTAGCATACCAAAGGAGCTCAGCCATAGCAATGAAATAAGAACAGAATGCAAACACTCTGGGATTTATTAGAATTTTTCCCTGTTCTTAGAGAGGGCGGAGAAACCCTTTTAAATAACAGATTTATCTAATCATTGTTCAGTGTCTGAGTTTTAGCTCAGTCTCCATTATTCAAAATATTTTTAAAACTGCACAGGTGGGTCAAATGACTGTTCTGGTTCATCTTGATTTTGAAAAGAATGAATTTCATCACCTACATAAGGATTAAATTCAGAAAACGTCATGGAAATGTAATCTTCCACAGGTGGTTCCCATTCTGGCAAATATGAGTTACTCCCCACCTAGCATAGGAAGGGCAATTGCCCAGCTTGCCTCCACAGCTTGACCATCTATTTAAACCTACTGCATGATACATGAGCTGAGTCAGGATGTATCGGCTGCCCAGAGTGAACACTTTCTTTCTCACATGTGCAGTAAGAGCCTTCCCTGATGAACCTGAAATTACAGTGCAATATTGGTGTCATGATGCCACTTCTGTATCAACCTCTTGTCCTCTTGAAGACCCAAAACATCTATTTCTGGTCCAAACTAAATGATGCTTACAAGTGAACATGGCCCCTCTGAGCCTATCTCTTCATTTGTTAACTAGGAGAAGGCTTTACCTACCTGCAAAGTTGTGAGAATAAGTAAGGTATGCGAAAAGACTTAAAACTTACAAAAGTCATTCAGTTGTAAAAGATTCTGATCATTTCTGCATAAGAAAAGTTTTTTTAAAATTCTTTCTAAACCAAACACACACAATGGCAACTAACCGGCAAAGGAATGTAAGGAGAAAGCAGGCAGTGTCTGTGAGACTGCTGCCACATGTCACTTAAGTACACCCAAAAGGATCTCCAAGCAGACCCTTTTTCTGTGACTGCGTTAATTTCTATATCAAGATGCGTAGCTGTGTCTTATGAGTTGACAATAATCACACAAAAATCACGAAAGCCAGATTCTATTTTTCTTAAGCCCCGGGCCAAGAGAAGAGCTATGCTTTGTTTTATGCTCATTCCTACTTCATTATGCCATTGCAGGTTATAAAGCTGGAAGAAAAGAACAAAATACTTACAGCTGCAGATACTATCTGGGCAGAAATTCCCTTCAGAAGTAAATGTCGCATAACTGAGCCATGGAGTGAAAAAGAATCAGGTAATTTCTTCTTCCTAAAAAGGAAAGAAAGAAAAGAAAATGTTTAAGAACAGATTTTTTAAAAAGAAGAGAACAGGACTTCAATGCTTTGAAAGGGAAAAATACGAAGACAAGAAAAGCAGAAAATAATACTGTCCTGTTAGTTCTGTTTTACAAAAAGGTGAAAGGCTGGGCACACAGCTCAGTGGTGGAGTACTTGCCTAACATGCATGGTACCCTGGATTCAATCCCCAGTACCAAATTGAGAGAGACAGGGAAAGAATGAATAAATACCTAACAGTTACATACTATAACGTGTACTAAACCTATCTTGAACCTCAGAGAAGTGCAAGAAGGAAAATGTATGCAGTCACCATTCCGTGCCCACTGATTAAACCCTTCTTTGCCACCTCACCCAGCACCTCAGGTTCTCCTGTTCTCTGGAAGCTACCACGGACCACTCCTTCTGCCCTGCATGTGGGCACCACTTCCACGTGCCTTCCCACCCTGCCTGTCATCGTGCCCTCCCTGTCAGACTATCCCTCCTGTTCTTCAACTAAGCATCTCTCAGTTTTCCCCCTCTACTGCTCCTAGTAACCGCTCCTTTCACTTTGCACTAACCATTATCTTTACCAAACATTACTGAACACCTTCCCTGTATGACTAAAAGTATGCTCAGGGTACAAAACGAAGAAAGTCACAGTTCCCATGGCAAGAATCTTAAGATAACAGCTGCTGGGGCTGATCGGCAGCTTACAAGATAAATGTTAGAATAGAAAGATGAATACAGCAGTAAAGAAATGCAAGTGGGAAAGAAAAAAAAACCCTGTTTATTTAAGAGTTATCAGGGACAGCTGTAGAAAAGAGAAGACGTCTGATGTGGCATCGATGAATGACTAGCAAATGAATGCACGATGAATGTCTGGCAAGCAGCATGAACGGACGACGACGGAAAGGTATGCACTCTGCTGGGGAACGTGAGTGCACACAAGCGTGGACTGGAGAAGGCATGGAAGTGCGCAGAGATGAGCCCAAGCGGTAAGATGGGCTTAGGCTGACACCACGTGAAAGACTTCTGACTTCATTACCAAAGCAACGAGACAGTAGCCCAGGTGGTAAGCAGGTAGTGACTAGATAATGATAAGACACCTCAGTTATTCACCTGGAGGACACAGTGATGGACAACGGAACATGCCATACAGCAAACCTCCTTTTAGAGATGCCAAGCTAAACAAAACAGCACTGACAAGGCAAAATTTAAGAAAAAGAGGACAAATACATAGGTAACTTGATCAATATTAAGGTTACCCATGAATTCAATAAAGTATTTACATTATTCTTCCTCTACTTCTCTTTCCTTCGCATGTTTCCTTTCCAAGAACTTGCAGAATGAAAAGCAGCCGAAATTGAAGTTCTTTAGGATCAGATGTCTTTCTCCCAAATCTTTAATCATCTCTGTGCTTCTCCTCTGAACTCACTCTGAAGGAGTGAAGTAATGGGAAGCTGACCTTGAAGAATGGGGGGGGAGCGCAAGGTGGATCATGCTCCACATTCCCCCACAGACACTGTGTGTCACATGTGACTTATGCTCCATCTAAGGGCTCTGCTGTTGCTGGGGAGCCCTGGCTATTGCTATAGCTTCCTAGTGGGGGTTCTAAACACAGCAGTCATAATGCCCGCCTTTATGTCTTCTCTCCCAACAGTGCTGAAATCCTGAGGGTGTAATCAGCACTGTGTGGCCACACAAGTGGCCTTTGAATGTCCCATGCAGGGCTTCCACAGACCATTCTGTATGGTGTAGAGATAGTGACAATTTGAATGATTAAATACTTCAGCCATATGCAAGCGATTTACATGAACATTTACCTTTTTAGGTTGGTCCTGTCACCACTATCTGAGCTTGCCACAGATGAAGTATCATAGGAGTGTGAGTCAATGGCATCAATGTTTAACAACGTGGGATCCTCGAGAACAAAAGACTCATCTTCATCGTCAGTCTAAATTGGAAAAAGATACAATAATAAATTCAAGATGCCCTGAGACAAGTCAGATAGGCATAATGGGTTTCCCCAAAACATTCGAGCATTTACTTCTGCTCCTCACTATTCCATTCATTCTTCTTTGCCAGAATCAGAGCACAAAATGAAATTTTAACTCTACACAGACATCACTCTCTACAAAGAGTTAATGCTAAAAAAAATTTTGATAGGAATCAAGAGAGATGGTACAGATCGCTGTTAGCTGCAGAATATTTTATTTTAAAGAGAAAAAAACAGAAAAATGAACAAGCAAACAAGCAATTAAAAAACAACAAAAGCAAAATGTTGATAACAATAACAGCAAAAACAATGACGATACAGGATTTCAAAATAAGGTGATAGGAATTTAACAATGGTTGTTATATTGCATATTGTTATCCTCAAAGTAATTCTCAGGCAACCATATACAGATATGCAAGATTGATCAAACAATATAATTTCCTTTTAAGTAGTTTCTTTCCCTTTTACTATATTTATTATAACTTTTGGATATTATTTACTCTTTCAGTTTTTTACACTAATGAGAAAATATGGTGTTTACACATGCAAATCTGGTTTATTTCACTTATGAGTATGGTTTCTAGTTGCATTTTTTCCAGTTTCTAGTTGCATAGTTTCTATGGTTTCTAAGCCTTGAGTTTACTGTTCTTTAGAGCAGAGTAGTATTCCATTACATAAAAATATCACATCATTTTATCCATTCCTCAGTTGATGAGCATTTGTGTTGTTTCCAAGATTTAGCTATTACAAATTGTAATGCTGTAAATATGGGTGCACATATATCACTGTGGTATCATATTTTCAATTCTTCCAGGAAAATACCCAGAAGGGGTGCTGCAGAATATTTCTTAAAATTCAAACCTATATAGACGCTTTACTAGTTAATTAGAAGAAAAGGTTGATTAAACAAATATTACTGGACTATAAATAGTCTACTGTGAAAAATATAACAGGCAGATAGGGAAAAAAAGGCATTCTGGACAGAAAAAAGCATATGCAGACACACTGATTTCATAACGTGAAAGATAAGGTAGGACCCAAATGATAAAAGCTATCTATTTCATTAAGCTAGACCGCAGCAAGGCCCAGGTCTATCCTGTCCACCACTGCAGCCATCTTCCTAGGACACTGCTGGAAGAGAACCAGCACTCACCAGTTTAATGAAATAGTATTCCATATGTAGTAAGTAGTGTGAAGATAACTGATACCTTTAAAAGTAGAAAGATACAAAAGGGACTGTGTTTTCAAATGATAAATGGAGCAGTATAAAGAATAGACAGGGTAAAGAGAAAGACAGAAGCAGAGAGATTATTAAGCACCAGAAAGAGGGCCACTCCAGGGAGATTATTAAGGATAGAAAGGAGAGTCCAGCCTAGGAATGTAACAGAAGTCAATAGGGAATGATGAAAGAGGCAATACAGAGACAAAGTCAAAAAGTCCCCTTCGGGACAGGGATGTAGCTCCGTAGCACAGAGCCTGCCTGGCAAGTGTAAGGATGTGAATTCGATTCCCCATACCAAAAAAAAAAAAAAAGGCCTCTTCAGTGAAGAAAAAAGGACAGATAAAGGGAAAGTCAAAGATTCCAAGGTTTCCAGCTTAGCAACTAAACAAAAGATGATACCACTGATTGGGCTAAGAAGGCAGAGAAATAGCAGGGAGCGGGATGAGGCGCAGACTGTGGACAAGCTGACTCTGACTGGCAGACGTTCATGAGGAATGTCCTGATCCTCCTGCTCTTGCCGCTGGGTACCTTCTGCCTTTACATTTTCTGACCATGTTTTTGAAAGAATGAATAGCTTATGGTCTTCTCCATTTTCACGCATTCCATCTCCTGACTACTAACCTCGGCAGAAGTGACCAGCGAAATCCCCTAGCCTATTTTCCGTTCCTATTCTCTTGTCCTCCGCGTATCATTTAACACCACTGAATATTCCCTGCTTCTCGAAACTTGCTTTACTTTTTAACTAATCTTGACCTCCTCTAAAATCTCTCTTTCCTGGTTCTCTTCCAATTTATACGGACCCTTGTGGTCATGTTCTCTAGCTTCGACTCAGTCAAACTTTAAAGCTGTTTCCACAGGACACATCCACTGTAAGATTAAACTTGTTCATATCGACAGCTTTCAGTACCATGTTATAAGAATGACTCAAATCCGTGTCTTTAGCAACTGCTTTTCAGGTATCTACATGCACAAATCTACTAGGAGCGGGGTTAACACTGGCAAGGAGATACTGTTACTTAAGAGCTGTCAAAGACTGGAACGATTGCTATAGGAAAGGGAAAGGAAATAATTCAGAAATACGAACTGTAGCGCCAAGGTCTTAAGTAAGAGAGATGATCAAAACCTTACTTGATTTTAAGTAGCCTGGGGACATAATTAAAGGAAATAGAGCAGCAAAGTTAAGCCAGGTTTGCAAGATAAGTGAAAGAAAAAGTGGAGAAAAAAGAATTAACAATGTCAAGACTGAATTTAAAACTACTGTCCACGGCCATACCACCCTGAACGCCCCGATCTCGTCTGAATTTAAAACTACTGCTACATAATAGACGTATCACTTTCCCCCAAACTGACACGTAAAACCTACATAATCCTTTCATATTTCAGTTGTGTCTATGTGTGTAAACCAATACCTAATTCTAAAATTTACATGGAAATACGAAAGACCAAGAATAAGCGAGGCAATGTCAAAGGACAGCAATAAGGAGGGTTTTAAACTACCAGATGCCAAGGCCTATTATAAAGATTTAAGCACTGGGGCAAGTATAGACGGATTGGCAGAATCTGATCCACACAAATATGTACATGGGATTTGAAACGAAAGTAACACCACAGACAAGAATACCCTTACAGTAAACGGTATCTAGCACACGCATGCACACCCTCCAAACAATTACATATATAAATGTGAAGGGTAAAACAATAAAACTTTTAGAACAAAATATGATAACATCATCATGACCTTGGAACTGGCAAAATTTTAAGATACAAAAAAACCATAACAGAAAAATTTAATAAGCTGAACTGTATTAAGAACTTCTATCTGCCAAAAGAAACCACTAGTAGAATAAAAGGTATCTTAGGGAACAGAAGAAGGTATGTGCAATAAATACACCTAATAAAGAAAGAGCTTGTACCAGCATATAAAAGACCTTTTATAAATCACCTTCTTAAAAATCAAAACAGAATTAAGTAAGCTAAAAACATGAAAAGGCAATTCACAAAACAGATATTCAAACATCCAAAACATATGTCAAGGTGCCCAACTTTATCAGTCTTCAGGGAAATTCAAACTAAAACCATGATGTGATACTACTATATGCCTATGACCATGAAAGACCTAAGTAAAAAAAAGACAGAAAAATTCAAATGCTAACAAGTATGTAAGTAACCAGAACACTCAGGTGTTACTCCCGGGAGTCTATGTCAGTAACAGCCACTTTGAAAACCATGGTAGTATTCAGGACAGCTGACTCTAACCATCCCTGATGACTCAGCAGTTCTACTCTTGGACATGTGGCCTCCAAAAGTGTGTGCACATGTGTGAACACCAAAGACGTGACTACAAAAAGGAGTAAGAGTATTCTCAGCAGCACTCTTTACATTAGGCAGAAACCGGAAACTACATAAACGTCTATCAATGACAGAATGAACAAATAACGTGTGTGTGTGTCTGTATATATATATATATATATATATTTTAAAGCAATGAAATGAATTAAAAATATGAACAGACCTAAAAACAAATACTGATAATAAGTCAGACACAGAAGAAAACCTATTCCATGCACACTACCAAAAGTAAACTATTCTGTGTATGTAACATTCAAACAGACAAATGAAGCAGGGCTAGAAGAACGTAGAAAAGGAATTATTCAGAGGTTGGATGCTGAAGGGCTATAGGGAGGTGCTTCTCAGGGTGCCAGTAAGATTTGGCTTCTTCCTGGGTTCTAGCTTTCTGGGCTGTTAATACTGTAAAGTTCACCGTGCTGTACTCCTGTGGCCTGTGCCCCTTCTGTGTGCATGCTGTACACCAAATGAAGAGTTGGAAAGATGTTTCTTGCTACAGAATGCAACAGTGAGACCGAAGTAAACTGCAGCTAAGTGGAGGCTGGGAGACTAGAAGGATCGAAAGACTTGGTCTTGATGAGGACAAAGAATAGGTTTAATGAAGTAAAGGAAAGGGGGGTGCTGGGCTACAGAATGGAATTTCAAAATTAAAAACTTCAAAGGCAGCACCATTTCAAAGAACAACAAGGCCTAGTAATTTTATTCCATGCCCTAAGTTCTGAGATCTCAGATGTCTCGGTAATTTCTAGCTTTCCGTTTTCTTTTAAATGTCTTGATTGTCCATTTCTTCCCAGCCTTTCTTCAGGTTGATATTAATGAACATTGTAGAATACACATACCCACATAGCCTGGAGCAAGGGCTTATTTACATTTCTGAGCTTCTTTCTGAAAAATCATTTTAATATTGCTCCCTCCTTACAGTCTCCATTAATGACCTACAACTGAAATTATTTTTTCTTTCACCTATCTACTTCTCTAGTACCCTGGAGGTATAAAGGTTGGCCAATTTCCAGTCACATTTCTCTCTCAAGGACTAAGAGAGTCATATAGTACTTTATAATGCCAGCGCCTAACGCCATAACCCAAATATAAGAAGCAGCAAACACACTGAGAATGATAACAGTATTATCTTCTCAGTAAACCAATAATGACAAGACTTACTGCTACTCAGAGATAAGAAAGCCGTGCAAGGTCAGCCTGCCTTCATTACAAACCACAGTCCCATTCCGATGAGCATTATTTTCTGTACCATAGTACATAAAAATGTACAAATGTGGTACAGAAAGTCCTCCGGGATTGTTTTTATTTCACACTTAAGATAACTGAAATGAGAATGTGATTAAGACCACATTAATAAAACTGACTAAAATTGGTCTCTTCACTTCTGAATAAAGACACTCTATCCATATTAGAAATAGTAAAGGCCTTTCACTGTTATACAGTACTTTCAGGGCCAAACACCACTTCTCAAAACTAAAAGTGGTTAAGCCTTAGCATAGATCACACAGAGCATTTTTGAAGTTAAAATACTGTACATTCAAAGTGACAGCAACATCAAACTGTTACAAAAAAGGAGAAATCAAAGCCACAAAAGAAAAGAAAAAGACACAATTCATAGAGAAAGTAGTCTGCATCTTAGGAAGCACTGCCTGCTACCCTAAAAATATAGGTAGAGAGTAGAAGCCCAGCTCACTCAGGGGTACAGCATCAGTGGGCATTTCCAATGGGGAACCTTTGCAGCTTGCCTTTTAGGAAACGAAATAACAGATCTGAAATAGATTTATACATAAAAGGTCTCCCTCAGATTAGAAGCTGAGACCTCCAAGAAAAGTCTGAAGCAAGTTTTCAAAAGGTCAAAAAGACTGAGGTGAAGAGCTGTCAGCAGTGCACAGAAACCAGCACACCTCACCAGCCACCTCCTCCCCCGAGTTCCTTCTGATCTACCCATTCACAAAGCTGAGAAGCTTTTTACTAGAGATGGTATTCTTAAGTCAGACAGTGGAGGTTTGATTTCCTTCACGCAGAGGAATGAAGAAGCTCACTACAAGGTTGCAAGATGCTCTTTAGTATCAGGATGAGCTGTCTGAATACTACCGGTCAAGATAGCTAATCATTATAAACACATAATACAAATCTCAAAAGTGACATGAACATAAGATTTCAATTCACTTAATAAACTACATTTATTGAATCCAAGGGACTGAATCCAAGGTTTCATGCATGCTTTGCATTCACTCTACTATTAAGCTATACCCCCAGCCCTGATTTTTGAAGTCTGCCTCAGATGAGGTATTATGCTGGCCACAGAGATTCCAAAAATGAAGGAGACGTTTTCTCCTTCTCCTTGGTTTCTGCCCGAGAAGTTCACAGTCTAGACCAGTGCTATCCAATGGAACTTTCTGCAGTGATGGAACTGTTCTGTATCTATGCTGCCCACTATAGAACACATCAGCTACATGAGGTTACTGAGCATCTGAGATGCGACTTGTGCCACTGACAAATGGAATTTTTATTTAATTGCAATTAATTTAAATTTTAAATTGACACGTCACTAGAGGCTACAATACTAGATACTGTACACATAGCTATCTATACTATAACTAACTCAAAAGTACTAAAAATCAATACCACAAATGAGAATGATGACTTAATTTTACTTACTTCATTTAGTATGCTTTCCAGTGTCGGAGGAGTATCAACTTGAGGAATATCAAACTCCTTGTCATCAATCTAAATAAAGAAAAGAAATTAATCCCCACAATATAATGCCTTTTCCCTTAAAATTGTAAGGGTGTTTTAACCAAGTATCAATTACAAGACAATCTGACCATAAAACTGATCCAGTAGTCAACTCAGCAATCTACAATGAGTCAGACTGAAAGACTATAGATTTGTTAACTTTCTTATCTGCACACTGACTACTGAAAACATGTAAACATACACTACATTATCATACAATCCTTTACAAACAGAAAAGTCCTGTTAAGGACTCTGGCATCAGCTCTCTTCAACATAACAGAACATCCCACCTTATGACAACACCTAATCTCCTAACTTTAGAACCAAGTTATTAGTGATCCGCCAAAGTCTGACATCACACTTCTTAGTTAGTTCACAAATGATAATGAGATAACTAGGTCAAGTAACTTATTTACATAGTCACAGAAACCCATTAATATAGTGTTTAACCACTGGAGAAAAAGTTGCTGTGTGAGATAAGAATTCTAAATCTAACAATAGCTCTGTGCCCTTGAGGGGTCCTTTAACATGCTGTACACAGCATCTCCAACTCTAAAATGGATTATCACAATATTCTAATGACATGAATCAAAGTGTTCCATATTTCACACAAATGAAGGGGAACAGCAGCTCATAAAACTGTACACATGCTCCCACTAACCCATACAAAACTAACAGGCTGAGAGTGTCTGGATCATAAAAGACAGTAGAAGCAAAACTTCATTTAAGAATTCATCACTCGTCCAAAGCTCAACTCTTACCAAATCATTTCTCAACTCCAGTTCCTTGTCCAGATCTAAGTAAGAGAATTTTGAAAGTGAAGCTTCTAGGTTAAAAGACTTATTCAGCTCTTCTTCAGTAGTAGTCTTGACACAGAGATTCTGCTCCACATTGTCATGATCTGGTTCATCTTCCATATTTGCTTTTAATAACTGTATTCAATCAATCCAAGCACGTGTTTGACTGTTGTGTTTTTGGCCTTAGATCATAATGACCTGAATTATGATTGTTTAAAAAAAAAAAAAAAGAGCAAAAGAAAAGAACAAATCATTTAGATTTTTATTTTGTCCACTGGACATTCTAAAACTTACTTGGCCAGACAAACTTACTTGGTTTGGGAAACTGATACTTTTTCTATCTATATTGTGTGTTAATAATGACAATCATGAAACAGTAGCTTGGCCACTAGACTTGGTTCTAGCAAGATTTCTGTACCTAACAACATGAGGGTAAGCTGGTGCCAAAAGCTGTGGGGAGGCAATTACAGGCTTCCCGACCTTCCCAAACCTCAGGGCCGTTCTCTGGCTCCCCTGGAGACAAATGCATAAGATAGCTTGGTTGCTGGCACTGCCTTGGAGGTTCAAATGCCCCAAGAGCTTAGTTTAGACAACAAGGATAAGTAATTTGTTAATCTAAAGGTTCAGATCTATTAAAAGAGAGAATAATGACCTGTGGATAAAATAACTTTCAGGGATTTCTAGAAGAAAACTAATCACAGGGAAGCATACTTTTCCAGAGAAAAATGAAACTGAAAAATCTAGAAATTATATTTTTTATATATTTTACAGCTCCAGAGAAGAACGCTGTATCAAAAAACAAATTATTTGACATACTTGTAAAACTTTTTCTAAGAAACTAAAAATACATATTTTTAAAATTCTTATACACTTAATGAATTTTCTTTTTAATGTTTTAGACAGTGTTTCAATAAGGCTACAAGTGGCCTTTTTTTTTTTTAAATCTACTTAGCTTTGCTTTTAGAATAATTCAAGGACTGGGGATTTAGCTCAGTGGTGTAAGCACCTGCCTGGCAAGCACAAGGTTGTGAATTTGGTCCCCAGTACCAAAAAAAAGGAATAATTTGAAAATATGAAAACAGAAACAATGTCATAAGAACACTACTAATAAAAATAATGTCTTTTTCTTCCTAGACTAGGCATTTTCTATAGTATAGTATTCGTTCTGTGGTTTCAGTTACTAGAAGTCAATCATGATCTGAAAACATACAATGAAAGATTCCCGAAATAAAGAATTCATCACTGTTAGCCTGTGCTGTGCTCTGGGTAGTGTGATGACATCTGGTATCACTCTCCTCCATCCCACTGGGAAGGTGAAACACCCTGAGCTGGGTTTCCATGTTGAATATGCTAGCTGCCCACTAGCCAGACTAGCTGTGCTGGTGATCTGTCAACTACTATGGAACGACAGTACTTCTATCCCAGGGACCCGTGCTTCACACCACAGTGGCCCCCAAAGTGCAAGAGTAGTGGCCCTGGCAATTTGGAGATAGGAAAAAGAAGCCATAAAGTGTTTCCTTTAAGTGAAAGGGTGAAAGTTCTTGACTTAATAAGGAAAGATAAAAAATGTCGTAAGCAAGGTTACTAAGATCCATGGTAAGAATTAACCTTCTACCTGTGAAATAGTGAAAAATGAAAACTTTGTGCTAGTTTCACTGCTGAATCTCAAGTGGCAAAACTGTGACAAGTTAATCACCTCATTTCACCTCACCATGTAAGCATTGTATCAAATCACATCATTGTTAGAAGGGTTAAGCATAGGGGGCTGGGGATTTAGCTCAGCGGCATAAGCGCCTGCCTTGCAAGTAGACAGTCATGAGTTCGATCCCTGGTACCAATAAAAAAGAAAAAGACAAAAAAAAAAAAAAAAAGAAGGGTTAAGCATAATACACTAAGATATTTTAAGAGAGATTACACTCATGTAACTTTTATTATAGCATATTTTTCTAATTGTTCCACTTTATGACCATAGTTATCAACCTCTTAGTGTGCCTAATGTATATACTAAACTTTACCATGAGTATATTTTTAAAAACATTGTAGAGTTGGCTCTCCATATCTAGGCGTCCCACATCCATCAAATCAACCAACCACAGATAGGAAATACTCAAAAAGGAGCCAGGGATATAACTCAGAGACACAGCACCTGCCTGGCAAGTGTGAGGTCCTGAGTTCAATATGTGATACAAAAAAAAAAACTATCTGTACTGAACATATACAGGCTCTTTCATTTTGTCATTATTTCCTAAGCAGTACACCAAAACTATTTACAAAGTGTTTACATTGTGTTAGCCATTACAAACAATCTGGAGATGATTTATATATACACAGGAATGCGAGAAAGGTTGTATGTGAGGATTATGCTATTGTATGTAAAGTACTTAAATGTCTGCAGAACTTGGTATCATCAGAGGACCCCAAAACCAATTACACATGGGTCCTGGCAGTCAGCTATACAAGGCTTGGTACTATTGGCAGTTTCAGACACCAACCAGGGGTCTTAAGTGAGGACCACGGTACCACATACCCAACATTCACTGTGAAGGCTTTCCAAACCACACATTCCTCTCAGGGGTACAAAAACCACTAACTACAATCACAAACCCTGGGTCCCACAGGGAACTTTTCTTACTACTATTCCTTAGTGACTTGAAAGAAAAAAAAAGAGCCAAGTATAGTGGCGCACACCTGTAATTCCAGCACATGGGAGGTTAAGGCAAAGAGGATCGCCAGGAGTTCAAGACCAGCCTGAACTAACTACACAGTGAGACCCTGTCTCAAAAACAAGAAAAAAAGAAGAAAAGGCCAAGCTTACTTACTTGTTAAAAGTAAACTGAAACTAGATGTTTTTAATCAATGTGCCTAAAACAATTTAATCCACAGAAACTCATTTTTCAGTACCTGCAATTAATTTCACTTCCTTCAGTGTTTCATTTTTATCACATGAAAAGAAACAAATAGCTACTAATTATAAAACGTGAACAGCAAACTTTTTAGGATTTTAGGTATATTACCAATGCAGACTAATTTCTTTCATATAGTAGAGAAAATAGACTCTTTATTTTGTCCTATAAATGCATCCTATCAAATATATTCCTATAAGACATCACTGAGAACACACTGTACCTGGCAACAACTGAAAGTATCTTTCCAACGTTAGGTACTAAATGTACTACTTTGCAATGAGCCAAATGCAGCACAAATAGGAGCATTTATATTCCTTTCTTCAAAGAAGACTGAACTGGCTCATGAAATATTAATTTTAATAGTCTTTCACTATTATTTGTACCACTAGGCAAAAACTGCTACATTTAAGAAACATGGATAATTCAACTCATATGCAATGGTTTCCAAGGACAGTGATTTTTACCCTCTTGTGTTTTAAATAGTAGAAAAGGCCACACTTAGAAATCTTCTATTTAGATAATTTAATAATCTAAAATGTGTCATACTTCATCAGTCTTTTCAAACTAATTCAGAAATGGAACCAAATTTTTTTAATATCCTCTCTGGAGTTAAGAGGCTCCAAAACCAGCTCTATAAACACCAATTTGAAGTGTCAAGCATTCCGTGAAAAATAAACTCTCATGCTGCCATGCTACCCTACTTCATTTCCAACCTTCACATCACTGATGGGTGGTGAATACACAGAAAATAAGCCAGGGCCAGGGATTTAGCTCAGCAGCACAGGTGCCTGCCTGGCAAGCTTGCAGTCACAGTTCAATCTCTGATATGAAGAAAAAAAATGCCAAAGAGACCACTAAAATAGATTTGAATCTACATTTTACCAGTTCCTATCAGTGACTTTGGTCAGTTTGGCTACCCTTTCTGAATCACTTTATTTTTACATCTGAAAATTGGAAGAGTGTGGACATTTATGTTATTCGCTCAGAACTGGACCTCTTGTTCTGGGAAGGGCTCCTTCAAAGCAATGCTTCTTGTGGAGGCTGTCAATTAAAAGCCCCTAGTAAAAGGGATTACGTGAGATAGCTGGGATCTTTCACTTTGATTCATTGCAATGGAATTGAGCGGAAAGTGCCATTGCCATTGTTTTCTAAAAAGCAGATGGAGAAGAAGGAAGAGGAAGGCGGAGGAGGGAAGGAAATACTGATACTATTGAAGCCCCAGGTTCTAGTCTTCCAAAAAGTTAGGCCAGCCATACTCTTCTGGCAATGTGGATATGTGGGCAACATGCCTCTCCTTCATCGCATCTCCTTTTTTTTTTTTTTTTAAACAATTTAGAGACCTAACTCTCAGGAATTCAACTACCTATCTTGCAAGGTTCACGTAAAGAAACGAGGACTGTAAAGCATTTAGGATAATCCTCAAGATTTCTGAGTTCTTCTAAAGTTAAAGACTAAAACAAGATTCAGAACTTCTGTAAAGGTCTGGTTAGTGCTAAGTGCAGAAGCCAGGTATGTTTCCTCTTGAGTTGAATGATAGGGATTTGTCCAATATTAGGACAGATCCCAGCCAAGTTATCAGAGACGCTTCACAAAAAAACTATTAATTATTGACAGGAGAAGTGTCTTATTCTGCCAGCATTCTGAGATCCTGTTTCGGTGTTTTCTCATATCAACATTAGCCTATATTTGTTAGTGATGTCAAATTTGTTCCTATCCTTAGTTCCTCCTTTGTCACTAACCAGTTGTTACTCCTTTTTCACGTTAGCAAATTTCTCTAACCCAAACAGACCTGCTGAGTAAAAAGTTACTATGCTCAGATTCCTTTTAAAAAGAAAAGCTCCAGAAGAGTTTCTGTCAATTTTTGAAATGAATGGGGCTATGCCTGAACCTACTCACTGTAGGAAGAATGGCGATGTCTAACAAAACCAGACCTAATTCTTAGAACCTGTGAATACTACTTTATAGCAAAAGGGACTTGGCAAGTATAATCAAATTAGGACCCATAAATGGGAAATTATTCTGAATTATCCAGGTGGGCCTAATGTAATCACATGGGTCATTAAATGTATAAGATAAAGGCAGAAAAGTGTCAGAAAATAAGAAAAAGCAAGGTCAGAAGCAGAGTCAGGGAGAAGGCATGCTGCAGGCTTTGAGGATGGAGTAAATGTCCCAGTATTCGAAGGATGCAGGCTTCTTATAGAAGTGCCAAAGAGAAGGAAATGAATCCTGTCCTAGAACTCAAAAAGAACCTGTCCTGAAACCTTGACTGTGGTGACACAAGTGCCAGACTGG